CTTGGAATGAATTTTTATCTAAAGAAAAAAAGACCTGAAATAATTCTTTATTTTTATCTTTTGTTACAAATAAAATGTTTTAGTTCAATAATTGCTTTTTTCTATTTAAGGAGAAAATCATTTATTTACGTTGACATATCTACAGGGTGTTATGTAATTAATGTAATATATTAAAATACTGAATACCTTTTGACATAAGGTGTAACGGAAAAAAAATAAAAAAATATTTTCCCAAAGATAAAGAAGAAATATGCATTAGAAGACACACTTGTGTTCTGTTGCCAGTTTTACTTTCAAAAAATAAATGAAAACTTAATAAATAGAAAAGTGTTATGCCCTTAAAGCTCTAATAGCCTTCTATATTTATTTACTCATCCAGCTATACGCTAAAGAAGTATCGGATTTTCGCAACGCGCGCGCCATCTGGTGGACTTCAAAAGCATTGCGTGAATTTAAGAATTGTCAACAATACATTTAAAGCATACGAACTGTACATGATTTTTAAATAAATAGGTAGGCAGTTTTTTCACAAAAGAGAAGTCTTACTCGACAAATTTTGTTCAATTACACAGCTAAATCGCGCACGTTATTTGTGTTTTACGTTGCAAGGAGAAAACTAAAAAACTGGTTTAGTACCTACTCGATTTTAATTGATTATTCTTTATATCATTAATTAAGAAACTCGACGCTTACGTTGGTGTGTGTATTTTATCCATGGGATCATGGTAAATTATTGTGTTTTTAATTGTAAATAAAATTCAAGAACTAAATCGTTGCATTTTCATGTTTTGCCAAAAGATCCAATTCGGTAAGTACATTTGTTGGTGCCGAATTAACTAATGATAACTTTACCTAATATAATTTATATTTAAGTTTGGACATTTTTAAGAAATTAGTAAAAAATAATTTTTGCACAAACATAACCCTAAAATCAACCATTTTTATATTTGAGTTCTCTAAAAAACGCCGACAACTGCATTTTAAACAACAAAATATACCTACGAATTCATGGCAACATAATATTATATATAATACATAATATAATGGTCGGTATTTTACCGTTGAGTAGAGACTTTAAAGAATTCTTAATCGACGCTTTTAATAATGCTAAATGCTGTTTGAATTTAGACGACTTATTTGTTTGACGATTATTACTGAATTGAAATGCTTACACTTTTCACGTTAATTAATTATTACTAAAATGTGTACAGGGACTGTATGAAATTTATTTCTTCATTCGGATTAACACTGTTTATTGGAAAACCGATAAAAACTCAACCCAGGATTTCCTCTCGAAATACACCCAACAACACAACAAATCGTGTCACGGTTTTTTTTTTCGACATTTTTTTACATTTTCCGGCTTTATTCTCAAAAACACTCGTTTGTTACACACGCGTTTGACAGCTGATTATCAAAAGTTCTACTTTTGTTACGATGATAACGGCCGAGTGGTGGCGCTACTAGCGATACTTCTTTAGCGTGGTTCTCTCGGTGAGAAGCGCATCGCTCGTGCATAGCTCCATAAAAAAGTGTGAAATATAGTTGACTTTGACTCAGGGAGGACAAAATCGGATTCCAGTCCTAGATAATATTCCTCGTTTTGTCCTTTTTTAAAAGGAATAGAGGAATTTATATGAACATATAAATTTCAAGGTTATATAACCTATTTGTGTCCACGTGTTCGTTAGACAACCGTTGTCCAATGGTTTTTGGTTCTTCGGAAATCATTGGACGTTAAAACTAGTAACTGGACAGTAAGAGCCTAATCGGCTCAAGTCCAATTATCTCGAAAGAGAGAATAAAAAGTATAGAAGAAGAAGAAGAATGATTAGAAAGTTTAGTACCTATTTTAAAAACTCTATAACCATAAAACATTAAACTTAAACATTCAATTTGTGTAAATAAATCCAAAAGCACTTTCCTTAATTAAAATATTTACAATTTGAGCACATAACCTAAAATTTTAAAGAAATTCACTAATTAATGGTAGGTAACTTACTAGATTCTGTCATAAAAGTTTGCAGATTTTGTTTGAATTTACCTTTATTACAAAAATAACATAAAAACGCCAAATTAACAGTTTGCATTGTTGATTTTGTAATTAAGCCAAATTTAATCTGGCAACTTTTTTTGACAGGATCTGGAAACGCTGATTGTTACCATACATAACATAATAAATTAAATTAGGCAACCAGATTAACCTAAAGTTCCTAGTCGATCAGTGGCTTACTTTTTGGTAGGATAAAGGTTATTATAGATTATTTTTAGTCTTAAGAATTTAGAAAAAAAAAATTCAGGTGCTTCTTTATGGACCCTTAGGAACTACCCATTTTATATATATTTAGTACGTCAGGCATATCTGAGTTAATTACATAACACTCTGTATTTAAGGTCTAAAAGATAAAAAATGCATTGTGAAATTGGTTTATAGATAGGTACTTTAAAACATTTTTTTAATTTTGATAATAGGTTTCTGCCGATGTAGATGACGATCCGAGGAGATACATTTTGATTGGCTCGTGTTCTTTGTGTATGGCTTTGGCTCTTTTTACGACAGCATGTCTGGCCACGTCTTGCTGGATGCAAAAATCAACTTGTTTGATATTTTTGAAATTACAATGTTCACTGTCGGTTTTCTGCACCGCCCTTTTGTTCACCCTCGCCACAGTGTCCAGACCTGCCGAAGTAAGTTTTAACGCGTTTTTAAATGCGTTTTCAACGTTTTTTTTTTTGTAGTTTTACTTCGTTTATTTTCTTACGTCATTGGAGACGTTCATTCTTCTCGCTTTATCCAGCCATTTGAGCAAACTTTTGATTGTTTTCACCGAGTTGGTACACTTGCCAAGACCTGTTACATCCAAAGAAACAGTTATTGGAATAATATCGGGCGTTCCTATTATAACAGTTTTTGGTAGCCATTTGGCGTACAGAACAATGGATATAAAAATGAAGTCGTGGTGGATGATAGCAAACTCTTTCTCCTTTAATTTGTACGTAACAGTAACAGCCATAATCACGTTACTGTTTATTTTCGTGTACGTTACTGTTATGACGAAATTGCAGCATTTGGTGCACCAGCACGTGAAACATGCCAGGCCTATTAAGAAAAGGTGATTTTTTTATTTTAGAAGAGGTTGTATGTGTTTTAAATTGTTTTTTTTAGAGTGGCGTTATTGAGAAGATGTGCTTGCCTATTTGCAGCGATTTCTATGTTGTCTATAAGCAGTATTATTTACATTAATTTGCCAAATGATATTTGGTCTTTTTACCAATTTGGAGCCGCAAATGTTGTTTTGGTAAGTCTAAAGTTATTTAATGTTTCTCTTAGTATTTACATTGGCCATCAAAATAATTTTAATAATAATAATATCATGTTTTAATAATATAAAAAATAATGTCCGATTTTAATAAAATGTAATGAATTTGTAGCTTTACATATCTCCTTTAATGTATTAAAATTTTAATAAATCGAATACAAATTTGCAAAATGGCACTGTGTTTCTACTCCAGGCTAGATGAGTAAAAAACGGTTTTTTAAATAGAAAAATAGATGAAGAAAACTTTAAATTTTTTCAAAACCGCTACAATAAATCTTGATTTTTTTATTTGTTTGAATAAAACTCAGCCCCACATGAAAGTATCTTATTGGTTCAAAGTTTGATTTCCTTCGAAATTGTTCTTTGTTGACTTAAGAGAAAAAGGTAAATACAATTTTAAATGAGTCTTCTGCAAAAAAGTTAAAAATTAATATTTTAAGAGATATATGCATTTGAAATTAAAATTTTGTTAAAAAATATTTTGATTTAGGTAATCTTCAAATGTTTTACAAATTTTAGTTGTTTTTGGAACCTAAAAAATAAAATAATCGAAAAAGCAATATGTATTATTATAAAATTTATTTAATTATAAGAACCATTCATCTTTTTAATTTTAATTTTAAATTTTGATGGCTTTAATTTTGCATCTCTTAAAATCTTAATCTTAGAGATTTATGAAGTGTTTTGTGGAAAACTTTATTTTTTGTTATAAAATGTTTTTTTCTTCACTCGACAGTTTTTACTAAAATTTTAAATTATATTTTACTGTTAAATTAACAAATTACAAAATTTATAGTGAAACCAATGAAATTATACTAAAAATTAGAATTTAAACACATAATATCTAATTTTTTATTTTTTAAAGGGCATAGTTTTGATTGTATGCTACGTTATCAAAGGGGAGAACGAGTTCCATACTTTATTCCAAAATAAAAATAAATTGACCAAGGACGATAAGTTTTTTAGCGTTGACTCTACCAGCAGCCCGTTAAACTGTAAGTAAAAAAATCGTAGTTTAGTGATTTTGGCTGTTTTTTGGTTGCTTATTTATTTTTTTGTTTATTTTGCAGATGTTAGGCATTAATTTTATGAGCTATGTGAGTATTTTTTAGTCATTGTTTCGCTTGTATATTAGCGCTCCTTTACTTTTTACCATTTAAAACGGGTTTAATATAAACACTACTTTCCAGTTTTGGCGAAACAGGAAGCGGAAATGGAGAATGAATCCGGTCCGTACTCGAAACCGGACATACATCCGGGCGCGCCCATCAGAGTGCCGGAGTGCCACAGCATGATGGACTCTGTGTGCCAACCGAAAGGCATAACCGCCACTTTCGAGAGCTGCCTCCAGAACAGCACGAGCTTCTGCGACGGAGGCGGCGATTCGACGGAGCGCCACTGCAACGACAAGCTCGAAAGTTACAGCAACAGCCCTCAACAGTTCAGAAAATTCGTTCAAAGCACTCGCTCGCCCGACATCCTGTCCAGCAAAGTGTGCGTGGAGCTGGACCTGGTGGCTTCCGTCCCCAGCAAGCTGCAAGCGGAAGACTCGCCCAAGATGCGCAGCCGCAGACCCGAGGACGAGCGAACGCGTCCGGACGGCCACGAAAGCAAAATCGCCGGCGTGCGTCTTGCGGACGAGGTTCCGCCGCCGCCGCCGCCTCCCAGTGCGGATAAACTGGACGGCATGCTGGACAGGATTTGCCAGGATTTGGATTTTCTGCTGGACAGAGGCGGCGGCGACTTGGAGCTGGAGGAAAGCGTGAAAACTTCCAGTTTGAGGAGGATTTCCAAACCTCCAAGTTTAAGTGTCATTCATCAAATCAAAGAGGAGGAGGAAAGTGACGCGACTGTTAACTCACCTGCCACTGTGATAGACTTGAAAGAAGCCACCATTACGGACATTTTGAGGACCGAGTGCTAATCAAACTTTTACTACAATTTTACAGGGTATTTTTTCCAATCATTGATTTTTGAAGAGAATGTTTTTATGTTGTTTTATTAAAAGTTTATGAGAGAAATTGTATGTTATCAATGTATTAAGAATGATTATTTCGTTTTTGTTGGTAAGTTTGTGTATATTTTATTAAAAAATCAAATACAATGAATTTACAATGCTGTGTGTTGAAACAATTTTGTAATTTGTGCCTTAATGTAAATAATAAATGTTTTCATTATATTAATAACTAGGATGTTTTATTTAAAAAAAACACCTTTTTTGAACTAAATATTTTATTTCTTTATTAAACATACATCTTTGGTAAAAAATTACTATACTTATCTGATATGACAAAATATTAAAAATTTTACATCTCAACGAAAAACAATCATTATATATTATAAAGAAAAAGACATACCAAAAACATGTTATTTACAATATTTACACATAAATAATATAACGCTAACAACAACCAAATGCAAATTGAAAGGCACTTAATAAATCCGTACAAAAATAAACTAACATATAATAACAGCAGCAGTTTAAATGGGTAACAAACGGTTTTAATGTCTGCTGAATCAGAATTTAAATCATATTTATCGTCCTCAAGAAATGTGTGATGTATTTGAACGTTTCTGACTCCACAGAACAAATCAAAACCAAAAAATATACGTCGACTTAAGTAACAAAAAAGGTAACATACTTTGATGATTCAGTCTTCAATATTGTCGTTAGTCAGCGTGTACTGGTACTCGATGTACAACCGTTTGGCGTAGTTGATTTGGGAGGCGACAGAGTGCGCCAAGTCCGCATTTTTGCACCGCACCCGCGGCTTTTTGATCGGATCTGGATTCACGAGCGCCGCACTAGTGCCGGCCACATGCATCACTATTTCGATGTAGTAGCGATTTTCGCTTCCCTCCTTGTCCGCGATCACGTTGCAAACCTCCAAATCGCTGCAAAAACTCGTCAAGTTTCGTTTTAAAAATGAAAGTTGTTTACTCACTTTAAGTGGCAGTCTATAACGAGAGTCAAGTCGATAGACTGGGTGTTGGCGACAATTCTGACTTTTTTGTTCGAAACAATGCACTGCAGGTCTTCTGAAGCAGTGCCTAAGATTTGGTAAGCAACCAGTTGTTCTTCATAGTTTCTATATAGAAAAAAGAATAGTAAAAAACAGATTTACAGGTGAGAATTCGTGATACGGATTTTGTCATATTATTAAACAATTCTTACTTTTTCTTGAAGAATAGAATATGGCGCAAATTTTAAGCTCCATCGTCATCTATGTTGAACTTAAACCTTGGAAATTTAAAAACGCACATTTTGATATATTTAGACTTCAGGTTTATTATTGCATTTACAACAAAAATTGCAAAATTGTCAAAATTTATATTTTTTAATTGTATACTTTATACTTCTTTATTTAGCATCTCTTAGAAGTGTATCATAATATGATGTGGTTTACAAACATACAAATAATTTTGCAATTTTCAGTACCCGGAAAAAAACCGATAGATATTCTTATGGGAAATCAAATGCTCTACAAAAAAAGTCTCTTAACATTTTTGGCTAAATTCACTCCATCAAAAGTTATTCAAGATTAAAGTTAAAGTCAAAACGAAATTCTTGTTTTTACCGCTGTAGATTTTTTTTGGGTCAGTTAAAAGCTTGAATTCATTTATCGATGATAAAATACTAAACATTAACAAAAACGTTTTCACTGTTATTTAATCGTTTAAATAATATTATTTATTATGATGTTTTTTATTGGAACTTGTTATAAAGAAAAAATCAAATTATCATCCATAAAAAAATAAATCTACAGAGGAAAAAATAAGAATTTGGTTTTGACTTCAACTTTAACCTTGAATAACTTTTGATTGAGTGGATTTAGCCAAAAATGTTAAGAGGCTTTTTTTGTAGAGCATTTGATTTCCCATATCAATCGGTTTTTTTTTACAAAATTCCAACATAAAAAATCAAATTGTAAAACTATACCAATTTTTAAGGCATCTGGCGGAAAATTTCATTTATACCTTAAAAAATTATCTCTAGAGTCAATTTTGTTAAACTCAATGGTTTGGGAGTTTTAAAACAAAAATCGCTCATGAAAAAAAAATTAAATTACGATAATAGACCTCTTAATATTAATATTATGGACTCAAACTTACACAATAATTTTTTGTCACCCCAAACAACAACAAAAAAATAGTCGATTTTTTTGGCCCAGTCTAGTGAATATCGATGGTTTACAAGCAAACATATAATTTAGCAATTTTTATTGTAAATGCGAAAATCGAATCTAAATATATCTAAATGTTCATTATTAAATTTCCTAAAACATTGGGGAAAAAAATTGGGGTTATTTCGTGCCCAATATTCTTTTCTTCAAGAAAACCTAAAAATTGTTCAAATCTTTTGTATTGGTGTTGATAATTTAGTTTGAATGATGAGAAAATTATTAAAATTTTAATTATTAATTATAAACTTTTTTTTATTTTTTTAAGAAATTTTTTTAATTGCAATATTTTGGTATGTGGTTTACAAGCAAACATATATTTTTGCAATTTTTATTGTAAATGCGAAAATCGAGTCTAAAAATATCAAAATGTTCGTTATTAAATTTCCTAAAACTGGGGAAAAGAATTGGGGTTATCTCGTGCTATTCTTCAAGAAAACGTAAAAATTGTTCAAATCTTTTATATTGGTGTTGATAATTTAGTTTGAATGATGAGAAATTTATTAAAATTTTTTTAATTGCAATAGTTTGGTAATAAGTTTTTCAAGTTTTATTTTTTTTATTAAGGGTAAATTTTCATGAAAAGGCTTTATTTCATGATGAACATTTTTGAAAAAAACCGTCAAAAACACTCTTTTGTTAAAAACTATTGTAATGTTTTATATTTTTTTAAATATTCTAGAACAATTTAAGAACTACCAAAACGAAAAATTGTATTCTGCATTCCATAATTTTAGGAAAAATTCTCTCCCAAGTTGTAAAATTTTACATTTTTTGACAAAAATTTGGCAAAAATTGTGAGATTTTTGGTGACTTACTTATCATTTACTGCATACAAATATTGTTGACCTAAACTTTGAGTCCCACTGTATTTTGGCAATAAACCTCCAGGCCCATGGACACATCTGGGCAATCTAAACCTTTCCGGCATCGATTTGCTAAATAAAAATAAACAATCGCAAAAAATCGTTAAAAAACAATTCAATAAATACCTTCTGCTGGTTTCCCTGACTGCCCTGGCCGTCTCGGAGGCAAAATCCAAAACACCCACAACCGGCTTGGTAACAGCCCCGACTAAACCTTTACCTAACCCAGAAAAGACACCAGGCAGCCCATCGTTCGAAGCGCCTTCGTAAACTTGCTTAAAAATACCCGTGGCGCCCCCTAGAATTCCGAAACCCAACCCCTTAATCCCAGCCAGAATGTGATCTTTGCTATTCCCGCTTTCAACCTAAAAAAACAAGTTAGAAACCGAAAATTACAACGAAAAATAAAACATTCACTTGTCTTATTTTCTGCCGTATCTCCTCGTGAGAGTCGTCCATGGCAACGCTGCCGAGACCGTCCGAAAGCGATTCGGTCACCTTCGCCGCAGAGTTCGACAAACCATGCGTAACGTTCTTCACTAAAGCTCCGACATTCCCTTCGAATATTAAACCCGATACGCCCTCTGATACGTCGTTCATTAGCCCTAGAGGGTTACCTATGAAGTCTATGGAGCCCAGGATCATCCCAGCCTGCCACATTAGCTCCTACATAAGAGGAATAAAATGTTTGATGGGATTTTGAAGCGTCAAAAGACATTTCGCCGTAAATTGTAGCAAAAACGTTGATTTATTTACTAATTTACTCATATCCACTGATTTAAGTTTAAACCAGTTTGGCAACATAGCAAACATTTTCAAAATGTATTATTAAATTTACACATTAATACATTTATAACTGACTAAACCTTATTATTGACAAAAACTTGCTTTAAAGAGGATTGTGGCAATTGTGGTTTAAGTAAATTTGCATTAGAAAGTATGAAAAACCAAAATTACGGCTTAAAGGCTCTGAAAACAACAAAGAAATTTTGTTGAAGTGGAAATTTTATTCAAGTGTTTGTTCTTGTAAAAGATTAATTAATTATATTATAGTTATGGGAATACTAGACCTGTTTCCAAAAGGCAATGCTCTTTTACCTATTCTTTTACAGGTACCAATAACACGCTTTCCAGCAAAAACAATTGTTTTTATCTACAGGGTGTATTCTTTATTTTCTTATAAAATGCCTTTTAAACTTGTATTACTGGCAAAAACTGTTAATAATATTTTAATATGTATATTTAATTTGAAATACGCATTTCATTTTCTTTTATGTTTAATAGTACCTACCTATATTTCTGAGCCCAAAAATAAATAGTGTAAATTTCCTCAGAAAAAAGTCCCCTCTACCTTGTTAAGCCCTTTACCCAAAACCTACTGTTCCTATTTAAAGAGCAAGCACATTTCTTAAAATTCTTCAAAAGTATTTAAAAAATAAAACAAATATTTTTTAAACACAATTTGGGTTTTATTTTATAATCCTTATTATTTATTAAATAGTAATTTTTTTAATTATCTAGGTATTATATCAAAAAGTAAACATTTATGGAAGGTATGTATGTTTTTAAAAATAAACAAATGAATCAATAAATATTTTCACCCAAGTTCAATGTTAGAGGTTATTATTTTAGAATGAAACCAAAGAAAGTTATAAATCAATTGATTTCAAGCATTCAGCTTTTCATATCAAGCAGACAAAAAAACAGCATTGATATAATAATATATAATGATATAATTAAAATGGTAGTAATTTTTTTTTAATTGTATCTTTGTTATAGGTATGTTTACCTTCTGAATTTATTTTTTCATATATATTTAGAAACAAAAATACTGTCTATGTTTATTAGACTGGGCCAAAAAAATCAACTAATTTTTTTTTTGAAAATAATATCAAAAATATGGTTTGGGGTGACAAAAAAAATTATTGTGAAATTTTGAGTACATAAAATTAATTTTTTTTCCTCAGCAAGTTTTTGTCTCAGAACTCACAAACTATTGAGTTTAACAAAATTGACTCGGAAATATTTTTTTAAGAAAATTAAATGCTCTACAAAAAAGGTTAAAATGAAATTTTCCGTCAGATGAACCGTTTCCTTAAAATCATGCCTTAAAAATTGGTATAGTTTAACATTTTGATCTTTTAACTTTGGAATTTTGTAATTCATGTAAAAATCAGTACCCAGAAAAATGAATATTCTTATAAGAAATCAAATGCTTTACAAAAAAAGCATTTTTGGCTAAATTCACTCAATCAAAAGTTTTCAAGATTAAAGTTGAAGTCAAAACGAAATTCTTGTTTTTTTATGGGTGATAATTTGATTTTTTTCTTATTTAATGTTTATTATATAACTAATTAACAATTTCCAATAAAAAACAACATGATTGTTATTATTTAAACGATTAAATGGGTAACAGTGAAAATAATATTTTCTAAATGTGTTATTTTTTTTTAATTTTCAGTAATTTTATAAATAACATAAAGATTATCATCGATAAAAGAATTCAAGTTTTTAACTGACCCAAAAAAAAAACTACAGCGGAAAAAAAAATTTGTTTTGACTTCAACTTTAACCTTGAATAACTTTTGATGGAGTAAATTTAGCCAAAAATGTTAAGAGTCTTTTTTTGTAGAGCATTTCCCATAAGAATATCTATCGGTTTTTTTCCGGGTACTGATTTTTACATAAATTACAAAATTCCAAAAGATCAAATTGTAAAACTAAACCAATTTTTAAGGCATGATTGTAAGAAAACGGTTCATCTGACGGAAAATTCCAATCAAACCTTCTTCTAGAACATTCAATTTTCTTCAAAAAATATTCTTAAGTCAATTTTGTTAAACTCAATGGTTTGGGAGTTCTGAGACAAAAACTCGCTCAGCAAAAAAAAAATCTAAAATTGCGATGATAGACCTCTTAATATTAATATTATGCACTCAAACTTTCACCATATTTTTTTTTATCACCCTAAACACTTTACAAAAAAAAATAGTCGTTTTTTGGCCTAGTCTAATGTTTATCCATATTTTAAATCAATCATTCATCAATTATTACATTTTAATTGTTTTGTCCAATTTAAAATGTCAATGTACAGAAATCGACTTTTTTAGGGAAAATTTAAACGTTGAAAGATAATTACCCAATTTATTTTATAAAACAACAGTTTTTAAAGAAAATTATATAATACGTATATACAGGGTGTTATGTAATTAATGTTATATATTAAAATGGGTTGTTCCTTAGGGTCCTTAATTCTTTTAATGCTTCTGCACCTGAAACTTTTTTTTTCTAAATTCCAGTCTAAAAATAATTTATAATAACCTTTATCCTACCAAAAAGTACGCCACTGATCGACTAGGAACTTTAGGTTAATCTGGTGGATTTATTATGTTATGGTTGGTAACAACAGTTTCCAAAATCTCTCAAAAAAGTTGACAAACATTGTTTAAATTTAGCTTAATTACAAAAATGACAAAATTAACAATGCAAATTGTCAATTTGGCGTTTTTATTAATTGTTGGTTATTGCATTTTTGTACTGAAGGTAAATTCAAACAAAATCTGCCAACTTTTATGGCAGAATCTAGTGCATTTCTTTTAAATTTTAGGTTATGTTTTCAAATTGTAAATATCTTAACTAAGGGAAGTGCTTTTGGATTTATTTACACAAATTAAATGTTTAAAGTTTAACCTGTGAACTGGTCCCAATTTCATCTGAGTAAACAGAGAAAAAAACTGATGAAAAAATTAATTTTGTGGTTATGGATTTCAAATTTCAAGGGTAGTAAATTTTCTAATCATTGCTTAAGCTAATAGCTGGATCAGTAAATAAATACAGATAGGTATTAGAGCTTTAAGGGCATAAAACTTTTGTACTTATTGAGTTTTTATTATTTTTTTGCAAGAAAAATTTTTAGTAACAATTTTTTACATCTGGCAACGCATAGCTACTTTGTTGGTTGGTATCTATGTACTCACAAAATACAGGTGTGCAGAGATAAACAAGTGTGTAACCAGTGGCGTATCACAAAAAATATAAAAAACTTCTAATGCATATTTTTTCTTTATCTTTGGAAAAATGTTTTTTTAAATATTTTTCCTTTATTCCTTATGTCAAAAGGTATTCAATATTTTAATATATAACATTAATTACATAACACCCTGATATAAATAAATCAACGTTTCTGCATACGACCCTAAGTATCGGACTTACCTCTTTAAAGTGCTTGACTATGGAGTTGATCAAGAACTGGCTGGTCTCGAATGGGTGCTTTCTGTCGAAGGCCTCCAAGTCGACGGCCGCATCTTCGAACTTGATCAACCTCAGTCCCAACTTCCTCTTGATCCTTTGCAGATGCGGCGGTAGCTTGCTGGCCGTTTTCACGCTCAACCGTATCTGCTCGGGCATCAGCAGGATGACGCCGAAGTAGTAGCGTTTCACGTGCGTCGCGCACACTTCCGATATCAGACGTTGCGTTTCGTAGTCGTTTTCGTCGCGGTTCAGCGATTCTTCCTCCTGCGAGTGGATTCCGATGAAATTCGCGAGCTTTAGGAGGAGCCGTTCCTCGATTATAATGGAGATTTTCTTCAGCTTCAAGATTAGGTACTAAAAAGTACATATTTGCGTGGTATTTTGTTTAAAGTTTGAAAATTACGTTTTTACATCCCAAAGTATGCGTTTCAGCCAAAACTAACTTTGATTTTTGCAATTTCTATCCTAAAATTGTAGCTTCCCACATAACACAATATGTTTTAAAATGTTGTCAGGCCGTTTGGAGGACAATATTTATGAATGAAAGGTTGATGAAATGTTGTACAAACATTCAGAAAATAGTTATTTGTGTATCAAGGTGCATATTAAATTTTATCCTAAATCACATTTAATAATACCAATAATTGAGGCCTGTCATAGCAAAACCGACAATCTCCACTTTTGGTCAAAAATAAGATTTATATACTTCAACTAATTATCTATAAGATGATAAAGATTATGTGCTGCGAAAGGAGTTAAATCCTGCCTAAAATCCTATTTTAAAAATGACATTTAGTGCAAAGTCGACAATCTCCACTGCAGTGATCATGATAGATTTGCAGCAAAGTATACAATCTCCAATTCCACCATTAGAAATTAGTAATTTGTGTTATAACGTATTTTAGAGATTTAATTTTGTGTTTTTTTACTGGTACATACTGTTAAGTTCTATTGCAGTAAATTGCACTTCAAAATATACAGTGCTTGCAAATCCAAGTCCGACCGCACTGGAAAGGACGACTGTTCAATACCCGCGTGAAAAGAATAAGGATAGAATGCCAAACAGAATTTGATTGGTCAGAGCGTCAGGCGTGCGTATTGTAAGCGCCTTCTGTTTGGCGTTCTATCCTTGTTATTTTCACGCGTCCTTCTCAAACCGGTCGGACTTGGATTTGCAAGCACTGTATTTAAAATAGGTGTATATATACGTATATATACGTGTGTATATATAGTGTATATATACGTATATATACGTTTTATTGTTTTAAAAATTATAAAAAAGTTATCTTGTTTATTTTGTGCTATTATACCATAATAAGACGTAAAGGTAAATCAAGAAAATGCTGATAATGTCAAAACATTGCAAGTAAAACATTACGAGGCAAAGTGGAAAGAAGATGATGAGTTGTTGAACTATAAAAACTTTTTTGCACGAAGCAAACTGGTCCCAGATTTAGAAGAAACTCCAGATTTATGTGGTCCAGTTCAAAATTTCCCACATTAATTGTATAGTTAAATTTTATAACCATTAAAGGAATAAAAATACAATTATTTTGTTTATTTTTACAAAATTCATATCAAAGTCAGCAATCTCCAATTTATAATTGAAGCGTGGTAATTCAAAAGCGTCTAAGTGCCACTGCAGTGCTAAGCAAAAAGGTGGTAACTAATGCATTACTTATGCATTAGTTACCACCTTTTTGCTTAGCACTGCAGTGACACTTAGACGCTTTTGAATTACCACGCTTCAATTGTAGATTTCACCTATACTATGCATCCTGGAGACCTTGTAGTTGGCTACTAGACTAACAACAACAATATTTCAAAATAATTTATAAAAAAAATTACAAATTTAGAATTTAAAATACCAAAATCAATTATCTCAATTTACTCAGTTTTAGTGTGACGGGAGATTGTTGACTTTGCTCTGACAGGCCTCATATAAGCTGTCTTAATTTATTAATTTTTTTAATAAGAAATGTTAGGGACAACTGACAAATGACCCACATGCATGTAAAAAAAATGATTTTTTACAAATCTCAAAAACAAATTTGCTCAATTAACCTTAAGGCTAATTGAGCAAAATTATTTTTGTAATCAGCGCAGTCAAATTACACTAGAAAAGTTGTTGGCCACTTTGTGGCAAAATAGCTTTGACCAGTGCAATAAAAACAAAAAATCATCAAAAAAAACTTACTTTACATATGGTAGCATTCTTATTTTGCTGCTGCTCCACTTCGGCGCTAAAATCTAAAGCGGGCAACATTTGTTTGCTCTCATCTACCACCCTACCAGGTGGCGTTACATACAACACCACAGGTACAGAACCCTCAAACAGCTAAAAAAATATTATCACCAAAAAAATTACGCACTACACGGTGCTGTTCTGAGAGGTGATTTTTGGACTTTCTGTGAAACCTAATTTTTTTTTATATTCTTGTTAATTAGGTCATAACTAAAATTTCAAGAGCAAAATAAAAAAAAATTGACGGTTTGAATTGTTTTAATTGGCTGTTTATTAAAAATATTATGCACTCTTTCAATTATCCAATCCAAAACTAGCGATTTAATTTAAATATTTAATATTTGCATAACTAATAAAAAGGTTTTTACAATTTTTTTTTTATATATTTTACTGTTTTGTTGCAATAAACGTTCAAACTTTTAATCTAACCTTTGACGTATACATTTATGTTCCCTTAATTAATATATCCTTAAAGGTTGCCATGAAACTTAGATCTATTAAAAATTTATTTGACGTTTGAATTGTCATTTTCAGTATATGTATTCTATAATTTTTGTTTAGTTTTGTAAAGTGTTTTTTATAAACAAAAATGAAAAATTGAAGTAAAAGTTACGAAGAAATCCATGAAATTTAACTAAGGACCGGTTTATTCATCTTTAGTAAAGTTTATCGGGCCGATAACTTTCATGTCTTGGCAATATCTAGTATCCAAAGAAATTATTCGTCAAATAAATCAAAAATGAATAAATCGGCCCTAAATAAAATGTGGCACCCTTAGAATTATTGTTTAATAAATGTATACTATACATTTAACCTTAAATTAAAACTTTAAACGTGTATTACAATAAAACAGTAAAAGATATAAAAAATGTATAACCTTTTTTTAGGAAATTAACTAATCTTTAATCTGATTTAAAAAGTTATGATAATATTTAAATAAAATAAAATAAAAGTTTTAATTATCCAATCCAATTAAAACAAAATTAACCGTCAAATTTTTTTATTTTGCTCTTAAAATTTTAGTTATGACCTAATTAACAAGAATATAAAAAAAAATTAGATTTCACAGAAAGTCCAAAAATCACCTCTCAGAACAGCACCGTGTAGTGGGAGGAATTTCAAAAATCGCGGACAAAATTAGGGACACATTATTTTAACCCATTTTAAGGTTTATGCGGTGGTAAATTTCTGCTAAAATATTAATATTAATAAAATGTTTTAATTATGCACACAAATTCACAAATTTGTTTTAAACAATTTGGAAAAGTTCGGTTTTGTCGATCCTCCATTCTCCAAAAATATAAATTAATAAACAAATATATTACGCAATATTACCTAAGCTAAAAATAGAAAAATAAACAAAAAAAACAATTAAGGAATATTCTAGCAAAATCACTTATATACATTTTTTTCGATACATCTTTTCTTTGTAAATTTCGCATCTTTTGCTTTATTTATATCGACTACTAAAGTGACTTGGTCCAAAAAACCCTATATCGATGTTAAAATAACATTTAAAAGTTGACTTTAAAGCAAAACCGGTTAAATCCACGTTTTTTTACCTACTCTTTAAAAATTAATTAGTCAAAAATTACTAATTTAATAGTTATTAGTGGCTGCTTTTTCACTTGTACCATAGTTAACAATGGAATATAATGGTATCCAAAAATTTAATATCCAATTCTTATGTAAAATTGTCCCCTGAATCCAAAAATTATTAAAGTAGAGCAGTTTTTGAAATATAGTCAATTCCATATTAAATGAAAAATTGACTATATCTCAAAAACTGTTTTACTTTTTTAACTTTTGACGATATTTTCGGATTCAGGAGACAATATAAGATTTATCAATAATATCCAGGTTTTCGGTTAGGTAGTTTAAAAGTTTGTTGTGTTTTTCTTTGTCACTAACATTTTTAATAAGTTCATACAACTCCTTATTAGTCGTTGATGACATTTCTACATAAAAAGAAGCAAGTTATTCAAATAAACATGTAATATTTATATTAATATTATAACTTACCAAATATTATTATAAAGCGTTAATAAACACAAAAACACAATGAGATTGTATGTTTGATTGACTTTCACTGGAAACTGACGTTTTAGAACTAGCAAAAGGCAACTATGATGACTTATAAATATTCGACTAATATGATAAATTCATGGACATATTTCATATTCTGCTGACCAAACAGGCAAAAAAAGGCAGCTTAATTCTTTTGACTTTAAAAAAAGAAAATTTGATGAACGTTCTGGTACCAAATACTTTGCCTCACACCAAGACACACCTAAAGAAATATCTTGTGGTTTGTAAAAGATTTATCTACTTTGAAAGGCGATGTTAAAAGGTTTATAAAAACCGTATTTATGGTAAAATTTGCAATTTTAGACTTTTATATGAAAGAACAAGGATAAGGAATGTGGTAAAATATACCATCATTTCCTTTCATTAATTACGCAAAACAAAAATGGGCTTGAAAAACTTACATAAAATTTGCTCTAAAAAACCGACACGAACAATGTGACTTTTTAAGCAAGTTTAAGTGGGCATTTTACCATAAAAAAAATATTTCTTTTAAAATCATAATCTCTCTGCTTTCTTTTTTCATAACTCGTAATTTAAAATTTACTATGTTGATTTTTACAAAATAGGGTTTTGTCCGCGATTTTTGAAATTCCTCCCACTGTGCACCGTGACTAATTTTCGCATTTTTACCTGATTATCGACCCTTATGTCCCCGACGCTGACGCAGAACTTGTTAAGCGAGGGAGTTACAACGGCCTCGCCCACGATGTTCGAGAACAAAGCGTACAGCAACTCTTCGGGGCCCCGCCTGCAGATCAGACTTATCCCCAGGCCGCTCTGCAGGTTCACGACGAACTGCAGCTCCCCCTCGCGTCCGCCGTCCCCCCCGTCGTCGCCCTGCAGATCGGGCCGCTGCTTCTTCGATATGCAGCCCCACTCGCGCTCGTCCGTCGCGGCGAACGCCTCCGTCTCCCGTCGGTCTTTAATCGTCAGCACTCGCGTCGGTCCGTCCATCACGATGCGCACCTCGAGCTCGCCCGAACCCGGCCGGAGGAACTGCTTGTCGATCGCCTGCTCGATCGGGATGCCTTTGTCCGTCAGTTTATGGCAGATGGGCTGCGGGAGACCCAACACGGCCGAGTTCCCTACAAAGATGTATTTGTTTGTTTGTAAAATCGCAACGCGGTTGACAGAATGACTGAATATATCATAAAAAAGTGTATTTATGGTATTTTGAACCTAAAAATACAGGAAATGTAACTACCTGGAAAGTGAGTAGTAGGCTGGTTAAAAAAAATCAACTATTTTTTTTCCTGAATTTTCGCACTGAAATATCTTAACGATACCAAAAAAAGACTCCTGTGAAAACCGGAGCTCTTAATTTTAATATTTAGAGGTCGCGCATCGATAATTTTTATTTTATTTTATTTAATAACATGGGAAATTTTGTTTTGTTTCTTTATAATTTTCTATCTTACAAACTAATTAACAGATTTGTATGCGCGATATATATTCTTGTGGAAAATTGAACGCTCTACAAAAAATGTCTCATATCATTTTTCGATAAACCAACGAGTTCAAAAGTTATTCAAAGTCGAAGTTAAATTTATGTCATAATTGCATTTTTTACTTCAATTTTAGGCAAATTCATAAGTTAGTTATTATCAAATATAAAAAAAAACATTTAAAAATCAAAATTACAATGTTCAATAAGCCTTTTAAATCAATTCCACTGGAACACCTACTATTTTTGGAAAGAATTCATTAAAATTCTTTTTGATTGATTAAAATCCTTTTTTATTGATTTAAATCCTTTTTAATAAATTATTTCCAGTAATAGTACGTGGTTCAGTGGAATTAATTTAAAAGGCTTATTGAACATAGAAATTTTGATTTTTGATAATAACTTTAATGAATTTGCCTAAAATTTAAGTAAAATATGCACTTATGACATAAATTTAACTTCGACTTTGAACAACAAATAATGATAGGAGACATTTTTTGTAGAGCGTTCCTACAAGAATATATATCGCGCATACAAATCTGTTAATTAGTTTGTGAGCTAGAAAATTATTAAGAAACAAAACAAAATTTTCCATGTTATTTAAATGGGAAATAGAAATTCTCGATGCGCGACCTCTAAATATTAAAATTAAGAGCTCCGGTTTTCACAGGCGTCTTTTTTTGGTACCGTGAAGATATTTCAGTGTGAAATTTCAGGAAAAAAAAATAGTTGATTTTTTTGAACCAGCCTAGTGAGTAGCCTTGCGATTAGTTAGTTTAGTTCCCAACTACATTTCACTCAAAATTGACAAAATATACAAGATAAATTTGGAAAAGTATCTAAACCTGTAATTTTAAAATGTGTGTACAATTTGGTGCTATTTATGTACAGTTGTGTGTAATAATTAGGTAGGATTTAAATAAAAAATCAGAAATTGATTGTTGTTTACAAAATTGATTTTTTTTTAGTATTTTAATAAAGGATTATGTCAAAAGTAATTTGTAAATAAAAATTTAGCGTACTAACCCAATATTTAAGAGTCCCCCGGGGGCTCAAAATATTTTTTTTGTATGTTTTAGCTGGGGTAGAAACAAAAAGTTACCTTATGTTAACAGTAATTCTAGAAAAAAAATGCTAGAAGATTTTAAAGTAAAAATGGGACGGATTTGGTTTCACCAAAATAAAATCATGGATTATTTTTAGCTTGGCAAAACAACAATACATGAAATTTTAAAAAAAAATTCCAAATTTATAAACATTTTTAACCCTAGAATTTGCTGAACCGCCAAATTTTTGACGTCATATTCTTATATCGGACATTTTTTTTTCTAGACATATTGTTAACATCATAGATAACATAAGGTAACTTTTTGTGGCTACCCCAATTAAAATATAAAAAAAATATTATGCCCCAGGGGCACCCTTAAATATTGGGCTAGCACCGTAATTTTTTTATCTATTTTGCGTTCATAATGACTTCATTATAACACCGCTTTCGGTGCTGTAATGAGATACTTTATCCCACCAAAAATTTTGATTTTATAGGTTGGCTATACTTTAAACAGCATAATATTTTGCCTATTGGTTATAATATTTTTATGATTTTTCTAGTACTTACGAGACTTTTCTGTCAATTAAGCTTAAGCAGCTGCTAGACCAAAGAAAATCCTTTTTTTCTTTTTTAACATTAACAGCCGCTTATTGTAAATAAGTAAATTAAGCACGGCATGGCGAATCGATTTTGACATTAACTGTAAAACCAATGACTGTGATACCAACTATCTAAAGCAAAATTCGACCAAATTAAATTTAAGGTATACATTTTTTTATAGAATTTTTGCAAAATAGATAAAATAGCATAAAAAATTCATGTCATAAGACGTCATTTTGTCGCACGCTGACAATTTATAAAACGAGCGACGAAGGAGCGAGTTTTGTAATGGAGTTCTTTAATATACTAATTTACAATTATTGTTAACATAATGTAACTTTTTGTTGCCACCCCAAACAAAATATAAAGGTAAAATAATTTGGCATAAGGCAACTTTTTTTTGGTTCCATTAAATTGAATAAAAAAAAAATTTGATCCACACAACTTCAAGGCATAATTTTATTTGTTAAACGATGCATAAAACGTACAATTATAATAATTATTAAAAGTAGGTTAAAACAGGTTTTTTACATTCTAGGAGGTAAAAAACCTAATAATTTATAATAGTTATTTTTGATGCTAGATTGTTACAGTTTATAAATTACTATAAATGTAAAGAGAAAAAGTATTTTGCGTACATTGCAACGAATTTAAAAGACTTTGAGTTCTGTAGACACAAAAAACTGTTGTTTTTTTACTTAATAAATATTATGTAAAAGTCAACTTTTAATGACAGTTTAACGTTTGACACGCTAGCGAAGCGAGTGTGGCAATAATGCTAGTTTATTTAGTCTTTTCAAACAAATATTATACATATATTTTATTGTTTTATTCTTAGAAAAACAAAATAACGAATTTCTGACTTTTAATTCAAATCATACACATATTAAATTTTTTTAGTATAATGTTAGAGAGAAAATAAATAATTATATTTCTTAAATACATACACTGACTCCAGTGTCCAATTTTATTAGATACTTGTCCTAAAACAATACAAATCCCGTTGAAGACTCTAACAGCACTACTAGACTGGGTCAAAAAATTGACTATTTTTTTTTTTTTGAAAAATATAACGAGAATGTCATTCAGAATGACAAAAAAAAATTCCTGAAAATTTGAGCCCTTAATATTAATTTTAAGAGGTCTATCATCGCTATTTTTGATTTTTAGTCATAATTTGATGTTTTACGTTAGAACTGTCAAAAAATTAAAGTGAAAAAAATTCCTTTTCACTTATTTTTATATAAAATTAAATTCTCTACAAAAAAGGTCCGATTGAAAATGTTCGTCAGACGAGCCGTTTCCGAGTAATTGAGCTTAATAAATCGATGTGTTTTTTCGATTTGCCCTTTTTACTTTGAAATTTAGTAACTAATGAATCAATAAATATTTAAAAAATCAAACGTCGGATTCTTAAAGGAAATTTAACGTTCTACAAAAAAGGTCTTTGAACATTTTTGCCTAAATTTAATTCTTCAAAAGTTATTCACGATTAAAATCGAAAAAAACTTAAAATTTGCATTAAAATCGAAGAAAAACTTAAAATTTCAATTTTTTCTTCGTGAATAACTTTTGAAGAATTAAATTTAGGCAAAAATGTTAAGAGACCTTTTTTGTAGAACATTAAATTTCCTTTAAGAAACCGACGTGAGCTTTTTTAAATATTCATTGATTCATTAGTTACAAAATTTCAAAGTAAAAAGGGCAAATCGAAAAAACACATCGATTTATTAAGCTCAATTACTCGGAAACGGCTCGTCTGACGAAAATTTTCAATCAGACCTTTTTGGTAGAGAATTTAATTTTATATAAAAATAAGTGAAAAAGAATTTTTTTCACTTTAATGTTTTGACAGTTCTAACGTAAAACATCAAATTATGACTTAAAATCAAAAATAGCGATGAGAGACCTCTTAAAATTAATATTAAGGGCTCAAATTTTCACGAAATTTTTTTTGTCATTCTTAATGACATTCTCGATATATTTTTAAAAAAAAAAAAATAGTCAATTTTTTTGGCCCAGTCACGGTGTCTCTCAACGAAGTTTAAGTCACATAAAAATGACGCCAAAAACTGATTGCAGTTTCTTGTTCGGGACCCTTTGGTGAATTAAAAATGATTTTTACCAAAATCCTAGCTGATCCTCTTTCGAAATTTTTTGAAAATTTATTATTTTTTTTTAATTTTTTTTTATTTCAAAGTCTACCTTTGACAGAGTACACATTTGTACACCGATTTTTATAAAATTAGAGTATATTATTGAGGAGACTTAAAGAATACTTTTTAATACTGTTAACATAATTTGATATATACAGGGTGAGCCAAAAATCGCTTATTTTTAATAAAGCAAAAGCGTAAATTCATGATTTTGGCATAACACGCAAAACAGATGTATCCCCATTTTTTTTATATATTTCTACGTTTATTAGGTTACAAAATGGCATTCCTATTAACGTTTTATTAAAAAAAATGATTTTTAATAAAATTAAATAAAATTACGCTTAGAGAATATTTAAAATGTTGTTTAATTTAGGCTTTTTAGAAGTTTTCAATTTTGAACGAAAAACTGGTTCGGCACTCTTTGGAGATTTAAAAACGATATTTACCAAAATTCTAACTGCTTTTCTTTAAATTTGTTAAAAAATCATTTTTTTTTTAATTATTTGTTTATCGCAAAGTCTACCTTTGCCAGAGTACGCATTTGTACACCGATTTTTATTGATGGCAGTTTCTTGTTTGGGACCCTTTGGTAACTTTAAAATGATATTTACCAAAATCCTAGCTGCTCCTCTTTTCGAAATTTTTTGAAAATTCTTAATTTTTTTTTAATTTTTGTTTATCTTACCTTTGACAGAGTACACATTTGTACACCGATTTTTATAATATTGGAGTATATTGTTAACGAGACTTGGAGAATACTATTTTCATACTGAGCACATAATTAGATTTATACAGGGTTAGCCAAAAATCACGTTTTTATATAGTAAATAGCATAATGCACAAAACAGATTTATCTTAAAAAAAATATATTTTATTTAATTTTATTCAAAATCAATTTTTCTTATAAAGTCTTGATAAGAATCCCATTTTGTAGCCTGATAAACATAAAAATATCTAAAAAAACATATATCTTCTGCGTGTTATGCCAAAATCATGAATTTACGCTTTTGCTTTATTAAAAGAAGCGATTTTTGGCTAACCCTGTATATATTAAATGATGTGTACAGTATAAACAGTATTCTCCAAATCTCCTTAACAATATACTCCAATATTATAAAAATCGGTGTACAAATGTGTACCCTGTCTAAGGTAGACATTGAAATAAACAAAAATTTAAAAAAAAATCATAAATTTCGAAAAGAGGATTAGCTAGGATTTTGGTAAATATCATTTTTAATTCACCAAAGGGTCCCGAACAAGAAACTACAATCAGTTTTTGGCGCATTTTTATGTGACTTAAACTTCGTTGAGGGACACCGTGCAGTCTAAGCACTACATTTGAATTAAAATGATGAATAAATGAAAAAAAAACAATTAAACCACTCACCTTCTCTCAATCCAAAGAACCCATCATGCGCCTGCACGCAAACATTGTAATGCTTGCACTGCAACCTGCCCTCTTCCGTGAACCTCCAGGTTTGCGTGGACTCGCGCCTCGGATCTAGACGCCTCAGCATCAACCTGGAGTAGTTACTGGGTTGCGGCGCCGTGTTCTCGATGTCCAACACGTACAGGTTGCTGTTGGATCGGGGCTGGTGGGGATGCGAGGGCGGACTGCTCCCCTCGTGCATCAAATGCCCCTCCGGGCTCATTTTCCACAGCTGCGAGCGCTCGCCCTGCTGCTTGCAAGACAAAACCACCCGGTTGTTTTTTATCACGTCCAAGACGAACTCTTGGCTTTCCACGTCCGGAAGGTCCAGCAGATCTTTGTTTCTAAAAAGATGGTTTATTGCAAAAATATATTAAATGTCAATCTTAACTTTGGAAGATTACAAATAAACTTGTTAAGGAGGTTCGCGCACGGTATTAGTTGCTATGAGAAAATGTTGAAAAAACTTTAGGTTGTAGTTGAGTTTATCCCTTTGAGGAAATTGGATTTAAACAAAAATTGATGATTCAAAATAAGGCAATTTTTGCTTTTTCAAATTCATAATCAATTTAATTTTAAAAGGTCCATCATCGAATTTAAAGTTTTCCCATGGATGGACCTTTTAAAATTAATATTTAGAGCTCAAATTTTGACAGAATTTTTTTTTCAGCATAAGTGACAAGAATTTCAGATGAATTTGAAAAAAGAAAAATATTGCCTTATTTTGAAACACCCTAATGTATATACTACAAATTTTAGTATATTTTATTGTGGTGAAGCAAATTAATTTAAAATAGGTAGCTGAAATCATAATTATTTCAAAAAAAGTAAAAAATATCTATGGTTATAATTTTTGTTTGAAATATGTGTTTTTTCTAACTTGAAAACAATGGATTTACATTAAAAATAAATTTTATTAAACCTAATAAAAACTTAATTAAACTTTGGTAAGAATAAACAATAGTTTGCATATTTAAGATTAGTTTATAGTTAGTTTGAGTTTTATGTTAGTTTGTATTAGTTTTAGGTTAAAATTACTCATAGTTAATTTTAGTCTTCAATATATAGGTTTAAGTTAGGCTTAGATTAGTCTCCCTTCAGTTAAATTTAAGTTAAATGTTATGTTTTTAATAGGGCCAGATTAGCTAATAAGATAAGTTTTACTTAATTAAGCTAAATATATTTAAGTAAAATTTATAAAGTTAATATTAGTTTATTAAAAACAAATTTTAAACCTAATTAATTATAAAAAATATTAACTTTTATATTTTTACTTAAAATAAATTTTGTGAAATAAAGCCCTGATAAATTATTTTTGCTATGAAAAATAATAGTTTATTGGGGAATATTATAATTTGGGTTGTTTATATGTAAATAAATATTTTTCACCAAAATAAAATACACTAAAATTTAAATTTAAAAGTTTTTTAGAGGCAAAACAAAAAAAAAATATTAAAAAAATATTAAATAAATATTTTTCCCCAAAATAAAATACACTAAAATTTAAATTTAAAAGTTTTTTAGAGGCAAAACAAAAAAAAAGATTCAACATGTAAAAAAAATCAAATCAAATTTCCTCAACCTCAACCTATTTTTGTCTCAAAATGACTAGAAATATAACATTAAAAAAATTCTAGTGTTCGCACTTTTGGGTTAAACGTATTTTCAACGTAACTAAACTGGTTGTGAATTATAACAACATTTTGTATGCCACTTCTACAGGTATAAGTATTTTAATATAATATATATAATATATATATTATGCGTTAATTAAATGCATTTCCTATAAGTATTGAATATCTTATAACATAACATTAAAAAATTAACGATTTTCTTTCTCGTATGCACTTATGCAAATAGAAGTTGTTTTCCTTTTTTTGTTTTATGGTTTTCTCTTTGGACTTTCGCTGCGTTTAACATACTGCATGTTTTCTGTTGCTTTATTTTTTGTTCCCATACCCTTTAGGAACTTTAGGCTAATCTGGTTGCCTAATTTAATTTCTTATGTTATGGTTGGTAACAACCAGGGTTTCCAGATTCTGTCAAAAAAAGTTGTCAGATTTTGTTTAAATTTAGCTTAATTACAAAAATGACAAATCAACAATGCCAATTGTTAATTTGGCGTTTTAATTAATTGTTGATTATGTCATTTTTGTAATGAAGGTAAATTCAAACAAAATCTGGCAACTTTTATGACAGAATATAGTGCAATTCTTTCAAATTTTAGGTTATGAGCTCAAATTGTAAATATCTTAACTAAGGCTAAGCTTTTAGAGTTATGTACACAAATTGAATGTTTAAAGTTTAACCTGTGAACTTGTCCTAATTTCATCTGAGTAAACAGAAAGAAAAAAACCGATGAAAAAATTAATTTTTTGGTTATGGAGTTTTTAAAATAGGTACTAAATTTTCTAATCATTGCCTAAGCTAATAGCTGGATGATTAAATAAATACAGAAGGGTATTAGAGCTTTAAGGGCATACATTTTTGTATTTATTGAGTATTTATTTATTTTTTGCAAGAAACATTTTTAATAACAATTTTTTACAACTGGCAACGCGCAGCTACTTCGTTGGTTGGTATCTATGTACTTACAGAACACAATTGTGTAACCAGTGGCGTATCACAAAAAATATAAAAAACTTCTATCTTTATCTTTGGGAATTTTTTTTTATATTTTTCCGGTACACTCTTGACATATTCGGTATTTTATTATATTACATTAATTACATAACTCTGTATATTTGGGAGCGTTAAGCTTATTAGGGAATATCAAAATCACAAATTAAAATCATATTTAAGAATGTTGAAAAACACATATTAGGATGTCTAACGTAACTCAAAATATCAAAACAAGAAAGTTAAAAAAAATTTAAATCAAATATTTAATATAAGAAAAAAGTTATAGATTGCTGTACTTACTTCTTGAATGTCTCCGTAAAAGCGACATAAATAAAATTCTCGTAGGTCAAACCGGGCTGCTCTCCCAGCCTGTTCATGTCGTAGGAGTGCAAAACCCCGCCCGGAGCGATCAGAGTGATCAGGTTGGGCTGGGTGGGCTGATCCCAAGCGTACGGCACGCTCGAGTGCGCGCGAGCGGTGCCGAGAATGTCCTTGCACGTCGATTGGCCAAACTGTATCGACACCTCGGAGAAATTGTCGATCCTGATTGGCGGAGGCATCGTGTCCGCGTCCGAGAATATTATGAAGAACGTGGCGCGCTGCAACACGACTTCCAAGCGAAGGAAGTAAACTCTGCCGTTGCTGTCTCTAACGTTTACGTGCAAGGACTTGTTATCGTCTATTTTTAATCCACCCGACCAGCAACACTGCGGTATATCTTGTATGGAAACGCACAAAAGCTGTTCTTTCTCTAACTTTGGCCAATGGAAGGGCATGTGAGAGTTGGGCATTGCTTTCAATAAAGACTTACGTGAAATTGGATCGGACTACAACAAAACATAATAGTTATTTACGATATAAGTGGGATAAGAGCTTTATTAACGTACGCATGCGAAATTTGCCCAACGAGTGTGTAGCACGAGTTGGGCAATCGCAAAAGTAAGTTAATAAAGCGTTATCACACGTATATTGTACAATTTTTATCTACGCCTCCAAATGAAAAAATAAACGGTAATTATTTTTGTCTAAAGCTTAATTTTCATGTATCCGTTTGTCCGTCAGTCCGTTCATCCGGGAGCGCTCTTATTGGTCCAATTATAATTCGAAAATTATGACATTTTATCGATCCGTCAAGTTTCAACTTCGTACGTCTGACAGAGAAAGGTTAAATAATTTTAACTCATCCGTCACTACACATCTGTTTTTGACGCCTAACGTTATTTTAAGATAATTTATTTTCAAATATTTTTATATTTTTTTAATAAGATTGTAAAACGGAAATATTACGTTCGTTATGTGAATAATGTTTTACTGTTAAGTTTTTATTTAATAAGAATAACGGAAAAAAAGAAAGGACAAACAAAAAAAAATTAAAACTAGAACTAAAAGGACCTGCTTTTTTAAAACTATACATTTTAATGTATATTAGGGCTAGTATATTCTTTTTATAAGGTATATTTACCTACCTTTAAATTTATTAGACAGCTAACTGTTAAAGTTACAATTGTTGACATAATTGTAACTATGACAATTAAGCATTAGGTAAATTTAGTAAGTGAATATACTGACACTTAATTTCTATTTGTCGCAAAATCAATCCGTTAAACGTCATTAAAAACGTATGCATGAAAATTAGAACATTTCTTATCGGACGATTTTATTGAAAAACTGACATACGGATGACGGACAAACGGATACATGAAAATTAAGCTTTAGACTTAATTTAGGGTTATTTTGACATTTTGACATTTTGACTTTTTTATTTGATTGGTTAAAAGCAGAGAAAAACGCGTGCGTTAATGAACTTCTTATCTCACTCAAAATGAGTGGGATAAGATGTTCTTATCTCACTGGCGTAGATAAAACTATTTACCAAACTCATTACAAGAAGCAACAAATAACTCACCAAGTTTTTGATAAAGCAGCTCTGTGCAAATATTAACTCGTAGGAACTTGTGTTGTAGAGTTGGTAACGCGGTGATATAGTTATGATATTGGTAGACCTGTATTTCCCTTTACCCAGCCTTACTTCCAACCCAATAACGAAAACCTTATCTGGCCGACCGTCTTGCATGGTAACGTACAATTTTTTTACTTGCGTACCTTTTTGCACGTGGAAATTCGAACACCACTACAAAAGTTATGATAATTTTTTAAAACTGTACATTTACCGTTATTTATCAAGTTGGCTGTTTTCACTTAGATATCGTTTAAATTGTTAGTTTATACCCTAAAAACAATTTTAGAAAAAAAAATCCGAAGATACTTTTGCACATATTATAAAATTGATTTTTTCTTGTTTATTATATTCAGTTACTTATTAAATATTGTTGATTCTACTTTTATTATGATTTCTTCATAAAGAAATTTTGATCAAAATTCATTTTTACCGTTTTTACCAATAATTTTGTTTAATTTACCGACTACTTAATAAATATTCTGTATATATGTATAAAACAATTAAAATTTCATCAAGATATATTTGACATTTGTGACATTTGCTTTTAACCACAGAAAATAATTTCGCTAATATAAGTCAGTGTTTGCTTCATAATTATTTAATTTTGATTATTTGGATAAAATGATAATTGTAGGCAAAAAGCAGATAATTAAAAAAAAATTGTTTACATTTTTGATAATTAAAACTGTTATTGAAATAAAATAAATAAGAGTATAATAAAAAAATAAAATTATAACACAAAAAGGTTGAACCTAACGCAAATAATTTTAATTTTTTCTTTTTTTTTCTTTAATTTTTAAAATTTCAAAAATTTTTGATCTGCTTAGCTGAAAATAATGTATGATTTAAAATTTGTTAAAGCAAAAACGTTACTTTTTTACTCCAAAAATGTCCATAAGGTGATGTACTTTTTTTGCCATTGAAGCATTTGGCATAACTTCATCGAAATGAAGTTTTGCCCCTAAAAGTTCTTTTACTAGAATCTGATATTATTTTTGTCATAGTTATCTTTTTATATCGATATTATATAATAACAGGTAAATTATCATATATTATATCACGAGAACTATGAATTTAATCGGTTAAACTAGGCTCAGTAGTTTTTTGTTTGGTTTTTCTTGGAAAATGTTGAATGCAAAATAATTTAATAAAATCACGAGACCGCGTAGCGGTCGAGGGGTTTTATTTTTAATTATTTTGCATGAAACTATTTTCCAAAAAGAAAAATCAAATAAAAAACTTACTGAGCATAGTTTGACAGATTAAATTTATAGGTTAAGTGATATACGTCTAGATTATTTCTCGAATTAAAGGAAACTATTTGACAATTCATAAAATCTGACGTATGTGTCAAAATTTATAAATATTTTTTTAAAGAAAATTCCATTAATTTAAGGTATGTAATAAGTAATAATTTATATTTCGTAAACTAGATAACTTATTTTTTATTGTTCTTAAAAAAATGTTTGTTAAAACTTGTAAATAACACCATAAAATCGTAAACAAAAATCCAATATGGAGGCTAAAATTTAATCGCTGTTAAATAGTTCTAGTGATTAAATCGCTTATTTAAACGACATTTATTCAAAATTCAAGGCTTTTGATTGGTTCATATTATAATGAGGGAAATAATCAATAATAAATATTACTGTCAATTTGACAGTGTCAGATTTTTTAATTATAATTATAAGGTCTTCAGCAGAAGTACAATTTTTTAAAACTGGCATAAGCTACCAACTTAATAACAAACAGTCCAAATAAAAAAAGAAATTTTAATCAGTTGATATAAATAAATCAACGTTTTTGCATACGGCCCTTAGTAATTTAAAATATTTGACTAAAGGGAAAAATGATTTTCATCTTAAAAGGTAATTTAAAATGAACTATTAATGATTTATGATTTACAATCTTCAGAAAGTCAATATTAAAAGCGTATAAAATAAAATTTAACATTAAATACAGAATAAATATTGAACGGGCGCGGTAACAAAATTATTGGAAAAAACGGTAAAAATAAATGTTGACCTTGAATTTAAAGAATAATTTTTTAACGCCAATATAAAAATTTCTTTATCCAAATAGATCATAATAGAAGTAGAATCAACAATATTTGGTAAGCTATTGAATATAATAAACAAGTTAAAAATCGATTTCCAAAAAGTCCATGTTCCCATAAAGGGAAAAGTATCGGAATTTTTTTTTATTTCAAAATTGTTTTTAGGCTTTAAACCAAGAATTTAAACGACACCCAAGTGAAAACAGCCAACTGTAAATAACGGACTCTATTTTTTCGTTCTTACTTGTGGTATTCCGTATTTGATGACTTGGTTTCCCACTCTGGCGTTTATGGTGGGACTGGCGTCGTTATCGGAAAAACTGAACAAAAGCGGCGACGCCATGCGCGCCCTCTCGTGGTCCTCGAACTGACCCGCGCTTTCGCTCGACGAGCCCGATTGGCGGAAAACCAGCGGCAAACCTGTTTTGTTTATTATCCAATAGGGGGCCGAAATCGTGATCTAACGACAACAAAATTAGGTACATTCGCTCGATTTTATTTTCGATATGGTATACCTTTAATTTTGCTTCCACGTTGGGCGTGATTAAGACGGATAAATACAGTTTTCTGCCGCGTATGTCTTTCAGGTAAAATCGGCTGCTCACGTCTGTGTACGTTTGAGCTGGCACTACCAAAGTTCCGCTGGATGAGAAGTTTTCTATCATTATTTCCATTTTGATGTCATTATCGGTATTTGCCTGAATTAAAAAAAAAGAAATAGGGCCTTTCCATCTCTTTATTTTTAATTTCTCTACTGAAATCAATGAGACCCGTATTTTTTCTTTTTGCTTAAATTTGAATTGTTTAAATTTTTGAAAAAAAAACAGACATTTTTTGTTGAAAATGCGATGACTTGGCCAAAAATGTTCGATCGTTATATTTTTTTTTAAATTGTAGGTAAATTGTTACTACATACAAAAAATATATAAAAAATAAGTAAATTTACTCAATTTTGTTTTCACTAAAATAGACAAAAAAATTGAGGTCAAAATTTTGACATTCCAACATATTTTTTTACTTCATATTTTTTTCGTTTTAAGTTGATAATATGAACAACTTTCACCAAAAGTCCCGAGTTGGCTAAATTCGTCGTTTCGGAATTATTATTTGTTTAATGAAAATGCCATTTTCTAGTAAATTTGTGTTTCATATTTAACATATTTTTGTCACTGGAAATGGTCATAAATTTTTATTTATGCATTTTTACATATTTCGATTCAAATTGTCATTTGTCAATTTTTGAAAGATCAAATAACTTTTTGATTAAAAAATACAATTTTATTATTTTTTTGCAATTAGGAGCTTTTAAAAATTGATTTACCCTATCAAAACTATTTTTTTAATAAAAGAGGGTTCGTTGGTCATAAAATAAATCTTTTTTTATTTTTTTACCAAATATTAATGCATTTTTTAATAATATCGCTTTGTATTAAAAGAAGTATCAGATTTGACAGTTCGTTAGTTTGTTTTGCTGGTAAGTGAATATTAACATTTTATATTACCATGAAAACATACGCTAAAACTTTTTATAATATAAAATGAAAATATTAATTGAGGTGGTTAGAATCAAAGGGGTGTAAATAATTGTTTAATTTTTTTTGGTTTTAAAACTACTAAATAAAATTATATTTAATATGTATATAATTATAAAAAGTTATATCCAACCGGTCCATAGTTTGGCCATTGTATGGAATCTCTGGCAATAAATAAAAAAATATTCCTTCCTTCCTTATAGAGCCTCAGTCAAAAAGAGTTTTGCGACTTCCTCACTCATATCTGTTTACCGACCAAAATATTTCTTCAAAATAGCGTTTTTATAAGTTTCTTGTGCATTCGATTAATTACTTTTAGGTATATAATATTTAGTTTTTATTATTTTAACCAAAATTAACATCTTTACATGCGAGAATATTAAGAATTTAAATTTTACTCTAAAATCTTTAATAATTTAATTTACTTACTTAAGAGCATTTTCGTGACAAAAATATGTTAAATATGTAAAAAAGTTCTAAATTACACTTTATAAAGGTCACCCCAGTTTCATGACCTTAGATAAAATTTTTGCGATGAACCACGAATTTACTAGAAAATTGCATTTTTATTAAAACCTTTGGTGAAAGTTGTTTATATTATCAACTTCAATAAAAAAAAATATGAGGTAAAAAAAATTGGCAATGTAAAAATTTTGACCTCATTTTTTGGCATTTTTTAGAAAAAACAAATTAAAAAAAATTGAGTCAATTCACTTAATTTTTTATATATTTTGTACATTTACCTACAATTTAAAAAAAATTAACGATCGAAACATTTTTAGGCAAGTTATAGCATTTTCAAGAAAAAATGTCACTTGTAAGAGAAAAATCAATGTTTCTGTCCATTTTTCAAAAATTTTCTACGGGTGATTAAAACAAATTTAAGCAAAAAGAAAAAATACGGGTCTCATCGATTTCGGTAGAGAAACTGTAAAAAAAAATTGTTGAAAAATAACGACCCACCCCTTTTTGCCTGATCGATTTAACCTTAGTACCGAATAAAGAGATTTGAAAATTAATATTAAAATCAATTTGTTGAAAATACACTTTAAATCACTTTTTGAATGCAATAACATCTAAGGGCGATTCCATGATTACTAACAGGGCAAAAAGAAAGAAGAAAAAATGTTTTTTGGATATTTTCGAAGATATGTTGTTCCTATAACAATAATTAATTTTATTGCTGAGAACTATCATAATAGTATATTAAAGAACTAATGTCATAAGACGTCATTTTGTCGTACGCGGACAATTTATGAACGAGTGCGACAAAAGGTCTTATGACATGAGTTCTTTATGCTAATTTTATACCTTAAATTTAATTTGGTCGAATTTTACTTTAGATAGTTGGTATCACAGTCATTGGTTTGACAGTTAATGTCAAAATCGATTCGCCATGCCGTCCTTAATTTACTTATTCACAATAAGCGGCTGTTAATGTTGAAGAAGAAAAAAAGGATTTTCTTTGGTGTTAAACAAAATTTATTGCCAGAAAAGTCTCGTAAGTACTAGAAAAATCATAAAAATATTATAACCAATATGAAAAAATATAATGCTGTTTAAAGTATAGCCAACCTATAAAATCAAAATTTTGGGTGGGATAAAGTATCCCATTACAGCACGGAAAGCGGTGTTATAATGAAGTCAATATGAATGCAAAATAGATAAAATTATTATTATAGGAACAACACATCAAAAATTTCATAAAACATTTTGGTTTCTTTCTGTTGGTCCCGTTACTAATCATAGAATCGCCCCTAAGTAAATTACTAAATTAATTGTTTTGGTGTTATTTTTGTTAGGTTTAGTCCAAAACTTTTTGTAATATTTTATGTAACTAACACTTTCAGGGCTCCCACGGCTAAATTACAAATTTTATTTGGGAATTTAGGAGGTTTTTTGTAAAATTTTAGGATAAATAAAGTAAATGAATTTCTTTAATTAAATAAAAATAAATCTACACTGTACTTAAAAAATAAGAAAAAAATATATAATTCTTTTTAAGAAAAATTTAAATATCAAAATTAAAAGTGAGGTAAAATTACTACTTTTGTATATCTTAATTTTATTTAAAAAAAGAAAACGCGTCGATAGATTTGGCTAAAAACCTAGGCCAAAATCAAATGATAACCTTTTAGTTAACATAATTATACCTAACAAGTATTGTAATGTGGATCTTAAATTAAGATTCTTAATACTCAAAAATATCATAATAGATAATATATGAAGTTTGCAATATACAGGAAAACATTCTTTAGATTGTGTACTATTTTAGCTGTCATTTAAAAGAAAATTAAAAATCCTTTTGTTTGTTATATAACACGATAACGAAAGAGCTGTTACTTAGATTTTGTTTTTAGGTATATTTTGTTACTTTTTAAGAAAAATGTTGGTTGTGATATTAAATCATTTTAAAAAGAATTTAATAAAGTAGAATCTTAAAATTTATTTTTTTAAATTACTTTTTAAAAAAGATTTTTTTTAGTATGACAACTACCTTAATTAGGTTGGCCTATTTATATTTAATTTTTAGGAGTTTTAGGAGATTGATGGCCATTTTAGGAGAATTTGTGGGAGCCCTGCAGTTTTCTAAATGATAATAAAATTATTATTAATAATAATAATACTTGCATTTGTTATGGCAGCGTTTGATCCTGGCGCAATCCTTCCCACGTCGCCTGACAAACTGTAACTAAAATCGATGGGCAGCAAGTTGATCAGCTTCACAGTGGGCAGCAAGACGATCTTATGCGCCGGCTGTTCGACAGCGTTGGCCCTTTCGAACAGCTGCCTGATCTTGCAGATCTTCGCGCAGAACCTGTAGTTGTGCCCCTTGTGCGTGTGACACGTGCGAATCTCGTGCATCGCGTCGACGTTCTGCGCCATTTCCAGCCAGGAGATCGTCGGCGAGCAGTATATGTACTGGTGCGTCACGTTGACGGGTTTGACGCTTATTTCCGAGTGCGCGTGGACTATGGGCACGGCTAGCGTGCCTTCGGGGTCGATGCGGAAGGACTTGCTCGGAGCCCACAAGGCCACGGTGTCGTGCGGCAGGCGACTTTCCAGCTTCACCTCGACGGATTGCTGGAGTTTGTTGACTAAAACCACGGCGGAGCGTATTGTTACCAGTTTGCGGGCCGAGCCCTCTAAAGCGACGTCAAAGACTATTCTGGCCGCAGGGCGCTCTTTTTGATTCTAAAATAATAATATTAATAATAATTTATTTATTGCCCAACAGTTTGAACCATTACAGGACATTTAAATAAGATATGTGTACTGTATAGTATTCAAAGTATAAAAATAGTATTCAAAGTATAAAAATATATAAAAATTCACAGAATTTATTAATTTTTGCTAGTCAATCTTGGTAATTTGAGAATTAAGCAACCTAAACAAAAATGAAATTGATTTAGTAAATTTTCTCTTTAAAGAGATTTAAATTCAAATGTCAATAGTGGCAAATCATGGTCAAACTCCTGAGTTGGATATTCACCATATATGAAGATGTAAGAGATAGATTGGATACCAGATTATAGAAGCATATTCCATATTTGACCTTATTAATGAAAAATACAACATTTTTAATGAGCTTTCATTTATAAATTGTTTGGTATTTCGAATGAGAAAACCCAACATTTTAAAAGATGAGTTTACTACTGCGTTGATATGGTTTATAAAGTTCAGCTTTGTGTCAAATCTAACTTCCAGATCTTAAAAGTCTGTAACTTGTTCCAAACACCTATTGTTGATTTTATAATTATTATTATTATTATATAATATGTATATATAAATAAATGATAAAATTACATGTCTTATTTTAACACCTATTATATTGGATATTTGTTATTTTTACTATTAGTTATTTTTTGTCAATTTTTTAACAATGTTAAAAATTCCTAAAATTATTGAAAATTTGTTATTTTTTGACAATTTTGGAAATTTGCCCCACTATTTTGTATATTTATACCACTGCGAATTTTTCCACAATTTTTTAATTTTGTCATTTTTTAAAGCTTTGGAAGTTTTGAAAAATTTGTCCCACCATTTTTTATTTATACCGAGGCGACTTTTTCCACATTATTTTAATTTTGAACCTATTTCATTTTTGACATAAGATGATAAAAATGATCTTAAAAATTAAATATACATTACATCTCTAATTTTTAACATTTATTATATTTTTGAGGATTTAGTAAATTTTTTGAAAATTATGCGAATTTTAAAAATGTGTCCCTCTATTTGTTATTGCCATTGGGAATTTTTCCACAATTTTTTAATTTTGAAGCGATGTCATTTTTGACATCTGTCATTTTCAACATATTAATTACACTAGGCAACAAATTTTAACTTAAAAAAAAGGTCCTGGTTAAAAATAGAATTTTTCGATTGTTTATGACTGAAATAGATCCAAAATGTTTTTAAAAAAATTTCGTAAATAAAAAATAGGAGCACAGTATTTCGGTACCATTTACAGCATAGATACACCATTTGAAAATTTTAGGATGACGTTACTTTTAACTAATATTTCAGCATTTCATGAACAACATATCTTTACATATTGTAAAAATTTAAGGCATGTTTTTTTGATGTTTACTGTTTTTTATCGTTCAAATTATTTTGTTTACTTATTTTTATCGTTATTATTTAACAATTTTTCTTTGTATCATGGTGCTGCCCGTATCGTCTAAACGAGACTTTGGAAAATTTTTTGTCGCCGGATTTGCGTCGAGCAGGTAAAAATCTATAGGAGTGTGCTATTTTTATTACCGACCTTTTTTATTTACTAATTTTTATCGTTATTATTTAACAATTTTTCTTTGTATCATGGTGCTGCCCGTATCGTCTAAACGAGACTTTGGAAAATTTTTTGGTCGCCGGATTTGCATCGAGCAGGTCAAAATCTATAGGACTGAGCTATTTTTATTACCGACCTTTTTTTATTGTTTACTAGTGTTATTTTTGTAATTTTTTCAAAAAAATTGAAAATTTGTTTTACTACATTTTATATTTACAGTATAAATAAATAAAAAATATACATAAAATATTTAATTTAATAAAATAAATTTCTACATTTTTTTCAATTTGAACCAATGTTAAAGATCTCATTTTTACCATTTGGTATTTTTGTCAATTTTGTAAATTTTAAAAAATTTTTAAACGTTTAAAAATTTGTTCCACTATTTTTTGTATTTATACCACTGCGAATTTTTCCACAATTTTTTAATTTTGAACATTTGAAATTTTGGATATAAGATGTCAATTTTTGGCAATTTTGTAAATTTTGAAATTTTTGAAAATTTAAAAAAAATATTCCACTATTTTTTATATTTATACCACTGCAAATTTCCACAATTTTTTATTTTGAATATTTGAAATTTTGGATATAAGATGTCAAAAAATGAAAGATGTCAAAATGACAGATCATTTTAGACATCTGTCATTTTTACCATTCGTTATTTTTGGCAATTTTGTAAATTTTGAAATTTTTAAAAATTTAAAAAAATATTTCCACTATTTTTTACATTTGTTCCACTGCGAATTTCCACAATTTTTTAATTTTGAAAATTTTGGACATTATTTGAAAAAATTCGAAATTTTGTAAAGCATTTCTACTGTTTTTTAGTATAGCGTAATACAGACATATTAATAAGACCATCCATCTGTTAAAATTTAAAATAAAAATTAAATAGGTATCTCAAAAACTGTTCAAAATAAAAAAACAATCAAATTTTAGTATTTCTAGAATTTAACGTAGAATTTAAAAAATGCAATAATATTTTTATGGTTTACCGGAAGTGATAACGCATTGAAAATAATTTAAGAAAATAGTGCCTTATAATTGATATACAAATTTTAAATCGATATCTTTTTCCGTTTTTCATAAACTTCTAATAAATAAGTTAGGTGAATAACCCTGTATACTTATGTATTATATTTGTAATTCACTTGTATTTTTTCAGAGCATAAATAAATATTATTAAATAATATCATTTGACATGTCATTTATTTATGAAAATTTTGTCCCACTATTTTTTATATTAAATTTTATACCACTGCAAATTTTTTGTAAAATGTTAAATCTGTAAAATTGACAGATCTCATAAACGTTTGACATCTGTCATTTTAAACATTTGTTATTTTTTGACAGTTTTAAAATTTTTTAAATTTATCCCACCATTTTTTACTCGTAAATAGTTTTGGTTTACCACGTCCGCAAAAACTACATTAAAAAAAACTTACCCTCGACACAATCTCGGCTTCGGCATGCCTAAAATAGGTGCCAACTTTATCTATAGTGACGGGCGTTACGGACTGCCAACCGTCAACTTTAACGGTCAGCTGGTGCATTTTCAACTTGTGCGAGTCCTGATGCCTGATCTTGTCTCTTTGCGTGAAAGTGAAGGGTACAATCTGACCGGGTTCCACCACAGTCCAAATGTTATCGGTGGTGTACGACGCGGTTTTGTTGTACTCCGTTATAAGAGTCGTGAAAGCCAGCTGCGATCCTGTTTCGTTCATCAAGGCGTAGGGAACGAAGGGGAGACGTTTGCGGTGGTTTTCCGACTTCTTCACGTCCTTCAAGAGGTAGTAATCTTTGGTCCAATTGTCTTTGACTTGGCTGTACAGTTCTATCAAAGTTGAGGTGATGTTGATGTTCAGTATATCCGCTTCGTCCGATTCTACGGTGATGTATAAACGGTTTCTAGTTAGGTCCAAGGAAAGAGTCTTTTTCCACGCCACGCGACATCTAAAACGGTCGAAATAAAAAACACAAATCATCGCAAAATAAAACACTCTTACTTCCATGGTTCTATAACTGGCTCCCACCCGGATAACACTCTGTTGTAATACGACCCGACAAGGGTACAATCCAAAGAACCCTGCGGGTATATGGGCATAAGTGGGTTCATATTGGGCATTACTTGAGATAGACACAAGTCTGAGAAGGAAAATTCCAGTAGAGGTACATCAGAATCTCTGCAATCGTCGATGATGCACAAGGTTACACAAGTGGCGCGAAACTAAAAAAAACGTTTAGTTCCAAACAGGGTTCGAAAAAATCACGATTAAAAAAAAATCAAAATCAACGATTTTTAGTTAAAAAATAAAAAAAATCAACAAAACACGATTTTTTTTTAATTTTTTTTAAATTATAAGCTTTTTTAATAAAGTGTACTATTAAAAAAATACTAAAAATAACTTAACTATACGCTAAAGAATTATCGGGTTTTCAAATGCGCGCGCCATCTGGTGGACTTAATTTAAGAATAATTATTGTCAACAATACATTTAAAACATACGAACTGTACATTTTTAATTAAATAGGTAGTTTTTCATAAACGACAAATTTTGTACAATTGCACAGCTAAATCGCGCATGTTATTTGTGTTTTACGTTGCAAGGAAAAAACTAAAAAAACTGATTTAGTACTCAATTTCGATTAATTATTCTTTATATCATTGATTAAAAAACTCAACGCTTAAATGCTTATATAGTTACGTTACGAATTATTGTGATTTTAATTGTAAATAAAATTCAAGAACTAAATTGTTGCATTTTGCCAAAGGATCCAATTCAGTAAGTACGATTGTTGGTGCAGAATTAACTAATGATAACTTTATCTAATATAATTTATATTTCAGTTTGGACATTTTTAAGAAATTACTAAAAAATAATTTTTGCACAAACATAACCTTAAAATCAACCATTTTTATATTTGAGTTCTCTAAAAAAAACCGACAACTGCATTTTAAACAACAAAATATACCTACGAATTCATGGAAACATAATATTATATATAATACATAATATAATCAACGCTTTCAATAATGCGAAAAGCTGTTTAAATTTAGACGACTTATTTGTTTGACGATTATTACTGAATTGAAATGTTTTTACGTTAATCATTACTAAAATATGTATTTATTGTATCTAATAGATACGATTTATATGCAATTTATTTCTTCATTCGGATTAACACTGTTTATTGGAAAACCGATAAAAACTCAACCCAGGATTTCCTCTCGAAATACACTCAACAACACAACAAATCGTGCCACGTTTTTTTTTCGATATTTTTTAACATTTCCCAGCTTTATTCTCAAAACACTCGTTTGTAACACACGCGTTTGACAGCTGATTATCAAAAGTTGTACTTTTGTTACGATGAACAGCCGAGTGGTGGCGATACTTCTTTAGCATATAGGGTTTAAAAATTTCCGGAAAAATTGGGCCGGCGGAAAAAAACCGTTTTTTTTCGAAAAAATTTCAGAAAAATTGACATTTGCAATTTTTTCATTTTATTCAATTCAATTCACGATGCAAAAGTCAATTTTTTAAAAAAAATTGCAAATTTTTACAGATATCTGTAAAAAAATGAATTTTGGACGCTGATTATAATCATAATATTATAATAAATCATATATGATAATAATAATTATTTCTTTTATTTTAATTCAGTAAGAATTATCTCCTGGTCCGCAAAAAAACATATTCGGTGCTGTATTAACATACAAAATTTAGATTAATTTGACATTTCGATTTAAAAATTATAATTTTGTAATTTAACTTTATAAATCAAACATTATTTTGTAATTTGATATTTTAAATGGACTAATTTTTGCAAAAAAGCCTCAACCGAAAGTATATTTAATGATTACGTTTATTTTCTTAGATCAATTTAATTCAATATTTAGTTTTATTTTTTTCTGTAATAAAGGATATTTTTTTTAAATTAAAATAATGTTAAGTAGTTAATTGCTACTTTTTTCAAATGTGTATATTTAAAAAAAAATATTATTTTTTTTTCAAAAAAGACAATTTTTCCAAGGCCTGGGAATAAACGGAAGAAACAGTTTTTTTCCCTCAATTTTTCCGACACTTTAAAACCCTACTTGACTATAATAATAATATATTGGCACTACTTTATACACAAATAAACCACCGACCGCAACCGTCATATATTTTATATTCCTTTATTATTTTATTTAACAAAATAAGCAGTTTTTCTATACATATGAATTTATTTAAATAGTGTCAAAATATTATTGTGCTTTAGTTTTAGATTTTCTAAGTGTTTTTTTTAAACTGATTTAAATCATTGATTAAAATAAAAAAATCACTTGATTTAAATCGTGATTTCGTGAAAACTTACCTCAATATCTTTAATAAATGGTTTTTTAACGTTTTTATCAAACATTGAAACGGCATTGCGAGTTAGCCAAAGAGCAGCATCATCAATAGTGTTATTACATGTTTCCAGTGCTTCAATGCAGTCACTAGAGCGAAAACCTAAAGCTGTCAAGGTAGAAATTTTACCTAAAAAATAACCACAATTACAGATTTATTACATTGCTTTTGTTATCCCTAAAATACCTCTCAAATTTCTGGATATTTCTGGCTCTTTTTCTGAAGTCGTGATCTGATTCGGCAACGATTTTATTATTTGCATGAACATACACATGTCGTTGTAAGAAAGTCGCACTTTAAGGAATTGCAATTGTATCTCAAGTTTATCCTCATGAATAATATCTATGTTCAACGTTACAGGGTCTATAATAGATAGAGCTGTTGTTTCCTCCATCCCCAAAACGCATGAGAACATTTCGCAATTATTCAGCGCGCATGATAAGGGTTTTTCCGTATTCGCCGGTTTATATGTTAAAACAGTAGTTGTCTAAAGAGAAATATCACAAAAATACACGTTAACAAAAAACTTTTCTCATCACTTACTTGAAATATAACAGCATTAGAGTCCCACTGACTGTTATCCTCCAAAATCACAATCTCCGAATCCGTTATGTTCATGTTCAACTCAAATATTTCCTCCTCCCTTTTGCCATCAACTTCATCAAGTGGCTTATGCTTCTGCGGTGTTATCGGTAGGGAATTTTCCTGGATATCCTGGAAAATGTACTCGCGAACTTGCTGCCACCAATCGAAAATCGCCATGAGTCGCATATTGTTCAGCAATATCGTCGATTTAGTTTTGTTGCGTCTTTTGCGATTGTGGATCTCGACTTGCAGCTCGTTTTTCTTGGAGTTTTTGTTCGGTTGTAGTATGTTCGTGAAAACGTTCACAGGAGATGCGGTTTCAATACCTTGGAATCTGGTATCGACAATAAGAATTTCCTGCGACATCAAATCCACGTCCTGACTGTTGTCACTGTACGTTTCCAAAACCAGTTTTGACTTGATGAAGTTTATGCAACTTATAGGCGGACTTTCGTGCGATTTAAGCAGCCTTAAGGTCACGTTTTGTAGGTCCAACTTGAGTGAGAATGTTGTCCAAACATCTCTGATATTAGCCTATACAAATGCTTTCATAAGCAAACGAAAGTGTGCAAGAAAAACAATACAATACCTCAGCATCAATGGATGGTTGTGTTACTATAACAGGGACCCTTTCCTCCCCAAGGTTATAAGCCAATAATCCTCTTATTAGTCTGTATTGAGATAGTTCTAGAGCACCATCTAGTGTGGACAGTTCTCCATAAACACTTTTGTCAGGAACTAAAAATTTACTATTTAAAGCACAACATAGTTTCCAAAAACATTAAAGTACAACAGCCATGAAAAATCTCTTAAATTTTATACAAAGCAAAATGTGTTACAGGACTGAATATAGATTTTGGAAAGGCTCTTGACACGGTAGATCCGCACATACTTGTAAAAAAGATACAACAAATGGGACTGAAAGAAAAAGCAATTGATATCTTTAAATCTTACTTAACTGGAAGAAAACAATATACAAGAGTAGGAGATGAAGCTAGTGACCAAGAGAGTATATACTATGGAGTGCCACAGGGTTCCATTCTGGGTCCTTATATATATTTATTATATATAAATGATCTTCAGTTCTAACATTTAATTGGAAAAATGATGGTCTATGCTGATAACACGGTTCTTTTCTATGAAAACACAAATGACAAAGAAACAGAACACCAACTATAAATGACTAAAATGGACTAATACAAACAAATTAACACTAAATAGTGCAAATTGTCATATAATAAACTTTGAAAATAAAACAAAAAATCACAACATTAGAATCACCATAAATTCAGAAAAAATTATAGAAGAAAAAAAATTAAATACCTGGGTCTAGTCAGCATAAAAAACATACTTTGACATACAAAGGGCTTGCACATATAAATATTGAAGAATTAAGGGAAATGGAAACAATAAAACTAATAAAAAAATATTGGAAAAATAATACTGTGATCAAGACTTAAATATAATCATATGATCTTAAGTACATGGATACATGACGAGAAACAATCACAAAATTCAAAGACCAAAATAGGACAAAAACGAATATTGACTGAAGGTGTCAGACTCTATAATGATATTCCAAAAGAGATCAAAAATACAATCTAATTAAATGTACTTTTTTTTCTTGTTTATTGCTGTTATTTATATTATTTATACTTCTTGTTACCATTTATTGCTGATATTTAAACATTTATTACTGTTAATATATGGGTGAATATTTCAAAAGTGTAATTCAATCGGTTCTGGCTTGTTATTTCAAAGGTTAATACACTTGATGTCTAGTTTAATTAACTATTTTTACTTGATTCCTTACTTATTTTAGTCTAAACAAGCACAGTAAAAAATATATTTTAATTTTTGTGTCGCAAACGTCATTACCGTGCATTGTTTACATTCGAAGAACAACAACATATTATTTTATTTACAAATTAAATCTTGCAATATCCTGTCTAACACAGACGAAGAAAATACAAAATATTACAATGCAAGCAAGAAGTTGCATTTTAAAATGTTAACTTTTCTTTTAATGCCGTTTAAACTTTATTCACACCCATGAGCGTCATTGCCGTGGCTACTTAAAATGTGTCTTATTTCATATTTAAATACGCGATACATTCCGAAAATGCCGGAAGTTTTCGAACGTCTGATATGAAAATATCCTGCCTGTCTAACGTCCACTAGCTATGTCAAACCATAAAGTTGTTACGACTAAGTTCGTCATTGTCGGGGTAAGTATTATTTCAAAGTTTATTGACATACAAAATATTTACATTAATACAAAGGAGTCTTGTATTAACAAAAAGCAAATGCTAACTTGAAAATTCCATTACATTTTCGAATAAACATTGTAAAACACTCTAACCTTAAAATCATCATTACCGTGCTCGTCATTGTCGTGTCCCTTACATGTAACCAATTTAAAATATTTAATTTCAGTGGGAAATTAATTAAAATGACAAAACCACGAAACAAGTTGACCAACGAAGATAAAAGATAAGCAGAACGTGAGAGACGCAGAAGAATAAGAGATGACCAAGTAAAAAAGACAAAAACAAAATTTACTTTTTTAGTCTTTATGTCATTGCAATTTTTTTTTGTGTTAACGAAAATGGTTCCGAAAATCGACAGTTTTAAAATATTCATATTTGGATATTATCTTCAATAAAAAAAATAAATGTAAAAAAATGAATCATTGTATAATAAAAACTTACCATTGTGACACACGTTGTTGTTCATGTTGGTCTCAATCTGCAACTTGAACTGTATTTTTTTCGTCAAAAACGAAGCGCCATTCTTGACGATTCTATTGCTGCCGAACTTAAAATACTCTCCCTTTATTTCCTTCTTCAAATCGTTGTCTTTAACGGCCGCGTATAAATCCATGTTATCCAACTCGACCACCATAACCTCCAGAAGGCATTTCTTGTCGGATTTTTTGGTGTCCACGCTTATGGTGCCCTTATCTCCGGAATGTTTAAAGGAGTTTTTTACCACCAGTTGACCCAAATCCGCTATTAGCAGGTCGGTGGATTTGGAACTCTCGGGAAGAAGAATGATAGGGGAGTTGGCTTGAAGATACAGAAGAACTTTTTGATGGTCGTCTTTTACCAATTGCCCGCTGGTTGCGACTCTAATGCTCTTCATCACGGATTGCAGTTGAGTGAAATGATTGAAGAACGTTAAAATTTTGGCCACAAATCGTTTGGTGTGCACATACATAACCGAAGACATATCGATGGATAATTTGGCGTCATAATCCTTATCGGCTGTAGGCGCATGTCTGAAATATTTAATAAAACTTTCTAAAAATAACATTAAGAGAATTTTTTTTTTAAGTAAATTAAAAATATGGTGTTAAAGACCGTATTTTTGTTAGTATACCCTAAAAATGTTGTACAAATCAAATGAACAGAAACAAAGATACAGCGCTTTAGAGTCGGTGAAAATTACCCCTTTTTTGATTATTTTGCTGAATTTTTGACGACTTTGAAGCGCTGTATTTTCGTTACTGTTCGTTTGATTTGTACAAAATTTTCAGGGTTCACTAACAAAAATACAGTCTTTCACAATTTTTTTTGAGCGTTTTTTATTATTAAATAGGATTTTCTCGAAAAACCCTTGAACACGTAAACTGAGATATAAGTTAAAGTATTTTTATCCAAAATTTTATAAAGATTGATAAAGGCGTTTTAGAATTGGATTTTTTTACTTGTTATGCGTTAATTTCGACGCGTAAATACACTCACAAACAAAATAATTGCTCCACACAAATTTTCGATGAATTTCAGTCGCAAATAACTTTTTTATTTGATTTCGGATTTAAACAAATATTAAAGAATATTGTAAATAAATTAATGGAGAATAGCTCAGATTTTAAAAATAGACGTACGTTTAGGTTTAAACAAAAATATGTTTTTACCATAAGTTTAAGACACTCTGTAGAGTGGCAAAGCCGTATATTGTTCTAAATTAAGTTTAATTGTCAAGTCATATCTATTTTTAAAAGTTTTGTTTTTGGTTCACCTTGATATTATTTATTTTTGTGAAAAATATGCATTTTTTAAAAAAACATTGCAATTTACAATATTTTTTCTGTATGAAGAACTAAGGTTGCTATGGTCCATCCATAGCCTATTGAGGATGCTATCAAATTGTTTTTTATAAATTAATGTGTTACTTTTAGGTGTCTTCTTACTTTTAAAAATGAATATGTCTCCAACTGATGCTGCCCTTTGTACTTTACTTCTTGTGAAGTTTAAAACACTTGCCACGTAATACTGTGACATATCCATTTTTAAAAGTAAGAAGACACCTTAAAAGTAACAAATTAATTTACAAAAAACAATTTGTTAGCTTTTGAAAGCAGTATATGACATGTCCAAGTATGGGATGATTCAACAAAACTGTCACTATCCTCCATAGGCTATAGAAACCTTAGTTCTTCGTACAGAAAAAATATTGGAAATTGCAATCCATATTTTCCACAAAAATTAATATATCAAGGTGAACCAAAAACAAGACTGTTAAAAATAGATGTGACTTGATAATTAAAACTTTATTTAGAACAATATACGGTTTTGCCACTCTACAGAGTGTCTTAAACTTATGGTAAAAAACTTATTTTTGTTTAAACCTGTATAATATTAACGTACGTCTATTTTTTAGTACGTTTTTAAAATGTGAGCGATTGTCCATTAATTTATCTACAATATTCTTTAATATTCGTTTAAATCCGACATCAAATAAAAAAGTTAATTGCGATTGAAATTCATCGAAAATTTGTGTGAATCGATTATTTTGCCTGTAAATGAAACACAAGTTAAACAAAAAGTTCAAACTTTCGCCACTATACGCGCTGCTAGTCTAAAAGCAGGCTTTGTTTTGCTTACCTGTCATAATGGAACTCCAAAGCATGTTTTCCGGAGGTCATGAATCTCTCCCTGTACAGTTGCCCGTGTAGGGTCAAATCCAGCAAAGACAAAGACCCCAATTTACCGCTGACTTGTTTACGTAACCCGCAAGTCTTGACGTCGATATCGACGTTGGAAATGTTCGCTTTCGCTATGTCGTACTCGGGTTTGACTATCGCGACAGAGAGCGATTTAACGAATATATTTGTTTCGGCGTTCTCCTTGGAGGAACCTGAAATAGAACGTTAAAAAAAACCGTGCGGTTATTTTTTGGGGGTTACCTTTACGCATGTCTTCTGCGGACGATAAGTTTACGTTGTAAGTTGAATAGGTTACGGTGTTTGAAGGTGAGGCGCTGAAAAAGTCTATCACGACCACCCAGGATTCAACGCTGACTATCAAGTCCAGGCAATTGAAGTCTATTTGGGTTGATCTTTGCATCTACGAGATAAAATGAACCTTGTTATATTACTGCTTTTACAAACCATGTAAAATAGGGTGTGTCATTTTTGAGCAACTTCTTTTTTTCAACTAAAAAACAGGCTAAAAATTTCAGGAAGGTGAAAAAAGAAGCTTCTAAAAATGTGAGCTCTTGTTTCTTATTTTTGTATCTTGACATTGGAGCATTGTAAAAACGAACTGAAAAATTATTTTGGTAGGAAATTGAACGCTCTACAAAAAAGTACTAATTTATTTTTTCATAGATTAAGCCGTTCTGAAGGTATTTTATTATTATTTTTATTTTATTTACTATCAAAAAAAGTTATTTGTGTTCAATAAATTTGTTCAATAATTATAATAGATTAAATAAAACAATGAATTTTTTATTGTATTCGAATTTTTAATCTTTCTTTTTTAATAATTTTAAAGTCGATAACTCTGATAAAAGATTATATCGGCTCAGTCGGTATATTACAGTGACTAGAGGCACGCTAACGTGCAGCGATTCGAAATGTTAAAGGCAACTTTAAGTTTGAATACCTTCAGAACGGCTCACTCTATGAAAAAATATATTGAAACTTTTTTGTAGAGCGTTCAATTTCCTACCAAAATAATTTTTCAGTTCGTTTTTACAATGCTCCAATGTCAAGCTACAAAAATAAGAAAAAAGAAAAAAAAATGTCCATGTTATTTAAATGGAAAATGGAAAGTTAGGAACAGGCACCACTTAATGTTAATATTAAGAGCTCAAATTTTTAGAGGTTTCTTTTTTCACCTTCCTGAAAGTTTTTAGCCTTAAAAATGACACACCCTAATGTAAAACCTTACCGAATTATAGTAAGAGGCGAAATTCGGTGCAGCAGGATCAACGAGCAAAGAACTAATCAAAACCAAGTTCTTCACGGGTTTTTGTCTGCTCAAGGAAGGAGAAGGGGGCGGGGTACACGGAAACCTCCCCCCACCACTCCCTTGCGGGTTCGGAGAGTAGACAGGCTGACTGGGCACGTTGATGCCGAACACTTTGGCGGTCTCCAGGTGATCGGGAAGCGAACCCGGTATGACGGTGGAAAATTCCGGTCTGAAGCCGGAAACGTCCGGGCAGGAGCGCGAGACGCATCCCGCCCCGGAAGGGTACTCGTCTCCGCTGGAGGAGATCACCATCGAACGTTGCTTGGAGTTTTCCGGTTGCAAGAGATCCTCCATGAATATCGAGCGCAGGGAAACCTGAATGTTGGTTTCGTATTTGTGGAATTTCTCGTAGTTAAAAACGAACTCTCTCAGCGATAAGTCCACTAAACCTTGCTCGCCAGTCGGGGAGTCGCCTTTAAGTTCTATTATCAGGATAGGTACTTCAAAACCAACTAAAAAGAAACCAATGTAACACCACATAGTATTTAAACTAAACTGCGCACCACTCAATGAGTCGCGACCAAAAAGTTCGTTCTTTTTCAAAACGACATAACTTTTTTGTTTCTTGAACGATTTTATTTTGGTCTGTGATGTCTCCTAGCCCCATCCTCTGGCAATTCATGATATAGATATGAAGCTCAAGGTTCTTCAAGTAAATTTCCTACAGGGTGTTATGTTAAATGGTGAAAATTTTCAATGACTTCATCCAAGCCCCGTTTGTAAAAAAATAATTTTTTTCTCGTTTTTACTTTGAAATAATGAAATATTATGTCTTACCTTGAAACGTTTTTAAAATTTTTCGAATTGGAATCGTATCAACGAAAATATGATTTTTTTTTCTAAAAGAGTACATTTAAGGCTTTTTTGTAGGCAATTTAACAGCCGGGAATTGTTTTCGAATTTTGATTCTTAGTGATTTTGGTTTTATCTGAAACTTAAATTTGACAACTGAATCACAAGCAGGAGGTCAAAATTATAAAAAAAAACATGTCACGAACGTAAATATCGGTTCAGGATTGGTTTTCGCAAATTTTCACCAAAATGTCATTTTAAAAAAGTTGTCTTTGCTTAGGCCCCTCTGAAAATAATGGAAGTTTGTTGCTTGTCGTTTGTTCAGAATTATTCAAGGAACAATCTTTCACCATCTTATCTCCTTGTTCTTAAAAAGACTGAGTGTATTGCCTACCAAAAAGCCTTAAATGTACTCTTTTTAAAAAAAAATCATTTTTTCTTTGCTAAGATTCCAATACGAAAAAATTGAAAACCTTTTCAAGGTAAGACATAATACTTCATTATTCCAAAGTAAAAACGAGAAAAAAATATTTTTTTACAAACGGGGCTTGGATGAAGTTATTGAAATTTTTGACCGTTTTACATATCACCCTGTACGAAATTTACTTGAAGAACCGTGAGCTTCATATCTATAGCATGAATAGCCAGAGGATGGGGCTAGCAGAAATCGCAGACCAAAATAAAATCGTTCAAGAAACAAAAAAGTTATGTCGTTTTGAAAAAGGACGAACTTTTTGGTCGCGACACATTGAGTGGTGCGCAGTTTATAACAACAAACCTTTTAATGCTAAAGCGTTCTGTGTACTCGGTTTGGTCTTAGAAACATTCGTGGCAGTTGGAAACATTTTAGCTCTAACATGGGGATCCATATTGAGCGTTGTAACGCCGATATCCTCTTCGCTGATGTCGGTTAAAATCGGTTGAGGTCGCGAATTTACCCTGCTTACGCCTTGAGCTTCTAATAAGGCTGGCGATGACGTCAGCCATTGCACAGTGTCCAAAACTTGTTCGTATTGCGAACGGGTTAAAGATACTTTAAGAGCGGTAACTATATTACCGTATATCTGAAATTAATTAAGAAATCCTCAGTAAATTCTTATATTACACTAGTTTACAAAATCGAAAAAAAATTCTGCCCACCATATCCCATTATAATTTTTCCATGTATTTTGACCCACTAAACACAAAAAAAAATTATGGAAGCGTTTTTGAAATATGAATTTCCAATTGTTTTTTTTTTCTTCAATTTTCGGAGGTGTTTTGACGTTTTTGAGTATAGCTTGAAATCTAATAGATCGATTTGGTCAAACAAGCCCTTAAATTGAAGGGATTTGAGCCCTCTAAAACTTTAATTTACATACTTTTGATATCGGATAAGTATTTTGACATCGAAAATATACACATCGAAAATATACATATCGTCCTGGGAAAGGGTTAAATCAAACAGATAACTCCAGTTTGGATTTTTTTGTAAACCTGACATTTTTACAAAAAAAAACAAGCTAATGTTGATAAATTTTATGAAAAAATGGCGAAGTTATGAATTTTTTAGTGGAAGACCAAAATTCAGCTTTTTGACGATTTTTATTTTATTTTTTTTTATTTTATTTTGTAATATGTTTATTCTTTAATGAAACCCCAAATAAAGTGCATGATTGGAATTTTTTTAGTTTTTTTACTTTCTTTTTTCACATTATTCAAAATTTAAATTTGACATGACTCCGCAAACGTGAATTCTTTTGTTTCTTGTGTTGGCATAGTGACATTTTACTGCTATTTTTTGATATTTCAACAAGGTATTTTTATCATGGTTTTATTTAGTTAATAAAAAGTGTAAAATGAGTAAATGAGTTCAAGTGCGTAAAAAACCTGGACAATCTACCAGCAAATGAAGGCTATGGAGCGGCGGTATTATGGCTTCTGGGATGCAGCCATGATGGGTGATTACATTTGGTCCCTTATACAAGAAACGGAATAAGAAAGCAACAAAAAACAAAAAAGGAGCCAGATTTTTTCAAACCTATGCTTATTACAACAAAATAAAACTTTCAATATCTTCAATGTTCAATATTTATTGTTCAATATACAATATATAATTTAATTTTAATATTTAATGTTTAAAATAAAAATCAATGTTCAATATTAAACTTTATATAACTCAATAAAATGAAAAAAACGTAAAAATTCTCGAAAAAACTGAATTTTGGTCTTTCAATAAAAAATTCATAACTTTGCCATTAATCCATGGATTTTTATCAACAGCAGCTTATTTTTTTTCCTTTAAGTATAATCTATACGTACAATAAATCAAACTGGACTTATCTTTTCAATTTCTCTCTTTCCAAGAAAGATATGTACATTTTTGACCTCGATTTTAGTAAAAAGTATCGAACTACTGAGCCAATACCAAAACTATACAAGAGAAAGTTGTAGATGGCTTAATTACCTTTGATTTAAGTGCTTGTTTGGTCAAATTGATCAATTAGAACTCAAAGTATACTCTAAAACGTCAAAACACCTCAGAAAATTAAATAAAAAACAATTGAAAATTAATATCTCGAAAATGCTTCCATAAAAAAATTTAAGTGTGATTTTCGCGTTTAGTGAGCCAAACTACACAAGAAAATAATAGTGGGACATGTTGGGCAAAATGGCTGTAAACTAGTGTTATTTACCTGTATTGATTGGGAATTATTGTCCAGAGATAGGCTTTCTTCATCGTCCAGCAATAAGTTTGATTCACTACTATTCCGCGTAAAAAGTGGTTTACTTATTTCCCTATCGATTACAAGTTGTATTAAAGTGTCGTGTAATATAGGTTTGGCTAAAGTTGAGCAGTTGTACAGTACTTCAGGTTTTGGTATCCTAAATGCATAAATAATTATTGTATATTGCATATTTTAGTTTTATTAGTAAATTAATCTTACATTGGTCCTGGTACTCTTCGTGGCCCCGTATCCAAAGAAAACAAATTCATATCTTTAACCTCAATATCGTAATGTTCCAATCTCGACTCATTATAATCAAGGTTATAACCGTTACCGTTCGTGTTGCTTGAATTCTTATTGCTCATGCGTATCTTACCCAGATGAGCAACAAAAACTTGCGTACTTTTGGACGCTCTGGGAAGAACCAAAACTGGACTGTCGAACTCCACATCCAAACTTAAAAAATACCACTTTAAAAACGCGTAATTTTAACACTTTGGATCTTACTTTATGTCTATAATAAAGTCGTCTTCATCGTTGGGACTGTATGGGGTTTGTGGGACAGTGTCCCGTGCTGAGCAATACCCGGAATTCTCCATAGAGCTGCTTCGTCTTCTTCTGCGAGGCGAGGAAGTGTCGTAGAAAGATAACGCGCTACTATACATGGAGGAAGAGAGTTTGGCGTTCATGTATAAGGATTGAGAGAGCAATGCTTCGGCTCTAAAAAGGACAGTTGTATAAAAAGCATGATTTAATCATAAAAATAAGTACCTCGCATTAACTAATCCCAAAGCCATATCAGTTGCAGCGGAACGAATCGATCGTGCCAAATTCGATAGATACTGTTTAAACTCGGTTGCACAAGATTGCAACTCCACCACAAATTGTGGCGAATGGGTGTACCATAGAGATGCCATTCTTATAGTGATATCCGCCGTATCTAAAATCCCGAAGGTAAAACAAAAATCCTACCGACTGCGCCACAACACAGAAAACGGAAAATTATAGAAGTGTATAGGATGACGCTACGTTTGAATACAGTTTTATAAATCTCGCCACGGTAGATTTGTAGTCGAGCGTTTCAATACTCTCCACAGTATAGAGGTCGTAATTTGACTTTTGAACTAGTATTAATATGAAAATTATTTTATGCTTGAAAAAAAAAATTATATTTGACATAATTGTGATTTTTTTCATTTTATTAATTAATTAAGCTGTGTTAAATATTTTTCCTATAGGAATAATTGCCAATGGGCCATTAATTCTCTTTGATCAACCAGATTTAAATATTGTTGTACTAACATAAACCAGTGGAGATAGTGAAGGTTCTACCAACAGACCTCATTACTAAAATTAAACTTTAATTACATTATGATAGTTCGATTTACTAACATTGAGTACGCCCACCTATATTACCTAATTTTGGGCTGCTGATTTAAAAAATGCCACTTAATTTGCTCCAGGACATCTAGGATTCGAAATAATTACGTAATAAAATGCTTTGCCCAATCATCTCAAAATTTAAGTTTTTTGTTAATATTTTGATTATTTATTAAATTATTTTGCCTTAAATTTATTTTGGATTTTCAGTATATTTTTGACGTTTTTGGTAAAAAATATAAAGGGACTCCATACAAAGTCATCGGTAGATAAATGTCAAATAGAAATTTTGTTTGTTCCATTGTAGCCGTATACTATAGTAGTATTAAATACCAACACTAAAACTATAATGTTTTTTTGGTAAAAATTATAATTTTTTGAAATTTTTGTGTCGTTTTTTTAATTACTAATTAAATTGAAAAAGCAACAAAGTAAATGGGTTTTGGTATAAGCATTACTCTTCGACTATTATTTGATATGTTTTTATTCACATCATGCCTAAAGTACCCAAAAATTTAATCTCGAATCAAGTCTTATCAAAATTTAATATCGAATTGTATAGAGGCGCCTTTATCTACTTTATCGTTCAAGCACACTAAAGTGCATCTATTAATTATTGACATTTAAAACTTTAAATTGTATTTTTACTTGAAAGTGATTTTAAGAACCAAAAATTAAAAAAGAGCAGGAAATGGAAGTGGCAGAGAAAGAGAAAGGAGACGAACATTTATGTCGTCGTTGTAAATTTGTTTTGTTTTTGTTGCGGTACCTTTACGCCCAAGAAAAACCAACGCAATATTTCATTACAAAATTTTATGAGATACACCTACTACTTTAATTCTGCAGGAATATTAAATGGACCTGATGTACGACGTTTAATGAAAGATCAAGCATTTAAAATGCTCTCAAAGTTGACGAGCTTGTCGCATATGGCAGTGTTAAAGCTGTCATTGAAAATGTTCTTGGTTCATTTCGGGCCTAAAATTGGCGCCAATTCATTGAAAAAATTTTTCGTTTTGCAAAGAATTAGCGTTAATATGTCATTTAAAATACATTTTCTTTTTTTTTCATCCTGATAAATTTGCCGAACTGATGAACATGGAGAACGATTTCACCAAGTAACTGCAAATCTAGAGCATTGGTAGATATCTATGGGTATAGCGGAAAGAAGTTGGATTTATTGCTAGGAGACATTTGCTGGAATTTGCAGCAAAAGATGTACGACGATGATGAGGATTAAGCACAATAATACTATAATCCAATTTAATATTTGATACGATTTAATAAATTTAAGGTAGAAAAAAGCAAAATTATGCAATGCATTAAACTTTGAGGGCTTAATTTGGATAAAAATACTGAAACTTGTTTACTTTGTTGCCCTTTCAATTTAATAATTTAATAAACGACAAAAAATGTCAAATAATGGTAGTTTCTTTACATAAAATGCATTAAAATTTTAGTTTTAGTATTTAAAATGTCATATTGTTAAGATAAATATGATCTATTTGCCGTATACCAATTACTTTAGTACATTTAAGATAAACTTAAGCTAAAATAATTTAATAAATAATTAAAATACCAATAAAAAACAATATTAGAAAGACTCCAGTTGCTATAACTTGGTAGAGTAAAGAGAAGTCGAAACCATTGCGATATTGCATTGCGCTGTTTTTTTATAATTTTGGGGACATTAAAGAAAATCATTGCTAGTAAAATTCGAAAAGCTTGAGTTTTTATGTCTCTGAAGAGAATAAAAATCCGAAGTTGCTGCCCCCTTTTTCAATAATTTCTAGAGGCATAAATGACTGCCCCATTTGACAGGGTCGAGTTTCTACATCTCTGTTGAATATAGAAAATCAAAATAATGTATCTTGTCGAGTTTAACTTTAACTAGAGTCGTGCATAGGTATAGAGTCGAAAAATTTAAAAACAAAGCACAATTCAATACAGTTCAAATAAAACTTTAAGATCTAGTATTTAAACGGGAAGTCATCCTATACACTTCTATATTTTTCCGTTAGCTGTGAACATACCTTTATCATTCAACTTCTCCAAACTTCGCACAACTTTAAAACTGAACGCGGTTCTTTCGTCGACTTGAGTTTGCGCCATCAAATATATCGGGTGCGTGGTTTCCAAAAGAGGGTCCCTTCCCACGCTGACTATCCTTTGATGCATGTGTCCCTCGGGGGTCAAATCCAGCACCTGCAAACCCCCCAGACTGCCCTCCACTTCCAAATTACCCGCGACGTTGGCCTGTATCTTGGCCTCGCTCATCGTGGCCGTGCAAATTTTTTTGCCGTACAGCTGACCGTCGCGGATTATCCCTCTTAAGAGGAGAACATTCAGGCGATGGAAATCGAAGGTCAGTTTGGTGCAACCCCACTTTGAGGCTCTAAAGGATTCCTCCTCGGACAGGGATTCTTTGGATTCGTTGCGACTAAACGGTACAGCTGAGGATAGGTTTGTGGGGCCAGTACGTTTTGATTTGGGGAACACGCGACGAACGAACCCGACCAACTCCACTATGGTTTCCTGATTTGCTAAATCGAGGAAAGGACGTTAACAGTTGTAAAAATACACCTATAATGGCATTAAAAATGCCTTATGGTTTAAAAAGCGTTACTGAAAAGCGTTACCGTCGGTAACTTACCAAAAAGCGTTACCGTCGGTAACTTACCAAAAAGCGTTACCGTCGGTAACTTACCAAAAAGCGTTACCGTGGGTAACGTTTATTGTTGCGTTACCGTGGCAACTTGTTTACCCTGGATAGTGACGCTATTATTCTTAGGGATGTTCTGGGTAGGGTTTAAAATTTCCGGTAAAATTGAGCCGGGGGAAAAACCGTTTGTTTCCGAAAAAAGGGAAAAATTAATTTTTGCATTTTTTCATTTTAATCAAAGGGTAATACTAAAAAAAAATGCAAACGTCAATTTTTACGGAATATAATATTATTATAATTATTATTATTATAATTATTCGTTTTATTTTAATTCAGTCTAGTCCACCGGGCCGCAAAAAAACATATTTGGTGCTGTTAAATACATAGTTAATTTTTTTATCTGGACTGCGGCAACGTTGCAAATTTAGGGGTTTGGTTGGTAAATACGAAAACAAAATTGGTTGCATTGATTAAAACAAACTAAACTAGTTATAAATGCAATTATAATGTAATGTGGTTATGTTTAAATTATTGTAGGTTACATTGAACGGTTGTGTAGTTGAGTTGTCAAAATTCGTAGTTAAAAATGCAATTAATTTGGCTTTGGTGGCGCGTAGATGAGTAAAATCATATAGTAGTTAAATATAGGTGACTACGGCCCAGGAGAGACAAAGTATTCCTAGCGGATAATAATCTTCGCTTTGAAAAGAATTTAAAATTGTATGTAAACACACGTGAATGTTGTCGAATCATTGGACTCCAATGGTGAATGGGTATTTTATTAAAGCTACTGGACGTTAATACTTGGAGTGGCTTAATAATAATTATAATGTATATATTGTCCAGGACTATTAATGATCAGTACTTTGCTAATTGAGAGAAGAAAAAGTTTCGTGATTATTGCTTATCTTTTTCAAACCAAATGGATGCTAAGACAGGAAAATTAACTACTGGATTTTTCACAAAAAGGTTGAACCTAACAGCAAATAATTTTTATTTTTTGTTTTCTATTTCCTTTATTTTTTAAAATTTCAAAAATTTTTGATCTGCTTAGCTGAAAATAATGTGTGATTTAATATTTATAAAACCAAAAAACTTTCATTTTTACTCCAAAAAAATGTCCATAAGGCAATGTACTTTTTCTTCATGGAAATGAAGTCCTTTTACTTTAGAAACTGATATTATTTTTGGCATAGTTATCTTTTTATATCGATATTATATAATAAAACAAGTAAATTATCAATAATAAATATTCAGAGTTGAGATGGCAGATGCTCGAGCGCTTTGCAAAGCGCTCATAAGCGCTCATAAATGCTCATAAGCGCTCATAAAATCTTTAGCATAAGTACCATTTTTTAAATACTAAAAACCCTTAAAAAAAATCAGGGTTCCCAGCATTGTTTTGTACTTTTTTTTTATGATTTAATGACAAATTTTTCAAATTTTATGACATTTTTTATGACAAGAATTTATTATTTCTAAAGTTATTTAATAAAATAAATGTAATTTTTTAACACATTCGCGGACACTTCCAGATTTTAGAGGTTACTCAAAAACACACCAACTTTTGTCTGCAATTGCAGACGTCTGCTTTAACAGACACGTCCTTGTATATCCCAAAATTTTATATTAAGGGACATGCGTCTGTAATTGCAGACGTTAATAAACTAAATGCCGGTTTCGGTAATAAGAAGAAAATCGTAAAAAACATAAACTTTATTCAAATAAATAATAAAAACTACAACAAAATAAACTTTTAATCCAAGTCTTTGTCATCTGAACCAGCAAATGGATCTTCTATACTAGTACTGCTTGATCTATCACCCTCAGGCTCTGATGACGTATTACGTATGACGTAATTTACGTATCCCTATAGGGCAATACGAAACATCATCTCTTTTGCCAATGATCTTATACGTATATTTATTCAAAAACCATTTTATATATTGAATATATATATATACTATATAATATAATATATATAATATTATTATATATTTATAATTTATAATATTATATATTTATGATTATTAAAATTTTATAACAAAATATAAAAAACCGTATTTAGCTTAGGCAGGAATATTTCCTTAGAATAAAAATAAATAAAAATATTTGAACAAACCCTTATTAAAAATATAGTACTTACCGAGAGTTAAAATAAAAAAAAACAACTTAAAATAACATTTAAAAACAACAAAATAAAATCGAAATTTACAGGGACACTTCATAACCTCTTCCATTGGCCGTTATGAAGCTACTGTCTGCTTTTGCAGACATGACGCTTTTCGTGAGAAAACAATCTGCGCGGGAACTATATATTTAACCTTAAAATTTATCACTTATAGGGACACTTTTCTGCTAAAAAACTTGATGTACAGGGACAATATGCTTCCATTCATACGTATTTAATAGTAAATAGCGACTGCTAATGCAGACATGCGTTTTTCTGTGGTTTAAAATTTGTCTGCAATTGCAGTCGTGTCCCTACACATGTGTCTGCAATAGCAGTCGTGTCCGCGAATGTGTTAACGGTTTTTTATATAAAAATAAATATTTTTTCTCGCATCAAAATAAATATTTCTGCTATAATATTTTTAATATATGTTACTTTAGTATTTTATTATAATAAGTATTATAATCTCAAAATAAATAAAACCACAAAGGTATACAAATCTGAAATATTGGAGGCTCAAACAATGATTAACATGGGTCTCAAAAAAGCAAAAAAAAATAGTATATATACCTATAGGTACTATTTTTTTTTGCTTTTTTAGACCTATGTTAATCATTGTTTGAGCCTCCAATATTACAGATTTTTTAAGAGTATACTCTTAAAAAATCTATAGTTATGTAGTTATTGTTAAGGTACTTTGATAATTTCTTATTTCCTTCAGAAATAATATTTCTTGTTATTTTTAACTCTGCTTCCTTACTTGCCAAAATAGTATCAATTTTTTCAAGTCCTTCTTTGTGGCTTCCTTAGTAAAGTAATATAGTATAAAAATAAATTTACCTTTCTCATTATTTATTTCAAATTTAAAATTCATTTCCTAACCTAACTTATTTTTCCTTCATAGTATGAAGTTCATACGTCAACAACCAATGCCATATTTAAAACATTTTATTGCGTTTTATTCTACAGGACCGGCTTTAAATTTTATTTTACAAAATTTCCATTTTATAAAAAAGATTAAAGGTGAGAAAATTGTTAAAAAATAATGAAATTTTATGATTTCTATGACAAAATGTGAATTTTATGACATTTTAGGACAATTTAACCAATTTTATGATATTTAAAAATTTTATGACAAACGGGAACCCTGAAAAATTAACTGTAGTCCTAAATCAAACCAAATTTTGTCTAGGACTGTAGTTAATACTCTTGTTTTATTTGACACTTCGATTTATAAAATTATAATTTTGTAAGTTAAATTTTGTAATTGGATATTTTTCTTGAATCAATTTAATTTAATTCAATGTTTAGTTTTATTTTTTTTCTGTAATAAAGAATATTTTTATAAAATTAAATTAATGTTGAGTTGTTGATTGCTACTTTAAACAGGTTTTTTACCCAATTTTTCCGTTTTTTTTCGACGCTTTAAAACCCTAGTTCTGAGTTATCAAAACGTGTTAACTTTTATGTAAGTTATAAATTGTTCCCCATAAGACATTTTTAATGCCTACCATTTTACCAAATTAATAAAAAACGCTGATTTTTTTGTAAGCATGTATACACTCACCAATAATATCTAGATTGTTGAACTGCACATTGGCAATTTGCATTGGTTCGTGGCCTGTCACCAAAACCACATCAATGGTAATCAAAGCTTCAGCATCCACCGTCGTTTGAGGCATGGCCCACCTGATTGGAGGAGAGGTGGCTAAGGAACTCAAAGCCTGACTCAACGCTATCGGTGAAGTTGTAATTCCCGCCCTCTGCTGGCCGGGATCGGGACTCGCAGGAGACGTCGGCGAAGTAGGTTCGCTGTCTCTCAAACTACCCGACATAGAGTCCATACTAAAAATAATTAATTATTATGTGCAGTTTTTAAAGCTTAATTTTCATGTATCCGTTTGTCCGTCATCCGTATGTCAGTTTTTCAATAAAATCGTCCGATAAGAAATGTTCTAATTTTCATGCATACGTTTTTTAATGACGTTTAACGGATTGATTTTGCGACAAATAGAAATTAAGTGTCAGTATATTCACTTACTAAATTTACCTAATGCTTAATTGTCATAGTTACAATTATGTCAACAATTGTAACTTTAACAGTTAGCTGTCTAATAAATTTAAAGGTAGGTAAATATACCTTATAAAAAGAATATACTAGCCCTAATATACATTAAAATGTATAGTTTTAAAAAAGCAGGTCCTTTTAGTTCTAGTTTTAATTTTTTTTTGTTTGTCCTTTCTTTTTTTACGTTATTCTTATTAAATAAAAACTTAACAGTAGAACATTATTCACATAACGAACGTAATATTTCCGTTTTACAATCTTATTGAAAAAATATAAAAATATTTGAAAATAAATTATCTTAAAATAACGTTAGGCGTCAAAAACAGATGTGTAGTGACGGATGAGTTAAAATTATTTAACCTTTCTTTGTCAGACGTACGAAGTTGAAACTTGACGGACCGATAAAATGTCATAATTTTCGAATTATAATTCGACCAATAAGAGCGCTCCCGGATGAACGGACTGACGGACAAACGGATACATGAAAATTAAGCTTAAAACGTCTTTTTTACCCGACGTGTTTGTGACTGGCGACCAGTAGCTCGAAATCCTGCCCGAAAGTTTGCAGAGCGTCGACCAATAGGAGGCTGTGCACCGTCAGCGTGACGTTCACGTCGATCATGCGCTTGGTGAAGGCGATTTTAACGCCGGCCACCTGCAACTCGGCAACGCTGCGCTCCCTGCTTTGCACCTCCAGCGACAGCTGATCCACGGTGAACTGCACCATGAGCAGTCGCGACATTTCCACGCTCAAAGTGTCCACGCTGGCCGAATCCTCCTCGTCGAGGTCTAGAGGCTGCGTTGCCGCTTCCTCGCTTAGCTCGGGCGACTGCGAGGGCGCCTTGAAGGGCGACGGCAACCCCGTGGCCGATATGATCTGCCACAGCATCCTCGCGCAGTTTATTTTGCTTTCGTTCACGTGCGCCACCAGCTTGGGTAGGTTCGCGTTCAACGTCAAACTCGGATACTGAGGGTCGGCGGTGTGTATGACTCTCTTCTCGATTTGCAGCGATATGTTGAAACGGTCGAGCACGTGCAACTTCGAGGTTCCTTTGTTGTGCGCGTAGCGCCAGTTGTCTCTGACTTTGCCGATTAATATTTGCAAGTCTGTTAGCTCGAGGAAATAGCTGTCGTATATTTTTTTGTGCAGAGATGCTTCGTTCAAGTCAAAGTTAACGTCTGCCTCGGTTTTGTCTTCAAAACCGAATTCATCGTCGGTTTCGCTTTGTGGAGGAGTCGAACATGGCGTCAAAAATGTTTCTAATGAAACGAAATAATAGCAAATAATAGTACAGGCAAAGTACTATGCTCCACACCTCAAAGTCCCACCACGTGACCACGTACGGAACGCAGTCTTTTGAAAATTTGGCATTTAAGGCTTTTCAGGTTATGTATCTGTCAAAGTATAGTCAACGAAAGAAATAATATTATGTTTAGGCTTTAAAAATGTATAAATCTTTATAACTTTAGAATAACAATGGATGGTTTAAGAATTTAAGAATATAAATACTGCATTTAATGAAATTCTAAAATGTATGGTGCCAAATAAGTAATATTTTTGTGCATTTGGTCCAAATATCTGGTTTTCTCCATAAAATAATTTTAACTAAACAGCATTTATTAAAAAAATCTAGCTTCTCTATTATGGAATAAGAATATCTGTATTAAAAGTAGGTTAATATATTATAACAAAAATATCATCTAATTTTGTAATTTTAAGGTTAGAAAAATTTATTTTGACCAAAATAAATAAGTATTTTGGATTATTTAAAAGACTGTATAATATGGTATTTAAAAAAGTGGTAGTTCTTTTTATCCAGCTTAAAGTGTACCTACATAAAATTTTGTCAATACAAATAGTTAAAAAACTTCGACTGAATTTGATCTACATCAAAAAATCATTATAACTTTAAAAATTTTAATAAATCACGTGACAAGTACTTGTCATGGGAGTATTAAATATTTTCACATTGCAAATTGTTTCTCTTCTTATAATCCAACTTAAAGTAAGTATGCCAAGAGGTATGCACAAGTTTTGTCGTTAGAAGTACAAAAGCTTCAATTTAATTTGAACTATATTTAACAATTATTTAGTTTACCTATATTTATTTATAACCATATTAACACACTCTTTCAAATAATCCACTTATTTATTTTGGTCAAAATAGATTTTTCTAACCTTAAAATACAAAATTAGATGATATTTTTTGTTCTTATACATTAACCTACCTTTGATACAGATATTCTTATTTGATAATAGAGAAGCTAGATTTTTTTTAATAAATGCTGTTTAGTTGAAAATATTTTATGGAGAAATGTAGACCCAATGCACAAAAATATCACTTATATTGCACCTTACACTTTGGAATTTCATTAAATGCAGTATTTATATTCCTAAATTCTTAAACCAACCATTGTTATTGTGATAGGTACTATAAAGATTTATTAACTTTTAACGCTTAAACATAACCGGTAACACTCTAAATATTATTTCTTTCATTGACTATACTTTGACAGATACATAACCTGAAAAGCCTTAAATGCAAAATTTTTAAAAGACTGCGTTCCGTACGTGGTCACGTGGTGGGACTTTGAGGTGTGGAGCATAGTACATCTCAAATCTACCAGGCAAAAAAGGGTAAGTCGTTATTTTTATCAAAATTTTTTTACAGTTTCTCTACCGAAATTGATAAGACCCGTAGGAAATTTTTGAAAAATGTACAGAAACATCGATTTTTCTCTTCTTATCAGTGACATTTTTTCTTGAAAATGCTATAACTTGGCCAAAAATGTTTCGATCGTTACATTTTTTTTTAAATTGTTTTTTCTAAAAAAGGCCAAAAAAATTAAGGTCAATATTTTGACATTGCCACATTTTTTTTTACTTTATATTTTTTCGTTTGAAGTTGATAATATGAATAACTTTCACCAAAAGTCCCGAGTTGGCTAAATTCGTCGTTTCGGAATTATTATTTTTTTATGAAATTCTAGTAAATTCGTGGTTCATCGCAAAAATTTTGTATTTTATCTAGGGTTAGGAAACTGGGGTGACCTTTATAAAGTGTAATTTAGAACATTTTGACATATTTAACATATTTTGGAAATGCTCTTAACTTTTTATTTTTTAATAAACACCCTGTGCATTTTTACATATTTCGATTCAAAATTAAACTCTGAATACATACATGCTATTTTTCAATTTTTGACGGGTCAAATCATTTTTTAATTAAATTTTCAGCTTCATGTTGGGCCAAGTAGTCTGGAAAAAATACTTTTTATTCTTTTTTTGTAATGATGGTTTTAGGAGATTTCAAAAATTGAAAAACCATACTTTATGCCAAAACTATTTTTTTTTAAATAAAAGAGGGTGGTTCGTTGGTCATAAAAGAAATCCACTTTTTTAAATTTGATCCCAAATATTAATGCATTTTTAATAATATTGCTTTCAAACTCTTAATTGACTTTGAATGTTTATTAGGTTTTAAAATATGTACAGGAGTAAATAAATTAAGAAGGTTTAAAACCTTTGTGTTTAAGAGATTTGACAGTTCGTTAGTTTGTTTTGCTGGTAAGTGAATATTAACATTTTATTTTATCATGAAAACATACGCTAAAACTTTTTATAAAATAAAAAAAAATAATAATTGAGGTGGTTAGAATCAAAGGAGTGTAAGTAATTGCATCATTTTTTGGTTTTAAAACTACTAAATGTTATATATAACCAAACCATAGTGTGGCCATTATAGGGAATAACTGGCAATAAATAAAAAAAACGAAATATAAGCTCAAATGAAATTTTATTATTTTTAAACCTGCGCATTAGTTCCTGGACCTTTTAGGCTTAATAATTATTTTTCTTCCTGATAGAGCCTTAGTCAAAAAGAGTTTCGCGATTGCCTCACTTATATCTGTTAACCGACCAAAATTTTTCGGAATTCTTTGTTTTCTAGATTTCTTCGAAATCGCGTTTTTATAAGTTTCTTGTACATTCGATTTATTACTTTAAGGTATGTAATACTTACTTTTTATTATTTTAACCAAAATTAAGTATACTTTTTTCTTCTTTTAAGAGCATTTACAGTGAAACCAGAAGTGACAAAAATATATTAAATATGTCAAAAAGTTCTAAATTACACTTTATATAGGTCACCCCAGTTTCATGACCCTAGATAAAAAACCTATTTTTGCGATGGACCACGAATTTACTTTAAAATGGCATTTTCATTAAAAAAATAATAATTTTGGAATGACCAATTTAGCCAACTCGGGACTTTCGGTGAAAGTTGTTTATATTAACAAAACAAAAAATGAAGTAAAAAAAATATGTTGGAATGTCAAAATTTTGACCAAATTTTTTTTTGCCTTTTTTAGAAAAAACAATTTAAAAAAATGAGTGAATTTTTTATATATTTTTTTTGTATAAACCATTTACCTACATTTAAAGAAAGACCCTACATTACTGTATAAGGAGCTAAAGTGCCATTCTACTGAAGTAAAATGTATTTTAAACATAAAATAAAAAAGTCTTGTTACTTACCGTCTTCCTCACTGTCTTTTGAAAGCTGTGTTTTGGGTACAACTTCCAAGTTAAGTGGATTATTCCGCAACTGTAACCTACCAAAATCTATCACTGCCATGGCGGAATTTTCGTTGCTAAATTGTTCAACAAAAATGATCTGAGGAGCTGATATATCAAACTCCAAATCCCAAGAGGTTCTTGCAGACTAAAATGTTACGTTTATTTACATTTTATTATTGAAAATCATACCTTACATCTCTCCCATCTAACATGTGCTCCCAATTTTTAAAGAGCTCCTTCTTTGTTCTAGACTTCATTTGCTCTATCCTGGATTGAGCCAAATCGCGCTGATACGGGCAACAAACGAATTCCGTCAACCACCGTACCGCGTTCGGTTGATAAACCACGTCCAAGCATTTTGATCGTATAGAAAGTCTGGAAAAAACAAAAATTAGCATGCAAATCATCGCAATTTCACGATGAATATTACTTGTAATCACTCCCTGTGCTCAAAGCTCTTTTCTCGTAAGACATAAAGAACAAATCGCTCATCTCCTCGAGCTTACCATCGCCGACGTTAAATCTGGGACTCTGCAAGCCTCTGGATCTGTTAACTCCAACGGTGGATCGCTCGAAACCCGGAGGACCGACCAAAATCGGGAACAAAGTGTTGGGAGTGGTTTTATCTTTCAAACTCAGCGAACCTAGAGACAGCTCCACCAGATGCGATTGGGTCCTCGGTTTGCTCAGTATTGTTAGAGAAAGGTTCTTGAACTCCAGTTCCAACATGGAATTACTGAAAGAGGTCGTGAAACGAGATGATCCCCAATTGCAGAGTAGGGTGATTCATTTCCGCAAAGTTTTTGTTTTCTTCGGTGCTCAAGCAAAATATTAATCTGCATATAGAAAAATAAATTCTCAACAAGTTTGAGCTCTTAATATAAATTTTAAGTACTTACTATTTAAATTTAAAGTTTTACCGTTTAAAATGCATGTAAAAAATATATATTTTTTTTCAAATTTCTAATGCTTACCCACCTTTGACAATATTGCAAATCGGTTTAATACACCTTATGGGGAATTTCACGCTCTTTAAAATTGCTTCTGAGTTTTTTTTGTAACTCGCATTGGTTCACCAGTAGGAGTCGTCAAAGGACATTTTTTGAAAAAAATCGGTTTTTTTTTTAATTTTTTCTAACAAACCGCAAAAAGTTGGGAGAAAAAAGGGCTGAATCATAAAAAAAGTTATCCAACCAATATTTAATGAATTTACAGCCATTTTTATAACTGAAAACGTAAGAAATTGATAATTACCAACTCATAATGTTATTTAGATTGATTTTTTCTATTTATTATCATTATATTTTCCTACACTAAGAAGTTTTTTAAAATTATTGATTTCTCACTTATAATGAATATGAAAACAACAGATAAATTCATAAAAAAACAATAAGAAAATTGTAACGTGGATTTTTCAATTTTTCAACATTTCTGTCATATAGCAAAAAATTATAAATGAAGATTATTTAATTTTTTGAAGCGAAATTTGAAATATGTTACATAACCTTCTGTATATTCCGATTAAAGTTTTGTTGTTTTTTTTTTGAATTTATGTGTTGTTTTCATATTCATTATGAGTGAGAAATCATAATAATTTTAAAAAAGTTCTTAGTGTAGGGAAATATAATGATAATAAATAGAAAAAATCAATCTAAATAACATTATGGGTTGGTTTTTATGAATTTCTTACGTTTTCAGTTATAAAAATGGCAGTAAATTCATTAAATATTGGTTGGATAACTTTTTTCTCACTACTTTTGGCGATTTGCTCGAAAAAAATATAAAAAAACGATTTTTTTCAAAAACTGTCCTTTGACGACTCCTACTGGTGATCCAATGCGAGTTACAAAAAAAAAACTCAAAAGCAATTTTAAAGAGCGTGAAATTCCCCATAAGGTGTATTAAACCGATTTGCAATATTGTCAAAGGTGGGTAACCATTAGAAATTTGAAAAAAAAATATGTATTTTTTACATGCATTTTAAACGGTAAAACTTTAAATTTAAATAGTAAGTGCTTAAAATTAATATTAAGAGCTCAAACTTGGTGAGAATGTTTTTTCCTATATGCAGATTAATATTTTGCTTGAGCACCGAAAAAAAACAAAAACTTTGCGGAAATGAATCACCCTATTGCAGAGTCCCTTACCTTTCCTTCGTCTCTTCGATGAAAGTGCACAAATTAAGACACCCTTTGGTCAGCGAAAAGTTGAATTTTCCAAAGACCGCGTCTCTTTTCAGTATGGTATTATTTTCGGCGGAATCTGAAAGGACCTGGAATAGTTCTTCTTCGAGGGCTGTTTCGGTAGGAACCACGTTTTCGGCTTCGTTCGTGGTTGACGTGGAATACCATCCCATCCACTGTGGAAACCAACTTTCCAGCATGCTTCTACCGGAAGACTGGTTACTACCAGTATTACCGTTACTGTCAACTTTTAAAGACTTCATAGCAATCTAAATAATAATAATAAACCATGTTTATTAAACATTATAAAGGCCCTGCCTAACAATGGGAATAATGAAATGAAAAAACCTCGTTTGAATTTTTTTTAAATTATGAGTTTTTCTCACTTTTTTAGGATTTGTTCTATTATATTTTAAAAAGTGGTCGGGGCTCATGTTAAAAAATAATTTACAAATATGAATTTTTGAAAGTACCTTCAGGATAGTAAAAAAATAAATAAAAACCTTGTTAAAAAAAAAATAAAAAATTATGAGTTTTTCCCACTTTTTTAGGATTTGTTTTAATTTTTTTATTAAAAGTGGTCTGGGTTCAGGTGAAAAATTAATTTACAAATCTGAATTTTTGAAAGTACCTTCAGGATAGTAAAAATTAAGAAAAAACTTGGTTAAAAAAAATTTAAAAAATTATCAGTTTTTCCCACTTTTTAAGGATTTCTTTTAATTTTTATATTAAAAGTGGTCTGGGTTCAGGTGAAAAATTAGTTTACAAATTTTTTAAAGTACCTTCAGGATAGTAAAAAATAAGAAAAAACCTCGTAAAAAAATATTAAACATTAAATAAAATAAATTTTGTTTATTTTTTGGAAGGGTGATGTTGTGTCTTGGTTTTTCATTTTAGAAAGTTGGTCACCTTACTATAATAACATTTAAAATTGATAAAAAATGTTAACCATATTATTTATTTATTTTTGAAAATCATTTAATTATAATAATGTATATATAAAGTATAATATAAGTAGATAAATTCAAAGATAATCTTTGGATAAATTTACTTATTGGAGTATATAAAGTATAGTAAAGATACACTAAAGATTATGCGTATTATCTCTCATATAATAATATACTATTATTTGTTTTAAATATTACATTTAGTACAGTAATTATGAGGTGGTCCATAATTTTATGCGGCTTTGAACAAATTATAGCAAAAAAACTACAAATTCTATTGATTTTGTGTAATTGTAAGTAATGTTTTTTAAATTGCAAAAAAGTTGACAAAAAAAACTACTTTAAATATTGTATCTCAATGTTTAGTTGAAAATATACAAAAAAAAAAACGTTTATATAAAATTACCGGATCGAATTGCCAATAGGAAAAACTTTTTAACTAAAAATGAGAAACCAAAAAAAATTAAAATTCGAAAAATCAGAAATAAAGAAATCATGAAAATCCTTCAAGAGGGAAGTACCTTGCGTTTTAGAAAAAAAAATCATTCTTCATTGTTTAAAAAATGAGATTTTCATAAAAAATGTAATCAAATTTACAATAAGGTTGCTAATAGGAACAACTTTTCATAGTGCGTTTAACAAAAAAAAATTCCTCATAAAATTTTCCTCTTGTTAAAAAAATGAAATTTCGTTTAAAAAAATTGAATTATATGTACAGGGTGCTCCCCGATGGTGTTACCCCGTGATATTTAATAAAACTAAATGAGTTTGACCTACAATTTTATTGTGTTTTGATCTTTCATAATTAAGTAGATATTGCAGCTCAGGTTCCAGAATTTTAACCGCAATTTATTATTTTTTACAATGTTTTAAAAGTCTAAAACCTATCCTCCGTGACTGTTACTCTTTCTAGGTTAACCTATATGTTTTCAAATATTTGAGGTATACTAAAAATATCAGTTCACTAAGTAAATTAAATACATCCAAAGCAATCGAATCAATTATAAAATATTATTAAAAATTAAAAGAAATAATTTTTATAACCACTTATGTAGGTGTTACAAAAATTGATTATATCCTCCGTGAATCTGTTTTTGCTTTAAATATTATGCAACGGATGGCGCTTTAATCATTTTAAATAAGCAAAAACCCCTGTTTACGACATTATAGATGAAAACATACGAAATCATAACCTCCGTGAAGCTGTCTTCCGTGAAGCTCTAATATTCAAAATGTATGATTTCTTTAAATGATTTCTTAATTTCTGATTTTTTGAATTTTAATTTTTTCTTGGTTTCTGATTAATGATTAATTTTTTAAACAAGCAGGAAATTTTATTTTATTTTTTTGTAAAAGTTATAGCTATTGTCCCATAAAAATGTATTGGATTTTTTTTAATAAAAAAATATCCATTACCTATAGTTTATGTAATAGACATTTTTTAATTTTATCAAGTAAAATGTTTATTTTTTATTTTTGGGTCCTAAACATAAAATTAAAAACTATATTAATTTGATATTATCCAGTATTTTCATACCTGTCTTAAAACTTTCAATTCCTCAATATCTCTATCCCACTCCACACCATCCTTAACCTCCTTCTCGTCTAAACTCAGCGTCACATTTGGGGTCATCAATATCTTCTTGTAGATCTGCACGTATTGCACGTTCTCTTTGGCGCGTTTCAGCGCGCTCTCCCAAGTCGGCCTTGGCTTGCATATGGCGGGTTGCCTGCCGCCAGGGTAGAAGCAACTTATCGCGTACATCCACCACGCTCGCGGATCCTCGATCGCGCCCGAGCTCGGTCGGTAACGCCTGTAGCTGCGCAGAGTGGCTATCACGTCCAGACCGCGCATGCAGGCCACTATTTGATTGTACTGCCACTAAAAAGTTCGAAAAAAGTGCGATTTTTGTTTGTTGATGTGTTGTTTCGAGGTGCACTTACGTCAATAAGGGTTATAGGAACTTCCTTTAGTATTAAATCGCATACGATTCTTGGAGTGTCGGTGGATTTTAACGGTTTTTCGCTTCTGTTTCGTTTCATGCGCGCATGCGCGCTTACTGATGGTATGATATAGTTTCTGGTGTTTTTAAGGGTTTGGTTTGGGGACATTACATTCTAAAATTATTATTTACAAAAATGTATTTACACCCTAAATTTATAGTATTTTGATCAATATTCAATTTAAAAGTTTTTAGTGCAATTTAATACTATTTTTTGAAACTTAAAGTAAAATGAACTTTGTAATTTTAAAGAAAATAAACTTAGCAAATATTTTATTTAAGTAGACCTATACAAAGGGTGTACCGCCTAAAATATTTTTTTTTTCGTACGATACGAAATTTTGTCACTAAAAACAACCATACCGTTGAAAAAAACGATTTTTTATATCGATTTTTCCTTAAAAATTAATTTGGTAGCGTGACGTCACAATGTTACTCTAAAACGCCTTTACCAATCTTTATGAAATTTTGTATACAAATACTTAAACTCAGTTTACGTGTTCGAGGGTTTTTTAATTTATTTAATAATAAAAAAACGTTCGAAAAATAACTTTTAGGGATTTTTTTAACTAAATAAAAAAAATGCTGTTAAAGACCGTATTTTTGTTAGTACACCCTGAAAATTTTGTACAAATCAAACGAACAGTAACGTAAGATACATCGCTTCAAAGTTGGTAAAAATGACCCCTTTTTGATTATTTTACTGAAAAGTTTTTTATTAACTTAAAAAAATTCCCTAAAAAAGTTTTTTTTCGAGCGTTTTTTATTAATAAATAAAAGGACTTTAAGGATATATTCTCGAAAAACCCTTGAACACGTAAACTGAGATATAAGTTAAAGTATTTTTATTCAAAATTTTTGAATTTGAATTTTCGGTAAAGGCATTTTAGAGTTGGATTTTTTAACTTGTTATGCGTTAATTTTGACGCGCAGTGTATAAATGGTACAAAACTATATTTTTAGGTATAATAGGCGTGACAGGTTTTACAAATAAATATATCCTTTTTCTATGGAATAAAAAAAAAACCGAACATAACCAAATTCTTTATCAGATATATTTTTACTTGTTATAAAACCATTAACATATTTTCGTATACAGTTTATAAAATTATTTTTAAAATTTAATATTCGCACCTCTACTAGAGGTCCTCCAGTATGTAATTTTACTTGATTTAAATAATTAAAACATAACCTAGAAACCATTCTAAAAACAGATATTGGATTCATTCGTAATTCTTGATAAATCTATTATAAAATTGTGACGTCACAATCTATCTTGGGAAACGTAGGAAAATATTGTAATAATAAACTCCAAATATGCAATGAAAAATTGCATACCACATTGTGGCCTCATTATATGTAAACATTTTGATGATTTTTTAAAAATTTTAAACTAGAAAAATCGATTTTCAAACAACCATTTGTAAATGGAATAAACAACAAACTCCCAATGTTTGTTTGCAAAAGTTTGAGATCTTGTTCTAAATAGGTATTAAAAAAAATTGAATTTGGAAAATTCTATTTAATTATGCAAATTTTATAAAAAAAAAATTGAAAACATTTTGAGATTGAAAAAACAAAAACCCAAATTCGAAAAAATGTATTTGTTTATAAAATTTGCATTAAAAAATCTTTAGTTTTCCAAATTAATGATTTTTTTATTTAAATATTCTAATCTAATCTCAAACTTTTGCCAACATGCATTAGAAGTTTGTTGAATCTTGTTTTATTTACAAACGGTTTTATGCATATAGATCCGTTTTCCATGTTATTTAGTAAAAAATACTTGCTATTGTCAGTTTTCTTCGTATTGAAAACGAAAAAATAATTCAGTTAAATTTAAATATTGACTAAAAATTTGGCGTGAAATTACCTATAAGGACGTTTCAAAAATAAAAATTTGTTAATAATATCAAAGTTATGATGATTTAAACTTGTTAACTTCAGCTGCCTTGTTTAAAATGTTTCCACAAACACTTTTTGACTTTTTTTTAAATACACTAATTTATATATTACATTTTAAGTTTACATTTGAGAAAATTTATATATTACTTAACTAGAACGTTTTTTTTTTTAATTTTTAGACAGCTTTAATACAGAAATTGTTACTTAAGCAACAATGGATTGTGATTGTGACTTAACCAAAATTTGTTCACAAAATAAAATGATGTATAATTTTGAAAATAATATAATAAACAATAAAATAAAAAATTATCACAAAATTATACCTTTTTAATATAAATACCTATTATGAATTTCATATAAAAAATTAAAAAAAATATAAATATTGCTTATTTTAATTTGATAAGAACTTTATATCATTTAAATGTAAACTACCATTGTTATTTGATAAAATTTAAATGACACATTATATTTTAATTTTAAATAGGTACTTCAACATAAATTGCCAAAACAAATATAAGTTTTGGCAGCAAGAATATAACAACAAAACAACTTTCTAAAAACACATAAAATTACCTCTAGCTCCTCTCTGTTGTTGGTGGCAAACAATTCATCTTTGTTCAAGTCAATCCAATACATGGCAAAATTTTGCAACTCCAACAATTTAAATGAGTCCCCTGTTTTTGTCCAATGAGAAAAGGTTGGGGACCAATTTGAGTCGCAGCTTTGCGCAGAAAGCGACTCGATTGTAAACCCAAACGCAAAAGATTTGCCTGGTATGCTACAGCTGTCTTCATACCTAATGTGGACATCTTTGATTTGAAGCTACAAAAATTATGAATATATAGTGTTTATATTATTTTTTCTCAGTTTACTTACCTGTAAATTTTCTACAATATCAGAAACTATTCCTGTGACAGCTCCGAGCCACGAAGAGTAACTAGAGGCATAATATGCATTATCCTTAGACTCAGTCTCCAGTCTCCATCGTGATTCTACGCTATCTAGAGCTGACAATTTTAATTTTTGTCTTGCTCTTTCTTCCTTCTCAGAATCCCACTAAAAATATTACTGAATACATCAAATACTCTAACCAGATATAACTGTTTTAATAATGTAAGATACCTAACTTTTTACACATCCCATATAAAAAAAGCTGATTTCTAAAGCAGTTTTATGACATACCTCATTTACTGGTAAAGGATTGGCCACTAAGTACAGTTTTTCTATGACAATAACCCATGGAGCCGATCTTATTTGCCTTACAGGTATTTGAAGTTGAATTTTACCAATAAAACCGTTTTTAATTTCAATTGGTAAACCCAAATTGTATAGGGCATCCTTACGAAGTGGTAAGTTTTCTAACTCAACTTTCCCTATAATAATGAAATGTGTAATGGGTACAATATGAGCAGAATATTAATAAATATATTACCAGATAATAGGGCAATGCTGAGTTGGTCAGTATTAAGACTATCTACATATTTTCCTAAATAATTATTCAGTACCCAGGCCACTAGACCTGTCAACATGATTGAGGTAGTTTAAAGTTCTCACTTTGTTAGACATAAGATTTTCACCCAGAAACAATCAAAACTAAAAAACACACATATAACTCGCTATAAACTCGCAAACATCAAACAAACTCACGTGAATTTGTCCGAAAACTCAACCCACTTAAAAACCGACACAATATTTTCACCAACATTTATCAGCTGCCGTTTTGGAAAATATTAATTATATTGCACGGTAACTTCAACAAATGCGTTGCATTTTCGAAAACTACGTTTGTTTATCGATTCTGCAAAAGTCCAATAATATTTTGAAAATAGAAACTTTTGACAACAATGGCCTTGAACACATGTGTTTTGCTTACCAACTTAATAAAACAGCAGTCACACAAAAAGAATACTTCAGTAATACCAACACTTTTTTAAAATTGCGTAAAATGGAAAGTTGATGGCCCACATGTAATTTTCTATTAATATAAACTTAAATATTAATTATTTTTATACTTCCACACCAAAATTAGTTGTTTTTTGATGTTATTTGAATTAATATAATTTTCATGGTGCGTGTTTGGTGGCGCCACCGTGGCGTTGCGGTGACTTTTGGAGTGAAGGCTCGCCCATCCTAAACATTGACGTTGGTGTCATTTTTTAATTGTTTTGTGCCATAAATTATATATTTTTGTATTAATAATTACCGCACACGTGTAATAAATGATTGCTGGTGTGTGAATTAACAAAGTTTGTGCTGTTTAAGTGTTATCTTCTTTCATTATGGGTAAGTTTTTTTTGCCGGCATTTTTGTGTTGTTTAAAATGATTATTATCTTAATATTGTAATTAATTTTATTATTAAAGGTGAATTTGTTTGTTGATTATGTTGTTTGACTTATTATTGATGTGTAGGTTTATGGGGGGTTAAGTAAAAGTCGATAATTATTGATTTTTTATTCACAAATTGTCTGTAGACTATTCTGATTAGAATTAAAATAATTATTTGTATAAATGATGTAAATATCGCAGTAAATAGATGTTTAAAGCAGGTATATTAAAAAAAATCGATATAAATTGGTGAGTAATGAGTTGGGGTTGTTTTTATTGTATTCAATCTCAATGGGGTGTATAATATGGGGCCACGAAATTATTATCTTAACTGGACGTCCTTGACACCAATTTAACCTTAGAATTTGCATTTTTTAGATTAAAAATACATAATAATCATGTGTTTTATTCAAAGTCGTTTCTGAACAAACTGATATTTAAAATATAGGTATGCTATGTATACATAGTTTGGGTTTTGTGGATTTAAATGTTAATGCCTAAAAGGTGTAAACAATAATACCTATACAAAGAAAGTGCTAAAGCCTTGATTTTTTTGTCTCTAGTTATAGTTTTAAAACTGTTCAAAAACTGTTATAAAAATGTCAACTTAAGCTAGCTAGGTACCTATGTCAACTAAAGTAAAGGTGAATTTATAAATTAAAACACCATGTTTATTATAAAAATTTAAAAGGCATACTGGATTGTAATAGGTGATATATTTTAACCACAAGAAATGAACAATTTTCCATTCAATTGCATTTTACCATAAACTATCATTTTACAAATTATCAATCAATATTTTTTTACGAGTTTACCGCATATACAAATTGTAGATATTTGGTATGTAGGTATAAATATATCTATTGAAATGTAATTAATACTTTATCCACCCACTTTATAATACACCTTTAAAAGATAATTTACAATTTGTATAAAGTGTATAAAAATAGAAATGACGCTCTGTTACGTCATTAATACACATAAAACGGTTTGTAAATAAGTTCAGGGTCTTATAATTATTTTGAATATTCTCATGGAAAATTAAAAAATGTGTATTTTTACTGGTGTTTTGTCTGGCATACGTTATATTTTATTTTTTAGCCATTCAGTTATTTACAAATATTTACTGCTATAAACTTTATAGAGTTGCAAAACGTAGATTAAATATTTGTAGCCATTGATTATCTCTGGTTAATCCTATTTACTTAACAAATTCTTGTTGGCATTGAATAAAATCCCATAAAATATCTCAATCCATGTAATTTTTTCTAACAAAAGCAGTAAATGGTTTTAAAAGCAGTGAAACCAATCGATGAAAATATAAACGTTTTGTTGGAAAAGTGTGTCAATGAACCACAGAGAGAATTATATAATCCAAACTTAGTCATAAAACGCTCCCAATTAAAATTACACATTACTACTTGTATTTAACAACTCTACCAACGTCTTTTGGGTGTGCGAAACTATGAATCACTATGCTGTAGTAAGACACTGTTATTAAATTTAAATACCTAGTTGTTTAAAGATGAATGTTTATGTTTTACATTACAATACCTTACCATTATAGCTAAAAGTTTCACTTACTTTTGTTCTTTTAAATAAGATTTGTGGTAAAATTAACTTATTTTTGAGAAACTAATCAAGTTTATTGGGATATTAAAAATGTTAGAGGAATGATTAATTTTGAAAACTAAATAATAACACAAGTTAGAATGCTAAAAATAAAATTGATTAAATTGTTTTGTTGACTAATTTGACTACAAAATAATAAAGAAGTTAGCGGTAAATCATAATTTAAAGTCTATTATTAACATTTATGAACGTTTAAAGGTTCGTTTACACTATATTTAAAATCTGGCAACACCGTCCAAGAACAGCAACGCTTACAACTTATTTAATTTTATAATAAACACTGCGTAAAGTTTGTTAAAACAAATTGTGTTTCACATTTTTGAATATTTGGTTTTGAAGTTAAACTTTGAAGCTGGCAAATTTTCTTTGGCGGTTTTAAAACAGTTATGGGTACGTTTAAGTTCGTTAAAATAAACAGAATGTTGTAGAAATTATAATGAGTAAGGGTTTATCCCAGCTTTTTTTTATTTAGACAAACTACTTAATACCTTAAATCTGCTTTTAAAGTGGAGCTTACATAGTCTAACGTTTTTTTGGAAACTAACCAATTTTTATAAAAAAATTCTTTATAATTGTGCCAAGAATGTTTTAAACCCAAAAAGTTTATAAAATTCGTGGTATTTCTCTAGCTTTATGTTTATAAACATAAAAGCAAAACATAAAACAAGTTTAGGAACAAAAAAAATCGTATTTATCACAAGTACACATAATCCATTTCTTTTGTTATAATAAGAATTGAAAATTATAATCTTAATCATAAACCTACATAAAGAAACCTATAAAAAAAAGTATATACATGCATTGTTTATAGTGACGTATACGATTAAAATTGATTAACACCTTTTGTTTTTGTCTCAAGCAATTTCTAATACGCTCAAAAACCTTAAATGTCCATTAAGTTGAGGTATCATCTAAATTATAGTAGATTAATACATATTATCGCCGAGGATACATTTCACAGCCTAGGCAGTAGATTGTGTGCGAGGCAATTAATAGGCTTTCCTCGCCAAGTGTTATATATACTTTTTTTTAATTGTTTTTGTAAAAAGTAAGAAGTATCGCTAGTAGCGCCACCACACGGCTGTTATCATCGTAACAAAAGTAGAACTTTTGATAATCAGCTGTCAAACGAGTGTTTTTGAGAATAAAGCCGAAAAATGTTAAAAAAGATCGAAAAAAAAAACCGTGGCACGATTTTTTGTGTTGTTAGGTGTATTTCGAGAGGAAATCCTGGGTTGAGTTTTTATCGGTTTTCCAATAAACAGTGTTAATCCGAATGAAGAAATAAATTTCATACAGTCCCTGTAATTATAAATTGTATCTATTAGATACAATAAATACACATTTAGTAATGATTAACGTGAAAAGTGTAAACATTTCAATTCAGTAATAATCGCCAAACAAATAAGTTGTCTAAATTTAAAGAGCATTTAGCATTATCAAAAGCGTTGATTAAGAATTCTTTAAAGTCTCCACTCAACGGTAAAATACCATTTTATTATGTATTATAATATATTATAATATAATATAATAATAATAATAATTATATAATAATAATAATTATATATATTATATTATATATATTATATGTATTATTATATATTATATAATATTATGTTGCCATGAATTCGTAGGTATAGTTTGTTCTTTAAAATGCAGATGTCGGCGTTTTTTAGAGAACTCAAATGTAAAAATGGTTGATTTTAAGGTTATGTTTGTGCAAAAATTATTTTTTACTAATTTCTTAATACTTTCCGAACTTAAATATAAATTATATTAGGTAAAGTTATCATTAGTTAATTCTGCACCAACAAATGTACTTACCGAATTGGATCCTTTGGCAAAAATGGCAAAATGCAACGATTTAGTTCTTGAATTTTATTAACAATTAAAAACACAATAATTCACCATGATCCCTTAGATAAAATACACGCACTAACGTAACTATATAAGCATTTAAGCGTTGAGTTTCTTAATCATTGATATAAAAAATACTCAATCAAAATCGAGTAGGTACTAAACCAGTTTTTTAGTTTTTTCCTTGCAACGTAAAACACAAATAACGTGCGCGATTTAGCTGTGCAATAGAACAAAATTTGTCGAGTAAGATTTCTGCCTCCATCTCTTTTGTGAAAAAACTACCTATTTATTTAAAAATGATGTACAGTTCGTATGCTTATATTCATAACTCGCTAATACATAGACATGCAACAATATAGAAGACATCATTTTATAGTAAATTGTACGCTTTTCAAGAAAGGTGTCAAGCGCGCGCGGAATTGTGCTTAGGCACTGATCAAGCTCACCTAAGCTACTTATAAAACCTTACCCAATACGTTTTTTTAATATAAAGACGCTCGGGCAATTTTATATAAACCAGTTTACATTATGGAATTAAAAAAAAATTAAAGTACTTAAATCTCGATATGGTACGAAGTTAGCACTAAATGTGTACTAATTTAGTACACTACGTTGTTTAGTTTTTAGGATGATGATTACTTAAAAGATAAGCTAGCACACATGCCCCTTTTAAACATTTTTATTTGGGTTAATGTTTATTTGTTTTAAACTTCTATCACCAAATAAAACATTTTTATGATATCTGTATTTAGAAAGTTTTACAGTAATTGCTAGACAAAATTTTAACTCATTGTTCGTGTTACAGGGCATATCAATTACAATTAAAAAAATCCACTTTCAATTTCGGTGTTGCCGTATTTATTTATTGACAGGAAGATCGGCTCGCTATTAAAAACACTTTCTACAATCGCCCGTACATTCTTATTACCATTTCCTGGTTGAAAGGACTCGACTATTGTCTTTGCACGGCCCAACTAACGATATTTCATTCTTTGAAACAGCGCCGGATTTAGTAAATGATTCATTCAAGACCGATTTAATTTATGTCGAAGAAAATTAGCCATAGCCCAGTAGAATTGGGCGAAAAATCTTTCCCCTTGCAATCTTTTTTATTACCTCTTAATTTAATTAATTTACGTTAATTTTGTGTATTATACAAATTTTGCCTCATGTAAATCTGTATAAAAATTGCCCTATGCAAAATTTATGCAGGACTAATATTTCTCGAGATATGAAAAAATTCACGTAAATTTTGTAAGAGGCCATTTTTGTGTAGATTTATATAATAAATAATTTTTTCTACTCCCACCTTTAAAACGCCCCTTATCGTGACACTAAGTGACCTTTTAGATACACATTGACAAGTTGTGGCTTTATGGCGCTTTAGTCACGGGCTGAAGTTAGCAACAGGTTTTTAGTCACGGGCTGAAGTTATTTTTAAGTTAGTTGACAGTTGTCAAATGTCATACAATCGTTAAAATAAAGTGCCTTTCTTGTAAAATAATACTAAATGTGAAAATTATTTTATTATTTCAATACAAAAATACAAAAGTATTAAATAGTTTCTCAACGCCAATATTTGAAAAGTTTATATGAACATTGTACTGACCTTTTAATTTCGCCGGCAGTAAACTATAACTTAAATTCGGGCACGGACTCCACTGTAAAGTGCTCATAAAACATTTTCTTTACTTTCACTGTGAAATTCACTGTCAATTTTCAAGAAATACATTTCGATTTATAACCTTTACAATTTTGTTTATAAAAATTTGACACTTGACGGTGCTACACAGATTCCCATATTGCTTCATAGATGGCGCTCTATACAAATTTTTGATTTACATCATTTTAAGATAATAAGTATTTGTCATAGAAAAAGTATAGTATGCACCTCGTTTACAAACTTTTCTATACACTCGTATTTTATAATTAAATTCGTGTATAAAATGGCGTTTATCAAACTTGATACATAATATACTACTATAATACACTAAATTAACGTTAACCTACAGTTTACACAATAATCGAAAAAAACTAATTTAAAAACATGTAAAGTGTTGCTGTTCTCGGACAGTGTTGCCAGATTTTATTACTTGCAAAATAATTTAGTGCTAATTTTCATAAATCTTCTATCTGCCGGTACTGTCTACAACTAAACGAGCAATATTTCATTCATTCAATTTATTATCATTTATGCTTGATTTATTCCAGTCATCGCCATAATTGAAAATAGCAAAGACAATAGCGTAGTGGGCTTAGAAAAGAAGCTAAACACTGACATTTTGATTTTTACTTAATATAAAGTTTATTCATTGGGTAAGTCGATAAATGTGGCGCCAAGACTTTTGCCAATAAAATTCCGACAAAAACGTAGTCACTATAATCGATGTGAATGAAAATAGAAATGGACTTTAATGTGTTTATGTTTTAAAATACTTATGCAGCATGCCATTTTCACATATAAATCCTTTAACAAACTATAATTGCCTCAAAAGTATTTAGTGGTAAAAACGTTTATTAAAAAACAAACATCTTTACCTGGTAAAATTATATAATCTTAAACGTCATTTTTGACAGGACCGCCCTTAAAACAAATTCAAGACATCCATGTTAATATTTGACTGACTTGTTTTTGTTTGCGGTTTCTTTCTTCATTATTTTGTGGTGTTTAATTTAAGCATTATTTTCGAGATTTAGTACAGCGGTATAAAATGCGTGCAATGAACGGTCAAACATTTGACAATTTAAATTGCCTTATGCACCCGTTCACGTCAACCATACCATTATATACCGTTGGATTCCTGTGAGAAAGCAGTCTCTTCCATCGTAGGTACCATGTGTTTAATAGTAAAATATAATGTACTAGTTTTAAAAAGAATTTAGTATACATTTTGTAGATATTAGATACAAACAAATTAATTATAAAAGTAATATTTTGTTATTTATATTGTGACTTCGTGAAAAAGATAAAGGCAATTTTCTAAAGAAATGTATTAATAAAATGATGTATGCATATTTATTTTAAATAAATTCAAATTCGAAGAAACGGTGTACACAATTCTTACTAAATGCGATGTTGCCAGCTTAGTTTATTCCTTCCACTACTTAAACAGATGAATTTTTCACATACATTGATATCTCCTGGGGGAAAATACCACGTTTAGTTATTTGGGACAAACTTTTTTAAATATCGAAGAATAAGCCAATCTCTAGAAACAATATTGATATAAATTCTTTAATCTTTTAAGGTGGATTAATTTGTAAATAATTTAACTTTATTAGATAATTTTTTTAATCCCAGATATAAAATTGAGAATTTTTTTAATTGCCAAAACTGAAATATTTAATATGTGCTTAAAAATCGTTTAATTTTGTTTTAATCTTTTAAAAACTTTATATGCAAAATGTCCTAAGTGGTCCTAGGGGGAGGGGGTCTAGCAAAAGTGACCATTTTTGACAAGGGGGGGGCGTCCGAAATTCGTTATTTTGACTTTTATGAAGAACTTAATTTTAGCACATCACAAATTTGATTTTTGCGGAATTTTTGATCTTTTTTTTGTTAAAGTGGATCAGGTTAAAACTTAATTAAAAATCTGAAACTTTTGGAGTACCTTTAGAAGAGCCAAAAGTAAGAAAAACCTCGTTTGAAAAAAATATGATTTTTTCTCACTTCTTTAGGATTTTTTCTGATTTTTTTTTGTAAAAGTGGTCGGGGCTCAGGTTAAAAATTAATTTAAAAATCTGAAACTTTAGAAGTACCTTTAGAAGGGTCCAAAAGTAAGAAAAAACCTCGTTTAAAAAAAATATGATTTTTTCCCACTTTTTTAGAATTTTTTCTGATTTTTTAGTTAAAGTGGTCGGGGCTCAGGTTAAAATAGCATATTAAAGAACTAATGTCATAAGACGTCATTTTGTCGCACGCGGACAATTTATAAAACGAGCGACGAAGGAGCGAGTTTTGTAATGGACGAGTGCGACAAAAGGTCTTATGACATGAGTTCTTTATGCTATTTTATCTATTTGGCAAAAATTCACAGTCATTGGTTTGACAGTTAATGTCAAAATCGATTCGCCATGCCGTCCTTAATTTACTTATTTACAATAAACGGCTTTTAATCTTAGAGAAGAAAAAAAGGATTTTCTTTGGTGTTAAACAAAATTTATTGCCAGAAAAGTCTCGTAAGTACTAGAAAAATCATAAAAATATTATAACCAATATGCAAAATATTATGCTGTTAAAAGTATAGCCAACCTATAAAATCAAAATTTTGGGTGGGATAATGTATCTCATTACAGCACCGAAAAGCGGTGTTATAATGAAGTCATTATGAACGCAAAATAGATAAAATTAATTAAAAAATCTGAAACTTTGTGAGGACCTTTAGAAGAGTCAAAAAGTAAGAAAAAACCCCGTTTGAAAAAGAATATGATTTTTTCCCACTTTTTTTGTATTTTTTCTGATTTTTTTAATAAAAAAATTTGAAACTTTGTGAGTACCTTTAGAAGAGTCAAAATGTAGAAAAAACCTCGTTTAAAAAAGAATTTGATTTTTTCCCACTTTTTTGGATGTGGTCGGGGCTAAGGTTAAAAATTTAATTTAAAAATCTGAAACTTAGGAGTACCTTTAGAAGAGTCTAAAAGTAAGAAAGAAACCCGATTTAAAAAAAAAATCCTCCTTTTTTAGGATTAGGAACTAACCAAAATAAACTAAAACCATCTTATAATAATTTTAAGATGGTTATAATACATTTTGGTTAGTTCAGATGGTTTTAGAAAATTTCAGACAGTTTTAAGGCATTTTATATATAAACCATCTGAATATTTCAGTATCATTATAACCATATTCTAAAAGTCCAAAATTCATATACAAGGTGTTCCAAAAGTAATGGGACCAAGAGCAACAGCATACTCAAAACAATCCTTATTATTCAAACTTGCCCATCCAAAAGATAAAAATAACCAAAATACAGGGTGTCAACAAAAATATATTGTCTATAGACAGCGGAACAAAATAAGGGATGTCATTGGGACAAAAAATTCCAAAAGTAATTTTCAGGAGGTATCCCGCAAAGTAGGAACTAAGCTTTTCTGATGAGCCCAAAAAGATTCATACAAAAAAATGGCTGGTCCGTTTTTTTTTAAATTGACTGTACTATATAGTGGAATGAACTGTGAGCCCTATAGAATGTTAGTCATCGCATCACCGACTCGCGGCTCTCGTTTTCCTTTCAGTCAGTGCGCTGCTTAGTAAAAAGTGAGTGTGCGAGTTCTAAAGCTACTTAAGTCGATATCCGTTTTTACTTAATCTACCGCTATTGCCATAAAACTAAGCAGTATTGACAGCGCAGTGCATTGCCTTTTTAATTTCATTGTGTTATTTTTAGCAGTTGTTAAATTTTCGATATTTTGATTCGATGCACGCAAATAAAAAACGAATGGCTTTCTAAAAATACCCACCGTCTACATCTGCTATTATTTAGACTCAAGCTCAGTACGTTAAACATTCTCGAAAAATTGTACAATATACTGATAATACACCAGATAACGAATTTTTATACTTTAACCTTTTTTGCAAACCTACATCTATTTTAAATCGCGGTATTTCTTAACGTGTTTTGATAAGTGCGCGTGTTCGGCTTAAAATAGTGTCAAAATGAAAAATAAAAGTAACAAGTTGGATTCCAAGCTACAAACTAAACAGTTAATCATGTCGGAGCAAAGCAAAACCGAAAAACCAATCGACAAGAAAAAGCTGGAGAAACAGGAAAAGGAACGGCTCAAAGCTTTAAAAAAAGGTACCCAGGCTACAAAAGTTTTAACAATAATAACATTTTTCCTGTAAGACCAATAATTATAATTATTATAAAACCTGGCAATTAACAAAGAAATGCAAAATTATTTTTAATATAAAAAACATGTACTTATAATGGTTAAACACGTTTAAAATGATAAAATAATAGATTTTTAAGTAGTTAATGATACCTCAAAATGTTACCTATATTGTGTAATTTTTAAATACTCATACTCATAATAGTATATTAAAGAACTAAGTCATTTTGTCGCACGCGGACAATATATAATGGACGAGTGCGACAAAAGGTCTTATGACATGAGTTCTTTATGCTATTTTATCTATTTTGCAAAAATTCTATAAGAAAAATTAATTTTATACCTTAAATTTAATTTGGTCGAATTTTACTTTAGATAGTTGATATCACAGTCATTGGTTTGACAGTTAATGTCAAAATCGATTCGCCATGCCGTCCTTTATTTACAATAAGCAGGTGTTAATGTTAAAGAAGAAAAAAGGATTTTCTTTGGTGTTAAACAAAATTTATTGCCAGAAAAGTCTCGTAAGTACTAGAAAAATCATAAAAATATTATAACCAATATGCAAAATATTAAGCTATTTAAAGTTATAGCCAACCTATAAAATCAAAATTTTTTGTGGGATAAAGTATCTCATTACAGCACCGAAAGCGGTGTTATAATGAAGTCATTATAAACGCAAAATAGATAATAGTATATTATGTATCAAGTTTGATAAACGCCATTTTATATACAAATTTAATTTAGGCACGAGCGAGCTTGCGATCGAGTGCTTAAATTAATGAGTGTATAGAAAAGTTTATAAACGAGGTGCATACTATACTTTTTCTACGACAAATACTTATTATTATCTTAAAATGATTTAAATCAAAAATTTGTATAGAGCGTCATCTATGAAACAACAGGGGAAACTGTCAAATGTCACATTTTTACATTTTATAAACACAATTATAAAGGTTATAAATCGAAATGTATCTTGAAAATTGACAGTTTTTTACAGTGAAAGTAAAGGAAATGTTTTATGAGGACTACAGTAAAGTCCGTGCCCGAATTTAAGTTATAGTTTACTGCCGGCGAAATTAAAAGGTCAGTACAATGTTCATATAAACTTATCAAATATTGGCGTTGAGAAACTATTTAATACTTTTGTATTTTTGTACTGAGATAATAAAATAATTTTCACATTTAGTATTATTTTACAAGAAAGGCAATTTATTTTAACGATTGCATGACATTTGACAACTGTCAACTAACTTAAAACTAACTTCAGCCCGAGAGTAAAAACCTGTTGCTAACTTCAGCCCGTGACTAAAGCGCCGTAAAGCCACAACATGTCAATGAGTATTTAAAAGGTCACTTAGTGTCATGGAAACATGTATGATAAAGGGCGTTTTAAAGGTGGGAGTAGAAAAACAAATTTCAATTTCAATTATTTATGTTAAAACAGCCGTTTTTTACAGAATATATTCTTTTAAATGTATGCACATTTTATCTATTGATATGAAAAATATAAAAACAACAATTACATCATTATCTAATTTAGTTTAATTATAGATTCAATTTTAAAATATATTTTTTATGCATAAAAACAATGTTTTTGAATTAATTGATTGCATTTTATTCTGTGCAAATAACTATGTTTAATATCTAAATGTGAGTAATATTTTTTTTAAATTTTCAGCGATAGGAAAATTCTAATCATTAAAAGTTAAAAAAAACTGGGCAAAGTGCTTATTTACTTTTTAAAGTATTTACATGGTTGCCAGTTGTACATATTTCGTTTCCCAAAAATGTCAAGCTAACGCCGTTTTTCAGTTATTAACAAATATTTTTTCTAATAATATGACAACGCTGTACCGTCTAGTGAAAGACGCGCGCGCGGAATTGTGTCCAAACCCGCCTTAGCTACTTAAAAAACTTGAATAATATATAATATTTTAATATATAATATTTTATTTACGGTAAATAACCATTACAAATTACAAATATATATATAGGAAACATACATATTATATAAATCAATTTACAAAATCACAGAGGTTATATGGAAGATTTAAATTTATATAAACTATTATTAAAGAAATCTATATCTATCTTATTTGCCAATCTACACATTCTGTTGACAGGTGAATTAAAGCCATAGTTTGTGGAGTACGTGACTTCCCGGAACAGATAATGATTCCTTACGCGCCTTTGAGGAACATGGAACTGAAGTAAACTGAGTAGTTCAGGGCAATTTATGATATTGTTAACCAATTTAAACAGAAAAATTAGGGCTGATTTGTCGCGACGTTGCTCAAGGGATTGCAGACAATAATAGCATTTGCTTAGTTTAAATCATAACCCGTATGGTCTAGAGGCTCTCTCAAAAATACTTCCTACTTGGCTGTCTAGTAGGCTGATAAGTCAGTATTTTTGTGATGGTCTACAATTGAGCAAAAAGACACTATTTAATCGCATTTAACTTTAAGTCCTAATTTTATTTGTTAAACCATAAAAACATACAATTATAATAATAATTATTAAAAATTAAAAGTGAGGTTAGATTGATCTGACACTGGTCTAATTTTGTTATTGTTCCAAACGTGATTTTTACACTACCCGATTGGTCTAAATTATTTTTACAGCCTATGCGATAATCAATCCTTTAGTGTTGACATTAGTAATGTTTAAGTTATAGAACGCTTGAAAATTATTTTTTTGTATTGTCAATTTAACTTAATATAATGTAACAATAAAAAATGTTGTTCTTATATAAAATTCATATTTCATTGCATGCTGAATTAAGAATGTGGCAACAAAGCTGCGATTGTCCCTCCTCCCTTTATCAATGCGCATGTGCAAAGCTTACGGACTTTCTGTGACAGTCATTTCCTGGACCTAGGTTTTGTTTCCATAATATATTATAACCGTTTTCAGATGTGCAAGATTTATTCCTAAATTTGTTTTTTTTTTATGATGAACATTTATATTATTTTTTTCTTAGTGTAAAATTTCTATTTCTGCTAAAAATTAACTTGTAACCTTGTGGTATATAGCAGCGATAATTCAAAATAACATTTATAGTATTAGACGATAATTCGTTTCAAGGTCTACCACAAGTTGTTATTGCAAAAAATACAAAATTCTACTTACCTTATTTTACGAAAACATTTTTTTCATTACCATAGGTGGCAAAGTCCATTTATTTCAATACGAAATGGATAAAATGCAGACTAAAAAAGTTCACTCCTATTATAGACATACGTAGATTCAAATGGTTGCAGTTTAAAAATAATAAAATTTAATTGAGCACATTGTCTCTCAGCCCACAGGAAATTATGTAATTACTTTTGACCTTACTGTACACGTCTATGGCTGTGCGATCATCACCCAAATAATATAAATAAATAAAAGTCTACATAAGGCAGGCCCAAAAATAAATAATAAGATGCAAAGTTGTTTATTATACCTCCAGAAATTTTGAAAAAAATAACCAATAAATAAACACTAATACCAAGATCCTAAAAATAACAATAATAATAATACTTATTAATTATATAATTGGGTGATTGGTTTTAGTGTACCTTCCACTAGGTACTTCACAGAGAATATTTTTCATCATTTATAATATATAAATATATTAATAACCCACCGTGCTAAAATAAATAAATAAACTGGACAACCTGTTGATTTATTAGTAAACTTTTTCGTCAAACCATGGATAGTGTAATGTTGCTAAATTTAGCGCTCTTGCGCAATTGGGTCGTCCATTTTAAATAATTTGCATGTGTTAGTGAGAACATGTAGACTGTGTCAGCCTCACCTACGCTTTGAAAAAAAACATTCTTTTCTACTTACATCATCGCAAAGAAAGTTAATTAAGATAATCGTCAGGAATAATAAAGATTTAATTGAAGCAGTGATTTTTTCAAGGTCTATAAGTTATTTGTTTTATTAGATCATCTTGCTGTTAAAATAGTTAACAATAATTGAGTCGGTGAGTTTAAGAACAGTACAAGTCCAAAATTTAAAATATTGACAAATTATTTTATAAAAGTTTTAGAGTTTAAAATGCATTTTTGTTAGGATGTTTCAACCAAAGATAATGGTTTAAACTATTGTACAAAATATGGTTATTATATTTTATAAAATAGTTAAAATATTTTCAAAAAACTGCATTTTAAACAAAAAAAAATGATTTTATAAAATAACTTGTAAACAATTTAAATTTTTGACTTTTTTGTACTGTTCTTGATCTTACCGATTTAATTAAATTTGTAAATTTACCTTTGGAAAATTTAAATGTTCTGTGATTTAAAACGACCTTAAAATAAGACAAAATTGGGGTTAATTTGACAGATATGTACATAACCTCAATTATTTTAAAACAATGTCTTACAATTACTAAATAATTTAAACAAAAAATAATGCATATTTTATGTAAAAACTAAATTCTCAGCTTTTGAAAAATAATATCACATCTAAAATAAAAATTGCCACAAGGCTAAAAAGTTGCATTTTTCACTTTAATTGAATTTTTGTAGGTCTTTTGCTATATACCTAATAAAGACTGAAATGATTGTATTTTTATGAAACATTATTATCAGTCAAAAGGAAAAAAGTTAAAAAAAAAACTTATTTAAAAAAAATCCGCTGCCCAGCGTCAAACTAAAAAAAAATATATTTGGTGAATGACCTATAAAACTAAAACAAACTTGCATCGAAAATTGATTGAAATGGCCTACTTGAAAAGGGCACATGTTAAAAAAGGTTAAGTGTTTGATTAGTTTAAATAAATTATGTTGGTATAGTAATTAAGTTACTTTCCTTATTTATAGCTTTAATTGAGTTAAAATTTGTTGTGAGGAAATAACTACATTATTTGAAATAAAATTAAGCCAATTTTTGTTTCTTTTTGCTTTGTTTGCTTTTCACTATTTAAAATTTAAATGCAGTTAGTGCCTAAAGAAATAAGTAGGTGTTTAAAATTATTGTTCGACTACCATCCAAAAATATTTTAGTAACGGGCTGAATTTAGTTGACTTGTCAAATGTCATACAAAATAAAGTGAGGTTAGAACGGTCTGCCAGATGTAAGATTTTATTTATTTATTTTTGAATTTTTTATATGTATACATATCTGTTTTCTCAAATATTTGCCTTTAACATTTTCACTATTTTTAATGGATTTTTAATGTTATATTAGTTAAAATCTTCGGCGTAACTTTCGCTTTTTGCGAATAATTTTATTATATAACTAACGAGGATTTAAATCCATGCTAAAAAATAAATTGTTCGGATTGAATTTTAAATTTATTCATTGTTATGTAATGAATCCGAATAAAACCTGATTTTTTATCAATGGTGAACGGATTTGTTTTATTATTGTGTATAAAAAACCAGTCCAAAACAGGTCAAATTAAAATATATAATGAACTAAACCGAATGAGTTAATATTATATTAAAATTATAGTAACATAATATTTGAGAAATATTAAAATTTCAGCTATGGAAATTAAACCTCTCATTATAACATTTGAGCGGATGTGGTTAAACGATTTTAAAGGGAAATGGTAGATTACAAAATCATAATTATATTTTCTACAATGAATTTACCTTTTATTTATTTATAGCATGCTGTAGTAATTAAAGTTGTCGTGAATACTTTAGTTTAATAAACAGTTATCTTACTCTTTTAATATAAAAACTATATAAACAGGTGTGAATTGTATGCTGTATTTGAGCATACAAAATCATAGTAGTCGATGATATGGTTGGCAAAAACTATGAAATTACAAAAACTATTTCTCGATGTAATGAAACGCGTTTTTCAATATAATTTTCTTAAAAACCTGACTGATACAAAATAAAAAAATATTTGTTAATTTTTACCAAATATTAACCAGATTTTATTTTAAGTTTACCTACAACCAACTGTAATCTGTTAACTAATTGAATAAGTAATTTGTAATTATAACAAACATTTTGTAGATTTAATAACAAAATCCTCTATCAATAATTCAACCATAATTCTTGTAATTTTCAAAAAGGACCTTATTCTTACAAACCTCTTTGTAAACCCAGTAGCAAAAGAATTTTAATAAGAAATGTTGCTTTATTAATAAATTTCCTAAACAAAAAAAATAAACACATACCCACATAAATGAACACAAAAATAACATACACAAATTCTGAAATCAAATTATAAAGAAATTTGGTACAATATAGTTATCAGTACTACTACAACACTTACTGATGTATTTCGTAACTTTAACCCACTTTACTGTATCCCCTTATTTCAGTTTGAAAACCAGTGATTTTATGTTTTTTTGGATACTTTGCACATTCGTTAAATTGGTATAAGGAATCCGAATAACAATAATAACAGGTTTCTGGTAATATAATATAAACACTCTGGACAGTTGTTACGAACACACAAACCCTGGTTTTCTACAAAAAATTAAGTTAAAATTTTAATAATAATAATAAACTTTATTGTAAAATAGCAAGAAAAAATACATTTTACAAATGGTGAGTTCAGCAACATGTTGTTCTACCACTCAAACCTATAAAAAACAATATAATATAAAATAATAATATAAAAAAACAATATAATATAAGGTATACAAATACTAAACTTAAATTATGAATTGTGACATTTTAGCAAAAAACATTTAAGGGATGATTTAAAAGTAACGACATTGTTGGTAGAATTAAATATTTCAAAAAATCTATTCATAATAAGTAGTTGGCGCCAAATATTCAAAACAACATTCATATTTGGAAGTTTTATGAATTTGGATAGAAAAATTATTCTTATATCGAGTATTTTGGTTGTTAGTTTCACAAAGTCTACTCAGCAAATTGTGGAGGTATTGTGGATTTTTAAATTTTAGGACATTAAATACTAGACAAGAACACTGTAACAAAAAAAGTGGAATTACATTTAAGGATATTTTTTGATACATAAATAGGCGTAACATGTCGTTCCTTATAGTATAAATTAGTGTAAAAGTAGTAAACTGAAGAACAGTAATTTAGAGTTTTAGATAAATTCCATTTAACATTATTATTTAAAAAGTACTTAAAGCTATATATTGACTTTAAGTTTAATGTAAGCATTTTTTACTAATTTACAAATATGTTTATCAAAAATAAGGTTTTTATCTACTACAGGGCTCCCACACCTCCTAAAACTCATAAAATTCCTAAAATTTTACTTAAATCTTGAAAACTCCTAAAATTCTCCTAAAATGGCAATCAATCTCCTAAAACTCCTAAAATCCTAAAAATTAAATTTAAATATTCCAACCTGACTTGCGTTTAATTAAGATAGTGCTAAAAAAAATTCTGTTTTAAAAAGTAATTTAAAAATATATATTTTTAGGTTCTATTCCATTAAACTCTTTTTAAAATGATATAATATCACAACCAAAATTTTTCTTAAAAAACAACAACGATATTTTCGTCAAAAATATACCGTGTTATACAAACGTGTATATCAAACAAAAGGATTTTTAAATTTCTTTTAAATGACAGCTAAAATAGTAAACAATCTAAAAAATGTTTTGCTGTATTTTGCAAACTTCATATTTTGTTATGAGATTTTTAAGTATTAAGATACACATTACAATTGAATCGGTGAGAATAAGAACAGTACAAGTCCAAAAATTTAATTTTGACAATTTATTTTCTAAAATCAATTTTAAAGTTTAAAATACATTTTTTTTCAAGCGGCCATGATATACAACCTTATATGCCTGTATAGAGATAGTTGAAGTGCGTCTTTTTCATTAGAGGCAGACAAAAAACTCAAAAAAGCCTAGGGATAGAAGTAAATCCATAGGTGTCCCAATAGACGTCAAATAATAAAATTAATTTAGCATATCATACAAAGCAATCACGATGTATTAATTATTTTAATTATAATCGCACGGAATATTTAGGGATTATTTATTAAATTTTAATTGAACGAAATAAAGAACAACTAGTTTATTAGTATAATATTATGATGATAGACGAGTCGCCAATGTCGGAACTCCAAACAAATGTCAGTACGTCAAAATTAATTCAAGCGCAGCATTTTGACAGAGCAGTGTTTATTTTTAGTTAAGGATATTTATCGGCATTGTAAGTAACAGTTATAAGTTTTTTTAGTTTTTATCAATAATTTCTAATGCTTTTAGCCAAAATTTTATACCACATGAGTTTTGAGTAGATAAAATAATTCTATTTCTTATCCTATTTATATTACGCCCTTGAAAAAAAATTGTATATGTTATTTGGAGTAGAAGCTCTTTTTGTGCTTCGTACAGTTGCCAGCCTCAGCTACGCTTCGGCCGTCAATCTCTGTACTTACCACAAAAAGAGTCACTTCTACTCCTTATGACATAATCTACTATTTTGTGAGAAGATAAAAATTATTTTACAGAATATGAATATTATATTTTATAAAATAGTCCAACAAAAATGCATTTAGAACTATAAAACTGATTTTTTGAAATATTTTATCATTTTACTTTTGGACTTGTACTATTCTTAATCTTACCGATTTAATTACTGTTAGTTATTAACTAAACGGTTAACATATTTTTTCTTAAAATATAAATATAACATATGATTTTGGATAGTTTTTAAACCAAATCTATCGACGCTTTTTTTTAAATAAAATTAAAAGTGTGGTGAAATTTATACTTGTATATATATCGTCCCCAAATTCACGGAGTGGCGTATATGAAGATTTAAGTTATACAAAAAAGCAATTTTCTGAAATAAACGTTTAGCATTTTAAACGTTTATTCCAGAAAATTGTTTTTTTTGCATAACACAAAACTTCAAACACCCGTATCGGAAGATTTGTGTTATGCAAAAAAGCAAATTTCTGGAATAAGTGTTTAGTATGCTAAACTTTTATTTCAAAAAATTGCTTTTTTGCATAACTTAAATCTTCATATACGCCACTTCGTGAATTTGGTGACGATATGTACCTCAGATATATACAAAAGTAGTAATTTTACCTCACTTTTAATTTTATTTAAAAAAAATTCGTCGAGCGATTGGGCTAAAAAACTAGTCAATATAACTTATTTTTACAAAATAAGTATTAATTTTTTTCTTATTTTTGAAGTAGTAGGTATAGAGTTGTTTTTATTTAATTAAAGAAATTCATTTCCATACTTTATTTCTCCTAAAATTTTACAAAAGAACCTCCTAAATTCCTAAATAAAATTTGTATATTTGCCGTGGGAGCCCTGCTACTAAAACACCCAAGTTTTTCACAAAACAAATTTTTTATAACAGTGTAGACCGTTGTTCATTTTTTAATCTAAAGACGTTTCTTCCAGGGAAAACTCTCTGCCAGGTGTGCAACAAAAAATGTTCGGGCGAGGTGCTGCGCGTCCAGGACAAATACTTCCACACGCACTGCTTTAAGTGCAAGGTGTGCGCGCAGTCGCTGGCGCAGGGCGGCTTCTTCAGCAAAGACGGCGCCTACTACTGCACCTCCGATTACCAGAAGAACTTCGGGACGAAGTGCGCCGCCTGCCAGGACTACGTCGAGGGCGAGGTGGCCACCGTTTTGGGCAAAACCTATCACCAAAAGTGCTTCACTTGCAACAGGTGCCGGCAGCCTTTTCCGTCCGGGGAGAAGGCCACCTACACTGCCAACAAGGAGGTGCTATGCGCGAAGTGCGTCAGGCTGCCGGTAAGGGATGCCACGCCGAAACAACAGAGTCCTACCACCAATAGTGCTGGAGGAAATGGTAAGAGTTTCGTCGCATTGTTCCATTTTTAACAATCCCTATTTTGAATTTTATCCAAAACAACATATTTTAAATACTTTAGCAAGAAGAACAGCTTAACAAGTAATGTTACGAAATATTAAACTAATTCTTATAATCTATATACTAAAACTATAACAGTTAAATTATACCACCATTACATTTTTACTTCAAAACATGCTATTTTGGATAGTTTAGTAGTAGCAATTTAGCTTCCTTACAAAATATTTCATAAACTCTATGAATATAGACTATTGTCTATAAAATTAAAACTTTATTCTCAGTGTTAGACATTTTAGTAAAAGAATTAATAAATATTTAAGACGCTGTATGAATATAGAGCCTTTAAAATCAAAACTATTTCAGTATTACCTTTTCCAAAAAACTAGTTCTTTGTATGAGTATTACTTTTTTTGTAAATTTGACCCCAAAACAAGGTATTTTAGTAAAAGAAACAGTTAATTTTGCCTTTCTATGTAATGTTTCACAAACCCTAAGATTATAGACCCTCTAAAATCAAAACTTCTTTATTGACCATCCCCTTTTTCTAAATTTGGCCCAAAACTAGTTATTTTAGATAGTTTAGTAAAACTATAAATAAATTTAGGATTTTTTACAAAACATTTTAGGATATATTAGAATATAGAGCCTCTAAAATCAATACTTTATTTCATCATTTGACCCAAAAATTAGTTATTTTAGATAATTTAGTGGGCTTTCAAAATATTTAACAAAATGTAATAATATAGATCCGATAAAATCAAAACTCTTTGTATCAGTATTGCAAATTGCAAATTTGGCCCCAAAACAAGGTATTTTAGATATTTTAGTAAGAGAAACAGTTAATTTGGCTTTTCTTCGTAATATTTCACAATCTCTAAGAATATGTACCCTATAAAATCAAAACTTCTTTGTTTAATTTAAGCATTACCTTTTTCTAAATTTGGCCCAAACACTACTTATTTTATAATGTTTAGTAAAACTTAAAAATAAATTTAGGTTTTTTTACAAAAAATTTAAGAAACTGTAAGAATATAGAGCCTCTAAAATAAAAACTTTATTTTATCATTACCTTTTCCAAACTTGACCCAAAAATTAGTTATTTTAGATAGTTTACTGTGAGTAACAGTTAATTTAGCTTTTCTACATAATATTTCATAAACTCTAAGAATATAGACCCTCTAAAATCAAAACTTCTTTATTTGCCTTTTTTAAATTTGGCCCAAAACTGGTTATTTTAGATAGTTTAGTAAAACGAAAAGTAAATTTAGGATTTTTTACAAAACATTTAAGGAACTGTAAGAATATAGAGCCTCTAAAATCAAAACTTTATTATTACCTTTTCCAAATTTGACCCAAAAGTAAGTTATTTTGAATAATTTAGTAGGAGGAATAGTTCATTTGGCTTTCTTACAAAATATTTAACAAAATGTAAGAATATAGATCCCATAAAATCGAAACTTTTTGTATCGGTTTTACCTTTTTTGCAAATTTGGCCCCAAAACATATATATTTTACTAAGAGAAACATTTAATTTGGCTTTTCTTCGTAATATTTCACAATCTCTAAGAATATAGACCCTCTGAAATCAAAACTTCTTCATTTAAGCATTACATTTTTCTAAATTTGGCCCAAACACTAGTTATTTTAGATTGTTTAGTAAAACTAAAAAATAAATTTAAGAAACTGTAAGATTATGGAGCCTCTAAAATTAAAACTTTATTTCATTATCACCTTTTCCAAATTTGACCCAAAAGTAAGTAATTTTGAATAATTTAGTAGGAGGAATAGTTAATTTGGTCTTTTACAAAATATTTAACAATAATCCGATAAAATCAAAACTCTTTGTATCAGTATTACCTTTTTTTGCAAATTTGGCCCCAAAACAAGGTAATTTAAATATTTTAGTAAGAGAAACAGTTAATTTATCCATTCTACGTAATATTTTAAAATATCTAAGAATATAGACCCTCTAAAATCAAATTTTTATTACGTTTTTATAAATTTGGCCCAAAAACTAGTTATAATAGTTAGATTTTAGAAACAGTAAGAATATAGAGCCTTTACAATCAAAACTCTATTTCAGTATTACCTTATCCAAATTTGACCCAAAAAACTAGTTATTTTATATAGTTTAGTAGGAGGAATAGTTAATTAGGCTTTATCACAAAATATTCAACAAAATGTAAAAAAAGTTACTACTAAACATTTCTTTGTATTAGAATGTGCTGGATGCAGGGAGGAACTGAAGGAGGGCCAGGCGTTGGTAGCATTGGATCAACAATGGCACATTTGGTGTTTCAAGTGCGGTTCGTGCGGTACGGTTTTACATGGGGAGTACATGGGCCGCGACGGCATGCCCTATTGCGAACGGGACTACCAAAAACAGTTCGGTGTTAAGTGCGCCTATTGCAATCGGTTTATTAGTGGAAAAGTGCTTCAGGTTAGTACCCCCACAACAATTATACTAAACCATAAGTAGTATTAGTTCCATGGTATAAAATAACATCATAACAGGTGATGAAAGGGTCAAAATTTATGAAAGATCATCAAGGAGATGCCATTTTAAACACTCCAAATTTTAAATTTAAGTGACAAGGTAATTTTTTAAAAATTGGTTTTAAAAAATTTAGAATGTTGGAAATGTAATTAAGTAGTTTAAACTACAAGCTTAAAACATTTAATTTAATCAATTAATCTGAATTTGGAATACCCCAAATCCCCTAAAACGATAATTTTGTAATTCAGGATGGTCAAAAAGTAAGGTAAAACTTGGACAAAAATCATTTTTTTTTAACATAAATTATATCAAAGATTTTGCAAAACATTTCTTTTGGTATTACACTAACTACACATTCGCCTAAGTTTCTAACTTTATCTTATAAAGTTCACAAATTAAAATAATCATATATTATTTCACGAGAACTATGAATTTAATCGGTTAAACTAGGCTCAGTAGTTTTTTGTTTGGTTTTTCTTGGAAAATGTTGAATGCAAAATAATTTAATAAAATCACGAGACCGCGTAGCGGTCGAGGGGTTTTTATTTTTAATTATTTTGCATGAAACTATTTTCCAAAAAGAAAAATCAAATAAAAAACTTACTGAGCATAGTTTGACAGATTAAATTTATAGGTGGAGTGATATACGTCTAGATTATTTCTCGAATTAAAGGAAACTATTTGACAATTCATAAAATCTGACGTATGTGTCAAAATTTATAAATATTTTTTTAAAGAAAATTCCATTAATTTAAGGTATGTAATAAGTAATAATTCATATTTCGTAAACTAGATAACTTATTTTTTATTGTTTTTTAAAAAATGTTTGTTAAAACTTGTAAATAACACCATAAAATCGTAAACAAAAATCCAATATGGAGGCTAAAATTTATTCGAAAATTCAAGGCTTTTGATTGGTTCATATTATAATGAGGGAAATAATGTACACAAAATTTAAAAAAATCATAACTTCTCCATTATTGTGTTCGATTTGACGTGGAATGACCCAGTTTGTAATTTATAACTGACGATATTTATAAACATTTGTTTTAGAGTTACTATGCTATTAATTCATAAATGAACCAATTATTAAAAAACTATTCACTGTTATTAAGAAGTATTCTAACATAAACATATTTAGCTTTTAATTTTGTATTTCCATGTCAGTAACCCATTAAACTTTGGCCGCACTTAAATTTAAACTCATAAAAACAATGCCTGTGTTTCTTAATAGCATCCTCATAATTTTTTTAATAATTTCATGCGGTATAATACTTAGTTTAATAATGAACGTTAATTTACTTCTTTTTTTCTGTGAGAAACTTATTTAACATATTATATTCCAAATAGTTACACGTAAATGTTTTGTAATTTAATTAAGTAAACAATTAAAAATATTATGTTACCACTAATAAAGTGTGTTACATTGTTTGGTTAGGTTTAACAAATGTTAAAATTTGTTAAGTTAATTAAACAGTTTTTCGTTACCATTCTATAATTTTTTTAATATAAAAGGGTCGCAGTATTATCTATTTTTTTTTAAATTTATTTATTAAAGATCATAACATGATAATTAAAAATGTAAAATGCTAAAAAAAAGTCGCCTTGTTGTATACTAGTTTAGTAGAAAATCATTCAGATATATAATATAGATAAATTTAGCATATTTAGACTTGATTTTAATATTTCAAACTAACTCTCAATTTGGGATAGTTTAGTAAAATTACTAAAATCACAACTTTTCCAAATTTGACTCTAAAACAAATTATTTTAGATATTTTTGTAGGAGGAATAGTTCATTTACGTTTCTTACAACATATTGAACAAAATATAAGAATATAGACCCTCTAAAACCAAAACTTTTTCATTTTAATATTACCTTTTCAAAATTTGACCCCAAAAGAAGTTATTTTAGATATTTATATAACAAAAAATTTAATTTAGCTTTTTTACAATAAATTGAACAAAAACTGTAAGAAAATAGACCCTCTGAAATCGAAACTTTTATTTCATTATTACCCTTTTCCAAATTTGACCAAAACAAAGTACTTTAAATAGTTTTGTTTGAAGAACCGTTAATTTAGAATCATTTTACAAAATATTAATTATAATTTAAAAATATAGATCCTTTAAAATCAAAACTTATTCATTTTATACTTTTTTTACAAATATGATCCCAAAAGAATCTATTTTAGATATTTTAATGACAGAAAAATTAAATTTAGCTTTTTTACAATACATTTAACAAACTGTAAGAAAATAGACCCTTTAAAATCAAAAGTCTTATTTCATTATTACCCTTTTTCAAATTTGAACAGAGGAAAGCATTTTATAAAGTTTGGTAAAAATAACTGTTAAATTAGTTTTTTACAAAATCTTTAGTATACTTTAAGAATATAGATAGACCCTTTAAAATTAAAACTTCTTAATTTCAATTTTACCTTTTCAAAATTTGACCCCAAAAGAAACTATGTTAGATATTTTAATAACAGAAAAATTAAATTTGGCTTTTTATAATACATTTAACAAACCAAGAAAATAGACCCTCTAAAATCAACTCTTATTTCATTTTTACCCTTTTCCAAATTTGACCAGTTAATTTAGCTTCTTTACGAAATCATTGGTATACTGTAAAAATTCATTCATTTTTATATTACCTTTTCGAAATTTGACCCCAGAAGAAGCTATTTTAGATATTTTAATACCAAAAAAAGTAAATTTGGCCTTTTTATAATACATTTAACAAACTCTAAACTGCAAATAGACCCTTCAAAATCAAAACTCTTATTTCATTATTACCCTTTTTCAAATTTGACCAAAACAAAGTATTTTAAATATTTTTGTTTGAAGAACCGTTAATTTAGCTTTTTTACAAAATCTTAATTATATTTTAAAAATATAGACCCTTTAAAATCAAAACTTGTTCAATACTTTTTCCAAAAATGACCCCAGAAGAATCTATTTTAGATATTTTAATAACAGAAAAATTAAATTTAGCTTTTTTATAATACATTAAACAAACCAAGAAAATAGACCCTCTAAAATCAAAACTCATTATTACCCTTTTCCAAATTTGACCAGTTAATTTAGCTTCTTTACGAAATCTTTGGTATACTTTAAGAATTTAGACCCCTTAAAATTAAAACTTATTCATTTTTATTTTACCTTTTCAAAAATTGACCTCAAAAGAAGCCATTTTGGAATGTTTTAATACCAGAAAAATTTAATTTATCTTTTTTACAATAAAATCAAAACTCTTATTTCATTATTATCCTTTTTTAAATTTTAACGAAGGAAAGCATTTTAAAAAGTTTGGTAAAAATAACTGTAAAATTAGTTTTTTTTACAAAATCCTTAGTATACTTTAAGAATATAGACCCTTTAAAATCAAAACTTCTTAATTTCAATATTACCTTTTCAAAATTTGACTGCAAATGAATCTATTTTAGATATTTTAATTACAAAAAAATAAATTTAGCTTTTTTACAATACAGTGAACCAAAAATTGTAAGAAAATAGACTCTCTAAAATCGAAACTCTTATTTCATTATTACCCTTTCCCAAAATTTGACCAAAGCAAGGTATTTTGGTGAAAAGAACCGTTAATCTAGTTTTTTTACAAAATCTTTAGTATACTTTAAAGTTTGACCCCAAAAGAAGATATTTTAGAAATTTAATAGCAGAAAAATTAAATTTAGCTTTTTTACAATACATTCAACAAACTGTAAGAAAATGGACGCTCTAAAATCAAAACTCTTTATCTCAGTATTACCGTTTTCCAAATATGACCCCAAAACAAGGAATTTTAGATAGTTTAGTAGGAGGATTAGTAAACTTAGCACTCTCAACATATATTTAACGAACTCCGAGATTATAGACCCCCTGAAGTAGTTTTTTATTGCTTTGCGTTAGGCTGGCGACAATCACCATTTTCACCCGACTTGCGCCCGGTGCACCAAGTGCGGCGACCCTTTCGGCGACGGCGAAGAGATGTACCTGCAAGGTGGCGCCATCTGGCATCCGCGCTGCGGACCAGGACCCACCGAGAACGGGCAAATTTTGAACGGAACCGGGCAAGAAAACGGAAACTGCACCGATACGGATCTTTCCGTTCGAGACTTTGACCGGAACAGCACCTCTGGTGCCAGCGAAATGCAGGTAAGATAATCACTCTTCAATTAAAACATTTATATGGGTGATTCTACAAAAGTTGGGCAACTTTTGACCGCATTTTGTTTATATAGTTTTCGGAGAAAATTAAACAGAATTTTGGTATGAGAACATAGATAATGTAATAAATATACTGTTCCAGACCGGGCCAGTCACTTTTTCAAACAGTTTCTGAAATATCTGTGTTTTCTAAATTTGAATGCAAGTGAAGTGGCGAGTATACCAGGGTACTAATTAAATACATAATTAGAAAATATAAGATTTATTGCAACTTAGAGCATATGATACATTAAATATCTTAAAATCAAATAATACCACACATCAGTGGCGGCTGGTGGATTTCGGGTATACCGATATCTCAATTATTAGATATGGGACCCACACCAAATTTATGTGAGTTTATAATGACATTAAATAAACAAGTTCTGCGCAAGCAGAATTTAAATTGAAGTTTTCGAACAAAAGATAACCGAAACATCGAACATGGAACTGACGACACGGTACTGATGAATGGGATACAAATTTGAGATTATAATTCGGAATTAAGTATTTTACTGATATTTTTTATTAGTGGATGCTACTTATCAACAAATCACATATAGCCTTATATAAATTTCAATGAACTATACAGGGGTGTCCCGAAATTAGGGGGCCAAACTTAAACAGTGCATTCATAGAAAAGTAACACTTTTTTGTTAAATAAACATGTATCAAAACGGAGCTACGGCCCCCTGAATAGGATCCTAAGAGAATAGTTTTTTTAAACTATTCCTAGAGCGTTAAACATGAAGAAATGAAATTTTGGCACTTTGGTAATTTTTAGATTCTGAATGAAGATCTAAGATCAAAACTGTTAAAATTTAATCACAGGCGTAACATTTGGGGGGGAAAAGTTATAAAAATAGCCCCAACTTTTTTCCGAGATAATATTTTAATTTTTTTTTTATGAAATTATGAAAACTTATAGTTTTTTAAGAAAAATAGGTAGTCTTGATTTGAATCGCTCAGATGCACCAGTTTCGAGAAAAATGCATTTATAAATTACTCTGCCTATCATACACATCTCATATTTTCGTTAAAATTTTGTGTTAAAATTTGGAAAATCGCTCCATAATAAAAAATAACAAAAATCTAGCCAAAAAATATTAACTAAACTATATAAAAATAAAAGTCAGCAAATAACCCAAACGTCACGTTTGTTCCAAAGCTTTTTAATGAAAATTGATTATAGATCCAGATTCAGAATGTCAAAATTACCAAAGTCCCCAAAATTCATGTCTTCATGTTTAACCCTCTGGGAATAGTTTTAAAAAAATGATGTTCTTAAGCTCCTATTTAGGGGGGGTTTAGCTCCGTTAGGGGGCATTTTTTGATATATGTTTATTAAACAAAAAAGTCTTATTTTTCTATAAAGAATGCACTGTTTAAGTTTGGCCCCCTAATTTCGGGACACCACTGTATATGAGTAATTCTTTTATAAACCGAACACCTTTTGACCGACACATCTCAGATTTGGCTGAAACTTTTTTTACGGATTCTATGTCGAAAAATAAGAGATACGTGTCCGAGGAATTTTTTTTCTCTCGCAAATTTTCGATAATACAAGCTATCGAAAATTTGAGAATATCGAGTTTTTTGGCTTGGAGACTCATTTTCAAAAATTTATAACTCTGGTTCTATTTGAGCTACAAACTTCTTTTTTCAATTTATTTGAAAAGTGAGGTTATGTCAAAAAATAAATAAAATAAAAATTGTATATCTTTTTATTATCTACAACTTTTATATTTGACTTTTTTTGATCCGAGCTATAGTTTTCTTTTTATTAACAAAAAACTGTTTTTTTATGTGTCGCGCAATACAAATTAATGTTTTAACAATGGTAATAATAAAGGTTCCATATTTTGAAAACATGTTTTTTATGTAAAATTTGACGGAGAATACGATAAAAATACTAAAAACTTAATACGAGGTGGGGGCCATTGTTAAAAATTGATTTAAACAATGAAATTGTTAATAACAATATGAATTTGTTAATAATATTTATTAAAAATATTTTTTATCAAAATTCAGTCCTTTAGCTTTAAAATGAAAAAAAAAAGAAGTTTGTAGCTCAAATAGAACCAGATTTATAAATTTTTGAAAATGAGTCTCCAAGCCAAAAAACTCGTTATTCTCAAATTTTCGATAGCTTGTATTATCGAAAATATGCGAGAGAAAAAAAAATTCCTCGGACACGTATCTCTTATTTTTCGACATAGAATCCGTAAAAAAAGTTTCAGCCAAATCTGAGATGTGTCGGTCAAAAGGTGTTCGGTTTATAAAAGAATTACTCATATACGTAAGAAAATAACTACTCACCACAGTACTGAAATTTTGACTGGAACTATACGTGCATTCACCAAAAATTCGCCGCTTGCATTGTTTTCAAGATGACTGTCGTGCAAAGGGCGGGCTCTGTAGGTAATTTTTTACCAACACTTGAGTTAAAACGAGGATTTGACGTTTAAACTTTTAACATTTTTAGACACAGAACTGAGGGTAGAAGTGTGTACAAAGATTATCATTTTGTTTTAAATTGCTATTATTCGAATCTATGATAAAATATGAAAAATACATTATTTAATGTTTTATAGTTTATATTGTTTTATTTTAATATAAACTACACTGTTTAAAAGTTTCACTATTTTATTTAAATATGATAATTGTTTCGCTACATAGTAGCATCTTCAGATCTGAAGATGCTACTGTGTAGCGAAACAATTGTCATATTTAAATAAAATAGTGAAACTTTTAAACAGTGTAGTTTATATTAAAATAAAACAATATTAACATGGAGTTTCATCAAGTAAAAGTCGAAACAATTAATTGTTTTATAGTTTGTAGTGAAATTGAAAAATTTAAGATAAATTGAATATAGTTTAAAATAAAACCACTAAAATATTTGATTCAGGAGTTGTGACACGCCGAGGTACTGATGTTGAATATTTATTATGTTTTTCTACAAATGTATTTTTGAAAAAAATACAGTTAAAAAAAACCTGGATCTTTTGTAATATGCTAAAATATTTACAAAAAATATTAAAATGCCTACTCTATTGACTGATGACATCAAGTTGTCCAACTTTTGTAGAATCACCCATATATACTTTGTATTTGTATGCTAGATATAGTTCTTTTCATCATTTATATGTCAGTATTTTTGCATGGTATTTTTTTTTAATTTTTCAGTTTTCAATACGTTCTCGCACACCTAGTTTGAACGGTTCATTGTATAGTCCGACAAGCATGTCTAGAAAGGTTTGTTTTATTATTTTTATTTATTTATTTATTTCTATTTATTCCAACCTTATTTTGTTTACTCATTCAGTTTTAATTAAACTTTGAATACGCTTAATTATTTGTTCAATTACTCAACTAGTTTTTATGTAGGTTACACTTAATTGCATCTAATAATATGGTATTATTATGGTTCAAACTAAAGACAAACTTGTTTGTAGCATTTTAGTTACCGCACACCCGTCCCCGGGATTAATTTTAAGGGAACCAAAGTCAGGTTTAAACGACGATATTTCCAGAATATACACTTTTAGTTACCTAACCGACGAGCCCACTTTGGGCTACCTAAAGCGTCCCATAGACCCGTACGATAAGACGCCCATGTCGCCGCATTTCCACAGACCAACGTGTAAGAATGTAGCCTGAATTACAGATTGCCTTCCTTCCTTCCTCCCGTAGTCGTGCCCGTACGATTTGTGCGTCTTGTAAAAAGTCAATTTATAGATTTCCGTGTAAAATTCCGTAACCATGCGCGATGACACCTAAAATGTTTGACATTTGTTTTTGTTTATATTCTGCGTTTTACCCATTGTGTGTAAATATGAAAGATAATCATTTATATATTAGTGCAGTGATCACAATTTTAATTGCCCAGGCAGCTGTTGTATACTGCCCCAACTATGGAGAAAGGCAGTAACTGCTAAACAAGAAATTTAGGGAAAATTAGCATAAACTACATTTTCATAAAAAGCAGTAGGTATTTAACTGATTTATTTAACTTAAAAGATAGTTTACTGCATTTCTTTGTTGAATTAAGATATAAAATGTCCATAGCTTTATCATAGCACAAGAAAACGCATTTGTAGTTACTGCCTTTCTCCATAGTAGGGCAGTATAAAGAAAAAAAAAACATCGAACAAGACGTTGGAAGACTCGCCCACTTTACCAAGACCGGGAAACTACGGGGTTTTACAAAGCAACGTTTCCAAAAATGAAAGACATTGATCATAAACAATATCTAAATATCCTATTTAGAGACACAAATTATTTAATAAACCTATCTTAAATAATACTAAACAATCATGTATTTTAATTATTTTGTGCCTACGCGTTGTCACCCTACAGCGCATGTCCATAACAAGCACTGTGATTGGTCATGTCAAAGACCTTTACGGTGAAAGATAAAACTTAAAAATTTCTACGGGAGGAAGAAATGCCGTCCTTACGGTACGGGAATCTATAACTGGCACTACGATTTAAATAAACATTTTTGACGTAATTGTCACCATTACATTGCCCGTTATTAATTTTAATTAAACTTAAAAATTATTGATACTTTAAAATATTAAAATAACTTCAAAATATGATTTTGTTAAGAAAATATTTTATTCTTTGATTTTTTATATTACTATAATTGCAAAATATTATCACGTATTAAAAATTCCTATACGGGAAATGTTAATGGTGACAATTACGTAATTTTCATCTTCTACGGGAGGAAGGAAGGAAGGCAATCTATAACTCAGGCTTGTCTATTTAACTTCGTTAATGTTCAATAATGAGAGCGTCTTTTAGCACAAAACTCGTTCAGAGGAAGTCAAGGGGCAGGTTCGGGGAAGAGATTCGGTTCGAGATCGGCCATGAAAATCCTGGTCGATTCGATAAGAAGCGAGACCCCGAGGCCCAAATCGCCGCATATGAATAACGAAGAACCGATAGAACTGGCGCATTTTCCTGGGGCGAAACCGCCTCTGGCCGGGGAAGCCCCCAAAATCGAGCGCGACGATTTTCCGGCCCCGCCTTATCCTTACACAGACCCAGGTTTGTCGCATAGAATACAAATGTTTTCAAAAAATCAATTAAAACATTTTTTCCATTCAGAAAGGAGAAAACGATGGTCAGACTCTTACAAAGGTGTGCCGAGCGACTCTGATGAAGAAGAAACGGTGGACGGGTTGACAGCTAAGGAAATTGAAGATAAGAAATTAAAGAAAGAAGAAGAAGAATTAAGCAAAATTGCCAGTGGAATTGGAAAAGTTTTCCTGAAAAATGTACAAGAACGAGAAAAGGTTAAAAAACTTAGAGCTGCCCATATAGACCCTAGAAATGCATCAAGGTAAGTCCTTCTTTAATACCAAAAAAACATTTTCTTGTCAATAAAAAGTTGTTTCAAAATAAAGTCCAAAGAATAGTTAATTTAGCTTTTTGACAAAATGTTTAACAAACTGTGAGAATATAGACCTAAAATTAAAACCTATATTTCAGTATTACCTTTTCGAAATTTTACCCCAAAACAAGTTATTTTAGATAATTTAGTTAGTTAGTTAGTTCATTTAGCTTTTTTACAAAATGTTTCACAAACTGAGAATATAGACCTTCTAAAATCAAAACCTATATTTCAGTATTTCCCAAATTTGACCCCATAATAAGTAATTTTAAATAATTTAGTAAAAAGAATACTTACTTTAGCTTTTTTACAAAATGTTTAACAAACTAAGAATATAGACCTTTTAAAATCAAAACCTATACTTCAGTATTAAATTTTCCAAATTTGACCCCACAACAAGTTATTTTAGAATCCTTTTTTTATTATTTATTAAGTAAGAGGAGTAGTTAATTAAGCTTTTTACAAACTTCAATATTTATCTTATCTTCTTTCCAAAATTGACCGCAAAAAAGGTATTTTAGATAATTTAGCTTTTTATCTAAATATTTAAGAAACTTAAAACTTAGTTACTTATTTCAGAAGTACCTTTTTCCAAATTTTACCGCAAAAAGGTATTTTAAATAATTTAGTAGAGGGAATAGTTTTTTTTTATTTTTTACAAAATATTCAATAAATTCTGACAAAAAACAAAAATGCAAATATCAGGATTACCTTATTTCCAAAAATTGGCCCAAAACCAAGTAATTTTAGATAATTTAGTAGAAGGAATATTTAATTTAGCTTTTTACAAATTGCCTGATAAACTGTAAAAATAAAGACCCTCTAAAATCAAAACTATTCTGTATTACATTTTTCCAAATTTGACATCAAAAAGGTATTGAAATATTGAGTTAAAGGAATAGTTTATTTCTCTTTTTTTCACAAAATATTTAATATTTAATGGCAATATAGACCCTTCAAAACAATTAATTGTTTCGACTTTTACTTGATGAAACTCCATGTTAATATTGTTTTATTTTAATATAAACTACACTGTTTAAAAGTTTCACTATTTTATTTAAATATGACAATTGTTTTCGCTACACAGTAGCATCTTCAGATCGTTCAAAACAAAAAAATGCCTATATCTTTCCAAATTTGGACCAAAAACAAGTAATTTTAGAGGAAAAGGTAATTTGGCTTTTTAGGAAATATTTAACAAACTGAGAAAATATAGACCCTCTCAAATCAAACCTATATGTCAGTATTACCTTTTTCCAAATTTGACTCCAGTTATTTGTATTATCTTCTTTTTATATTGACCGCAAAAAAGGTTTTTTAGATAATTTAGCTAGAGAAATGGTTAATATCTTTTTACAAAATGTTTAACAAACCTTCTAAAATCAAAACCGATATTTCAGTTCTACCTTTTCCAAATTTAACCTCTAAACAAGTTATTTTAGAGAATTTTGTAAGAGAAATGGTTAATTTGGCTTTTTACAAAATGTATAAAAAACCGTAAAAATGTAGACCTTTTAAAATCAAAACCTATAATTCAGTATTACCTTTTACAAATTTTAGCCCACAACAAGTTATATTAGATAATTTAGTAGAAGGAATGAATAGGTAATTTATATTTTTTACAAAATGTTTTAACAAACTGTGAGAATATAGACCTACTAAAATCAAAACCTATATTTCAGTATTACCTTTTCCAAATTTGACCCCAAATTAAGTTATTTTAAACATCTTATATCAGGATTACCTTTTTAAAAAAAGGCTTTTTCGAAATGCCAACATTAAATTAATGTCATTAACTCTCAACCTATTATCTAGGAGTCCTAGACTAGGACCCCTTCAAAACAAAAAAAATGCTTATATCGGGATTACATCTTTCCAAATTTGGCCCGAAAACAAGTAATTTTAGATATTTTTAGTAAGAGGAAACAAGTTATTTTTTAGATAATTTTGTTAGAGAAATGGTTAATTTGGCTTTTTACAAAATGTTTAACAAACCGTAAAAATGTAGACCTTATAAAATCAAAACCTATATTTCAGTATAATCTTTTTCAAATTTTACCCCACAACAAGTTATTTTAGATAATTTAGTGGAAGGAATGAATAGGTAATTTAGATTTTTTAAAAAATGTTTTAACAAACTGTGAGAATATAGACCCACTAAAATCAAAACCACATATCAGAGTGCGTTCCAAATTTGACCCCAAATTAAGTTATTCAGAGCTCCCACACCTCCTTAAATTCATAAAATTCCTAAAATTTGGCTTAAATCTTAAAAACTCCTAAAATTCTAAAATTGCCATCAATCTCCTAAAACTTTTAAAATTAAATATAAGTAGGCCAACTTGACAGCGTTTAATTAAGGTAGTTGTGCTAAAAAATTTCTTTTTTAAAAAGTAATTTAAAAAAATATATTTTTGGGTTCTAGTTTATTAAATTCTTTTTAAAATGATATAGGTATCACAACCTACATTTTTCTTAAAAAACAACAAAATATACCATAAAACAAAATCCATGTAGTAGCTTCTAGACTTCTACAAAATTTTCATTTTTAGCCATATTTCGTTAATTTTCGTCAAAAGGATTTTTAATTTTCTTTTAAATTATTGCTAAAATAGTAAACAATCTAAAGAATTTTTTGCTGTATCATGCACTTTATATTTTTTCTATTATGAGATTTTTTGGTAACAATAACATTACAATTATTGTTAGTTATTAACTAAACTGTTAATTTTTTTTTCAAAATATAAATATACCTAACATCATTAAACTTTGCTCTACTTTTTTAGCCATATCTATCGACGCTTTTTTTTAAATAAGATTAAAAGTTTGGTGAAATTTCTACTTGTGTATATACCTTAGATATATACAAAAGTAGTTATTTTACCTCACTTTTCATTTTATTAAAAAAAAAACTCGTCGAGCGATTTGGCTAAAAAACTAGTCAATATAACCTATTTGTACAAAAGAAGTGATATTTATTTATATTTTTGTTAAAAAGAATTACTTATTTTTTTCTTATTTTTTATGTATAGTGTAGAGTTGTTTTTATTTAATTTTTCTCCTAAAATTCTCCAAAAAACCTCCTAAATTCCTAAATAAAATTTGTAATTTAACCGTGGGAGCCCTGGTTATTTTAAAACATCTTACATCAGGATTACCTTTTTAAAAAAGGCTTTTCCAAATGCCAGCATTAAATTAAATTCATTAATTAATCGTTAATTAATGTCATTAACTCTCTACGTATTATCTAGGACCCCCTTCGGCAAAGCAAGAGCCATCTTATAGGTTTACGCTACGACAATCCTATCGGCGCCTCCCCTTCGCGAAACCTCGACCATCCTCGGCCATACGACGAAGACGACTTCGATCGCTCGATGAGCTGCAGATCGTCGATGGGTCGTTCCATGGGTCAGATTACCAACTACAATGGTAAGTGAATGTTGGGGGATAATATCGTTGAGTATTTTTACTAATAATTTCGTGGTTTAATTTATAATAACAAAAATGAACACAGTAACAGAGTTTTTAGCGACAATTGGCTGTAATTAAGGTGGAGTATACATAAATGTGTACAGTGCAAAATTTAATTATCAAGAAACCATCCTGTTTTTATACAATAGTTTAGCATATACATTAGGGTGTCCCTTATTTTTATTTTTTTTACGCATACCCTCTAATTATATTTATTACTTGTTTATATACTCCCAGTAAAAATTTCAGCTCATTCTATAAACGGAAACCCGTGCCGACTTGCATCTAAACCCTCCGTTAGCCAACGTTAGGCGCGCGCGGTATTTTGTAACACGAAACACTTTAAAAAGAAGATATACTTCATGACTGTATTTTTGTAATGATTTTATTAAATATGATTACTAATTAATATTATTGCTTTTGTTTCTATCATTTGTTTCAATAATTTAGTTGATTTTATCCCTTAAATATATTAATATACTAATTAGTATTGCTAAAATATACTCTTATATGAAATTTCAGCTTTTCTTGATGTCCTCCCAAAAATATTTCAGACCGTTCAATAAGTTTTCGGTAGTCATCTCACAATAGACTCTTTTAGTTATTTAGAGTAAAACCCATTAAGTTTATCAATTTCAGAGTTTACGGCCTATTCACCAGACCCCTTCCGGGTAACTAGCCACTCCCTGTAAAAGTATACATTTTTATCAAAGTATACACATAAATAAAATTATATTTTAACATTTGTCAATAATTTATAATATAAGGCACATAATAACAAACACAAAATGACTTACGATCGAAGACTTCGCGACCAACCGTGTTACAAAATACCGCGCGCCTAACGTTGGCTAACGGAGGGTTCAGATGCAAGTAGGCACGGGATCCCGTTTATACAATGAGCTGAAATTTTTACTGGAAGTATATAAACACGTCATAAATATAATTAGAGGGTATGCGTAAAAAAAATAAAAATAAGGGACACCCTAATATACATGTACTGTAATTTACAGTACAGATATATCATCTGCATGATTTTAATGTAAATATATATTTCACATTTTTTGAAAAAATACAATTTATATTCAGTTACATAAATAATGGTTTTCCGCATGATAATTGCAATATTATTTATTTTGTTTCACATATAAAGATTTAGCAAGTTTTCAGCACAATTTTAAAGTTTTTTTATGATGTACATTAGTTTTGCTGAGATGTTATGGTGGCGAAACTTAAATGTTATGGTATATGCTATATTTCATGTATTTTAAACCATAAAGTTCTTTTTTTTATCTGGACTGCGGCAACGTTGCAAATTTAGGGGTTTGGTTGGTAAATAAGGAACCAAAATTTGTTGCATTGATTAAAAGAAACTAAACTAAGTGAGTTGTCAAAATTCGTGGTTAAAAATGCAATTTATTTGGCTTTGGTGGTGCGTAGATGAGTTAAATCATATAAAAAAAGTAGTTAAATATAGGTTGCTTTACGGCCCAGAAGAGAAATTATTCCTAGCGGATAATAATCTTCGCTTTGAAAAGAATTTATATAAAAAAAAATTAAAATTTTATGTGAACACACGTGAATGTTGTCCAATCATTGGACACCAATGATGAATGGCTATTTTGTTAAAGCCACTGGACGTTAATACTTGTAGTGGCTTAATAATAATTATAATGTATATATTGTCCAGAACTATTAATGATCAGTAACTTGCAAATTGAAAGAAGAAAAAGTTTCGTGATTATTGCTTATCTTTTTCAAACCAAATGGATGCTTTTTTCAAAGACAGGAAAATTAACTACTAGATTTTTCAAAAAAGGTTGGACCCAACAGCAAATAATTTTTATTTTTTTGCTTTTTATTTCCCCTTTTTTTTAAATTTCAAAAAATTTTGATCTGCTGCCAAAAACTTTTTACTTCAAAAATGTCTATGTACTTTTTCTGCCATTGAGGCATTTGGCATAACTTCATCAAAATTAAGTTTTGCCCTTAAAAGTTTTTTTACTTTAGAATCTGATATTATTTTTGGCATAGTTATCTTTTTATATCGATATTAAATAATAATTAACAAGTAAATTATCAATTTGACAGTGTCAGAGTATTTAATGAAGGTCTTCAGCAGAAGTACAATTTTTTAAATACTAAAAATACTAAATGAAACTGGCATAAGCTACCAACCAAATAAAAAAAAATGAACTATATTTTATAATTTAACATTTATTTTGCGCCACCCTTTAGTTACATTTTGTTATTATTATTTGCGTATTTAGCATGCCGCTTTATAAATTGCATATTTTATTTTCGTTGCGTTTTTTTGCGTGTTTAACAGTAGTCTCATCTTTACGAAGCGTTCCGAAACCTGGATACGGTCTTAGATCATCCACATTACCCGCCAGAAATGGTTATGTAAGTATAAAACATACAGAAAGAAAACAAGAATGAAAACCAAAACGTTAAAACTTTGAGAATAGTTTTTATATATTAACTCTTAAAATCGCGAACTCTTATTAAGTATTAAGATAGTTAACTTTTTAATATCATTAGAGTCATTCCAAATAAAAACTCCAAATTGGGTGCGCTGCTTGATTTTTTATTTTGATAAAAAAAATTGAGGATGATCTTTTAGGTATCAAATATGAAAATCCGTTGCCGTTTTAATTTTTGGATTCTTTATTTTTAATCGACACCCTTTATAAATCTGAAATCGTGTCAATTTCTTACTCTCTTATAGTGGGCCAGAACTTTTTTTTTGTGACAAATATTGAAATGATTTTAATTTTGTTTTACTGTTCAGTAAGTGTGTTTTCGATATAAATTATTATTATCCAATTAGTTAATATCATAAAAGAATGGTAAACCACTAAAAATTCATGATAATTTGCCAATTTTTGTGATTTTTGTCTGGCTCCTGTACCTATTCTACTAAATCTAGAAAGTTATTTTTTTCAGGTATCAAGTACTTATACAATAGAAAACTTAACTATTATTTATTTTAAGTTTCTAGACTATCATTTTCTTTATTAAAAAAATTATTGAAACTTGATAATTCTTAAAATTAGTCAATTTTGCCCTCAGAAATCATTATGTTGAGGAAAAAATAAAAATCTGAAACTTTCAGGAAATGTAGTCCCCACCTTCATCTTTTCTGTCCAGTTACTCTTGTTTTGTTATTTTTATTCCTTTAAAAGATTTATTATTATTAATTTTTTTAATACCCGTTTAGTAGCGATATTGTTAGTTTTATTTATAATTTAAAATTTAGATGGCTTTCATGTTTGGTGGAGAAGTGTCAGAACTGTCAAAAATATTTCAACCATCATACCAACCATATTTAAAATCACCAAAGGAATACCACAAATAATAATTATAAAATATTTTTGACAGTTCTGATATAGGTAATTTGGTAGTTATATGTGTTATATTTTATGTATTGTATAATCATATATATAAATATATATAATACAATATATAATTTACACAATCTGTAAATACTAATTAAATTCTGAATCTCGAACACTCCGTCATTTATTACACTTGCAAACTTGCAAACTTTTTGAAATCATAATTTAAATACGCACAAATAATATTTATGAAATATTTTTGACAGTTCTGACATTTCTCTACCAAACATGAATTGACAAAGTCAAAGCCATCTAAATTTTAAATTATAAATAAAACTAACAATATCGCTTTTTAACTGCATTAAAAAAATTATTATATCTTTTACATGGATAAAAATAACAAAACAAGACTAACTAGACTGAAAAGATGAAGGTGGGGACTACATTTCCTGAAAGTTTCAGATTTTAATTTTTTCCTGAACATAATGATTTTTGAGGGCAAAATTGGCTAATTTTGAAAATTATCAAGTTTCAATAATTTTTTTAATAAAGAAAATGATAGCCTAGAAACTTAAAATAATAGTTACGTTTTCTATTGTATAAGTACTTGGTAACTGAAAAAAGCAACTTCAGGATTTAGCAGATAGGCACAGGAGCAGGACAAAAATCACAAAAATTGGCAAATTATTACAAATCTTTAGTGGTTTACCATTCTTTTATGAGATAAACTAATTAGATAATAATAATTAATATTGAAAACATACTTACTAGGCAGTAAAATAAAATTACAATCCTTTCAATAATTGCGACAAAAAAAAAGTTTTAGCCTCTTATAAGAAATTGACACGATTTCAGGTTTCTAAAGGGTGCCGATTAAAAATAAACTAAAAATTAAAACGGCAACGGTTTTTCATATATGATACCTAAAAGATCTTCCTCAAATTTTTTCATTAAAATAAAAAATCATGCAGCGCACTTTTAAATTCATTTTTGGTGTTTTCATTTGGATTGACTCATTACTATTATCAAACTTTTAACGTTTTGGTACATAAAAAACACACAAACGCAACATGCATCGAGTCTAAAAGCATTCATTACAGACGCTTACGCTTTACGCTACATATATGATCGAGTACCAACCTCAAAAAACATATTTGTTGTGTGTCGGCCATTCATAATTTGTTAATTTGTTGCCTTTCTCTCTCTCTCCCCGCACGTCGGACGAATCAGTTGTAAGCGCCCTTCGTCACGTTCCTAAGCCGGGTTATGGTCTGGCGCCTCGATCGCATACATTCAGCTCATCTGCCGGTAGTTACCCCCAAATCCCTGTAAGTTTCTCACTTTCTGTCTCTCTTTTAGCAGCTTATGTTTCGTGCTTCGGTGACTGTGTTTCTTTGAGTGTGTTGTGTTTTTGAAAGGGGTCATGGTCCAGTCTAATCGTCAAAGATTTATTAAAAAATGTAAAACTGAAGTTGCTAGAATAGCTTCATTAACAATTTTAAAGTATTTTCGGGTTTAGACTGTGTTGAGAGAATGTTTCGTCTCTTTAAGCTGGAGATATCTTCAGGAATCAAAGTGAAATTGAAACTTTCAGTTTCAGTTAAAAATGCAGTAACTATTAATAAATCTAAAAATAAGGCACCATTAGACTGGATCATGGATTATGTTTTAAATTTGAATTTTGGACACTATTGCCAATGCTATCCGCAATAAACAGAAATACAATTTTATTTGGTCTTTAACAAAAATGTGAAAATTATGGCCCTTGTTGTCTATACAATTTCCAATAGGAACCTTTAATAATTTGAGAATCGATAATATTAATTTTTATAATAAACCTATATCCAAAACTCAACAGATTTTATTAAAATTTGTGGTTTTTTGTTATTATATGAGATAAGTAGATGCATTCTTTTTTCTACTCCCACCTTTAAAACGCCCTTTATCGTACATGTTTCCATGACACTAAGTGACCTTTTAAATACACATGGACAAGTTGTGGCTTTACGGCGCTTTAGTCACGGGCTGAAGTTAGTTGACAGTTGTCAAATGTCATACAATCGTTAAAATAAATTGCCTTTCTTGTAAAATAATACTAAATGTGAAAATTATTTTATTATCTCAATACAAAAATATTAAATAGTTTCTCAACTCCAATATTTGAAAAGTTTATATGAACATTGTACTGACCTTTTAATTTAGCCGGCAGTAAACTATAACTTAAATTCGGGCACGGACTCTACTGTAAAGTCCTCATAAAACATTTCCTTTACTTTCACTGTAACTTCAGCCCGTGACTAAAGCGCCGTAAAGCCACAACTTGTCAATGTGCATTTAAAAGGTCACTTAGTGTCATGGAAACATGTACGATAAAGGGCATTTTAAAGGTGGGAGTAGAAAAAATAAATTAGCTATAATTTTTATTTTATAAAAACAGTTTTGTGATTTGTCCCGTCCGTACGCTTGAAATGGCCGATCTGTCGGCTTAACCTCACATTTTACCAATTTTAAATGTTACTATAGTGGCCTTCTCGCAATTTAAAACCCTATTGGTTCAAATCACAGTGAATATTGAAATCGACCAATCACTGATGCCCAAAAACGTGAATAATCAAACTCATTTATAATGTTTATCATTAATCCCGAAAAAAAAAAACAATATTATGAAATGGGAGTATAAATTCGTTACTACTACTAACAGAGGCGTCTCTATGGAACTACACTATCCTTTTAAGATGAAAAATAAGCCAATAATCTAAAAAAAAAATCTCTATTTTTTAAATGTTTTTTTTAAATGACAGTCGATTGACCTAAATTGTATCTTTTCACAGTAAAATTGCAGTGTATGTAAGATTATTAAGAAAATTAATGTTATTTTAATGTTTTATTGATTCTCAAATTATTATAGGTTCCTTTTGGAGCCAAAAAGTCAAATGTTGTTAAATCTGGCGACCTCGCGGGCCATAAAAGTTTTATAGTACTAAAAATTAGTTTTAGAAAAGAATAAGTATACACTTTTTTTTTTAAATTAAGGGGCATATTCATTTTGTTAAAACCAAAGAAATTAAAAATGTTTTTCTGTATTTTTCATAACTTTTACAATTTTTTTTATTTAAAAATAAAACAAACGTGTTTTCCTACTTTTAGAATATAAATTTTTTATTATTGCATGTTGTATAAAAACTTTAAATTTCATAAGGTTCTAAATAAATGTTTCCATTATTATTATTATTTTGTGTGCATTTTTACAGGGTGTCTCCAAAATTTCGATATACCACATACATTTTTTTAGACGAGTTGTTTTTAATACTAAGGATTTAAGTTTAAGAAATAGTAATAAATAATCCATACCTAATAGATGGACAGGTTTAACAGCTGTATTTGTTTTAATCAAAACTTGGTATAATTAACAATTTTATGTTTTATTTAAAATTTATATTGACAAATAATAAATCGTTATTTTTTTGACACCCTGTATAGTTGTTTTTTATAATATTAAAAACATCATGGGCCGAAATGTTTCTTTATCTTTTTTTTTATTTTTTAACAATTTTTGTATAGGAACTTATCTACTGACGTCCATTTTTTACTGTATTCTTTATGTTCTTTAATACTTGCATGTGCCCATATCTCATTGGTTGGTAGTTTGGTGGTGGTGTTAGGAAAGGGCAGAATGGATTTTTTTTATATTTTTCTCCTTTAAAATCATTATTGTTTTGTGTATGTTGTGTGTTTTTTGTACATACCTTGTATCGGCTAACTCTAGCGCACGGTCATTGTTATAATAAAATTGTATCCACAGGGCGATTATTCGTTTAGCGGTATGGGCGCCAAAACCCATAGCACAGACTTCAGCTGCGGAAAATCCGACAGTAAGTATCAAATTTTTGCTACACCACAGATTTTAGAAGTGCATATTTATTTTATGCTTTAATCCTATGCCTTTATTAAAATATCAAACTAAACATAGTTTTGAGTCTGATTCAATTGTTATCAGCTGTATGCGCAGATATTTTGATGGTTTTTACTGCGCATACTGGTTGGAGTATTAAAATTTTAATTGTTTGTAAAGTAGCTTTACAACATTAAAATTTTAACATTCTACACGTGTAGTTTTTGAGATACCATCCTGTAAAGTTACAGCTGCTTAATTATATATTTTGAGCTTTTGCATGTCGACTACTTAACTCAAATTATTACACTTTCACTACAGACGAGGCAAATAAATACATAATGAAATATAAAATGTAAAATACTTGGAAGAATCTTCTTAATTTAGTATGATAACGTATTACTAAGCAAGTATGTAAAAAATAATGCTTTTTCTTCAGTTTCCACTGGATCCATCACCGATGTTGAAAGGCGCGGTCTGGTATGTAAATAAGGCTTTAGTTTGTAGCACTTTTTTCAGTTTCTACTTTCTATCATACTTTTTATTATTTACTAACTTTTCATGAATGGTAGAGTTTTTATACTATACTATACTATATTTTAAATCTTAATTTATTAATAATTATATTGTAAATACAAAAATTATTTCTATCTTTCGTGTGCATTTTTGTAATAAACGTTGTTTTCCTAAGGGTTCTGAACATTGTACCGTTAAACTTACTTTTCCTTTTATATGCATGAGATAGATATAGATTAGGGTGTTTAAAAAAATCTACTATTCTTTTAGTTGCTAGGTATAGGTTTTTAAAATTGCCGGAAAAATTGAGCCGCCGGAAAAAAACTTTTTTTCACAGGGTAATACGAACAAATGCAAAAGTCAATTTTTCTAAAAATTTTCAAATTTTTACGGATAATAGCCGTACACTGATACCAAGAAAAAATGAATTTCCGTTGCTGATTATTATTATAATAATTATTCGTTTTATTTTAATTCAGTAATATTCTACCGGGCCGAAAAACAAAATATTCGGTGCTGTTAATACATAACTTTGGATATATTTTACGCTTCGATTTATAAAATTATAATTTTTAAATCTCAATCAAATCAAAAAATTAACTTAGATCGTCTTGAGGCACGTGTTGTTTTAATTTAAAAAAAATAAAAAAAATTTCCCAGTGTTTTTTTATGAAAACGAAGCTTTTTAGGGGGCGTCGCAAAAAATTTAATTTTTAACGACCACCCTAATGTGCAGTACATATTTTTGTTGAAAAGTAACTGTTCTACAAAAAAGGCGTTTCTAGTTTTTTTTATCAATATAAGCGTTTAAAATTTAATAGCAACTAAAGTTCAAATTATTCGATATTTTAAACAACTTTATAAATGTGTTCTTAATAATATTACATTATATTACAACATTTATATAAATGAATTATTCAGGGGAAAAGTTAAAAAAAAAACTTGTCATATTAAGATCTATGTATCCTGTATCGAAGTAACCAAAATAATAATTAAAAATTTGAAAAAAATATTAATAGGCTTTTTTGAGGTGCCTAGCAACCAAATTTTCTATATAAGAAGTATAAAAAAGAGTAATAGATTTTTTAAATTACCCTAGTATGTATACTAGGATGTCCGTTATTTACCAAGTTGGCTGTTTTCACTTGGGAATCGTTTAAATTGTTACTTTACAGCCTAAAACAATTTGGAACAATACTTTTTGGAAATTGATTTTTTTCTTATTTATTCAATAACTTACCAAATATTGTAGATTTTACATCCATTATGATTCCCCTTTGAATAAAGAATTTTTGATATTGGTGTCAAAAATGTATTTCGTAAATTTTGATCAACATTCATTTTTACCGTTTTTACCAATAATTTTGATTAATTTACCGACTACTCAATATTAATTGAGTCATTATTTTAATTTAGCTCAAACGCGTGTGTTACAAACGAGTGTTTTTGGGAATAAAGCCGAAAAATGTTAAAAAATATCGGAAAAAACCGTGGCTTGATTTGTTGTATTGTTGGGTGTATTTCGAGATAAACAGTGTTAATCCGAATGAAGAAATAAATTTTATACAGTCCCTGTAAATATAAATTGTATCTATTAGATACAATAAATACCCATTTTAGTAATGATTAACGTGAAAAATGTAAACATTTCAATTCAATAAAAATCGTCAAACAAATAAGTCGTCTAAATTTAAACAGCATTTAGCATTATTATAAGCGTTGATTAAGAATTCTTTAAAGTCTCCACTCAACGGAAAATACCATTATATTATGTATTATATATAATTTTATGTTGCCATGAATTAATAGGTATATTTTGTTGTTTTAAATGCAGTTGTCGGCGTTTTTTAGAGAACTCAAATATAAAAATGGTTGATTTTAAGGTTATGTTTGTGCAAAAATTATTTTTTACAAATTTTTTAAAAATGTCAAAACTTAAATATAGGTAAATTATATTTGGTAAAGTTATGATTAGTTAATTCTGCACCAACAAATGTACTTACCGAATTGGATCCTTTTGCAAAACATGAAAATGCGATTTAACGATTTAGTTCTTTAATTTTATTTACAATAATTATTAAAAACAATAATTCGCCATGATCCCTTAGATAAAATACACACATTAACATAACTATATACCTAAGCATTTAAGCGTTGAGTTTCTTAATCAATGATATATCGAGTACTAAACCAGCTTTTTAGTTTTTTCCTTGCAACGTAAAACACAAATAACGTGTGCGATTTAGCTGTGCAATTGAACAAAATTTGTCGAGTAAGACTTCTGCCTTCCTCTCTTTTGTGAAAAAACTACCTATTTATTTAAAAATGATATACAGTTCGTATGCTTTAAATGTATTGTTGACAATTCTTAAATTCACGCAATGATTTTGAAGTCCACCAGATGGCGCGCGCGTTGCGAAAACCCGATGCTTCTTTAGCGTTTACCGAAATTATTATATATATGCTAAATCAGTTGATATAAATATTTTTTTTTTAATTGTTATGCTATAAACTATCAATTTAAACGATACAAAATGAAAACAGCCAACTTGGTAAATAACGAACACTCTAATATACAGGTTCTTGTGTCAAAGAAGGTTTCATCTGAACTAGTTAAGTGTTAAAAGCACGTTAAAAAAATGCTTCATCAATTTTTCGACATGTTTAGATAACGGAAATGCCCGTGTCGACAACGTACGCAGGTCACTTGGGGCGGTATCCGATGAGCGTGGGGGGGAGCGGCGTAGGCGGCGGGTACTCGTCACAAGTGCGACGCTCCCTGCCCAACATGGCGCACTCGATGCTGATCAACGAGCCCGCCAAAATTTATCCGTACCATCTGCTGCTGATCACTAACTATCGCTTGCCGGCTGACGTAGACCGCTGCAACCTGGAGGTAATGACTTTGGCTAAATTTTGAGCTTTTTCTCAAACCTAGCACATTTTCAGAGGCATCTGTCGGATCAGGAATTCGAGGCGATATTCCAGTGTTCTAGGACGGACTTTTATCGACTGCCAACTTGGCGTAGGAGCGAGTTAAAACGAAGGGCCAGGCTGTTTTAATTTCAGCCAATTTTTCATCTTTACCTACCCACTTTTTAATACCCAGTAATGTCTTCAAGCTTCTAACAAAGTCAAGTCACCGCTGACCATTTGGTGGCTCACTTTTTCATTCATTCACCCTGGCGGCTTTAAATAATAATCGAGTAGGCTTACACTGTCGCGCTGTTGCCGGTTTTACATGATTTTAATCAATTATTGTTTTAAAGTTCCTTCTTTTGATTATATTTTTTTTGTTTAGTAACGCAGTGGACTGGTTTTAAATTTTGCCATAGATTGATAAGTTTTTCTGTAATTACGTTAGGTTATGAATTTATTTTTCTGGGGGAGTTTCATGAAGTTTAACTTGATCACTATGGAAAGTAAATTTCAAGAAACACCCGCTCTGTTGGCGATATATTTTTGTAAACCAAAATCCAAAACGTAAATGAAATTAAATATGTATGTACAATAATTGCTATGGGAAATAAATAATATATTTACTATTTTTTAGAAATAAGTATAACAAATTATGGTTTTAAACGGACAAAGTAAAATTTTGTCTGTTGTAAAATCATTAAACTAGGCATTAGATTGCTTAAAAAAATAGTTTAAAATTGCTTTGGGCTAGTCTTTTAATTATTTGGTATAATTAGAATTTTTATTTAAAGATAACGGTGTATATTTTTATATTTATTACCTTAATATAATATATTATTCAAAGTATATTGTATTTGTTATAAGGTTGTATTCAATTGTGATTAAAATGAAATAAAACAACTTACAATAGTGCTATGTCATCTAAATAAAATCAAAAACCACAATTGGCAGCATTTTTTTAATTACTTTTACATGTTGTATTTATTTATTTGGTTGTTTTAATTTTGTTTAAATATAAGTATATAGAATTTAACGTAGTTTTTTAATTGTAAAAACTGTTTTTTGCTTTTGTTTAAAGCACAGCTCCAATCAAATAAATTACTTAAACCTTAAAAAACTCTTAATTAAAAACCCCTCCTTTAATTTATAGCTTTTTAACAATGTGGCGAATTAAATACATAGGTAAGTTACTTACTGTAAGTAAAGTTTTGAGAAAATCTTAAAAATTATTCAATCTGTATCTCAGAGAGAAGCAATGTTTGAACAATAACTCTATACAAAAAACCCTGTACACTATAGTAATTCTTTAAAAAAATGTCAATTATTATAATAGTAATTGCCAATAAAACAAAATTTACAGTATGAAACCTTTTAAAATAAAAATCAATATTACAATCACCTTTTATAATCTGTTATTACAATTTGGTTGCCATAGAATTAACATCAATATTTTGAAATATGACTTTTTATTGATCAAATAGTTAAGGTTTGAAGATTTAAGAAACAGTTAAAATGTCTATGAATAAAATTCATACGAAATTAAAAGATAATGCTTGCATTGTTTTTCCTCCTCCACCCTCAAGGTAAAATATAATTTTTTGAAAAAAAATATAATAAATAGTATTTTTATTATAAATTAGGTTTACACTAGCAGAATGGCACCTTCAAAATAAGTTCAGAAACAGAATCTGCTTTGATCAGCAAACTTTAGCAGATAGCGTTAATGCAGAATGTGAAAGAGTAAGTCCATCATAATGTTAATCATAAAATAATTTTAGAATTTGAATCCCACCTCTATTACGCACGGTGGACTAAAATCTCCGAAAAGCGGCCAAAAATAGAATCAAGACTTTTTGCAGTTGAGATCATCTAAATTGATTTTCTTATAGAAAAAATATTGAATTTTTACGTGGTGTTTATAAAATTTAAAAATGGTCATTAATAAAAAAGTTATAGCCTTTAAATTTACCAAACTTGGAATCAATAAAAATATTATTCTTTAAAATTATTATAGTAAATAGCTGTAACTTTAAAATTAATAAAGATTTTTTAATAATTTTATTTTAAATAAAGGCCAAGACGTTTATCTCTTTATAATTTTATAGTTAAAAATTGAATATCAAGAAACAAGTTATATATTCACACTAATACAAAATGCTTTTATTTTCTAATCGAATGAAGCTACCTCCAAATTGTTAAGTTTAGTTACTACAGAAAAAATACTTCTTGATAATATCCAATATTATTATTACATTAAACTTGTGTTAAAATTCCCTAATGTTTTTTCATCTATATGAGTTCGTAATGACTTCATTATAACACCGCTTTCGGTGCTGTAATGAGATACTTTACCCCACCCAAAATTTTGTTTTTATAGGTTGGCTTTAAACAACATACTAGTAAAATAATATTTTGCATATTGGTTATAATATTTTTATGATTTTTCTAGTACTTACGAGACTTTTCTGGCAATAAATTTTGTTTAACACCAAAGAAAATCCTTTTTTTCTTCTTTAACATTAACAGCCGCTTATTGTAAATAAGAAAATTAAGGACGGCATGGCGAATCGATTTTGACATTAACTGTCAAACCAATGACTGTGATACCAACTATCTAAAGTAAAATTCGACCAAATTAAATATAAGGTATAAAATTACTTTTTGTATAGAATTTTTACAAAATAGATACAATATTTTATATACAGGGTGTTTCTTTTAACTTGAGACAGCTCAATATCTCGAGAAATACGCATTTCACGGAAAAATGTCTTAAATAAAAGGTTAATGTGACCAAAGGGGACATTATTTGGTGCTACCGCTAGCCACCCCCTACCCCTCCTTAAGGGTGAAACGGGGGGTAACTTTGGAAAGTCAAATGGAATGACCCGATTTTTTTCACAGAGTTTGGTAGTAGGTACATAAAAAAATGAATAACTTTTATTTGAAAGTTTTTTTCAATTTATCAACAGATGGCGCTGTAATTCAAAATTTAAGAAAAAGGGGTTTCCTTGTAAAATGTATTATTTGAAACGTTTGAAAAACAAAAATTAACTTTAAATCAACAATAGTCGGCTCTGAAAACAATTTATAACAAATGTACGAAATGTCCTCCTTCCATTTCGACACCAAGTGGAGCACCAGCGTCCCTGGTCGGTAAACGTTTGGCGCGGTACCTTAAGCGAACGATTAATCGGACCCTTCTTTATTGCATTAAATGGCGAAAAGTACCGGAATTTTCTAGAAAACGATCTGACGGACCTTTTGGAGGATGTACCACTAGCACGGCTCCAAAACATGTGGTACCAGCAAGATGGTTGTCCTGCACATTATTTGACAATTGCTCCAGAGGTGTTGGATCGGGAGTTCAATGGCCGGTGCACCGCGGTGGATCGGTAGACGTGGTCCAGTAATTTGGCCTGCTCGATCACCTGATCTTACGCCACCAGACTTCTTCCAGTGGGGTTATTTGAAAGAAAAAGTTTACGCTGCAATTCCTACAACTTGGGAGGACATGGTGGAGCGGATCAGGAACGCCTGTGCGGCGATACCGCCCGATATGTTGGCGCGTTGTGTGCCAGAATTCATTACACGCATTCAAAAATGTGTTGAAATGGAATGACGACATTTCGAACATTTGTTATAAATTGTTTTCATAGCCGACTATTGTTGTTAATGTTAATTTTTGTTTTTCAAACGTTTCAAATAATACATTTTACAAGGAAACTCATTTTTCTTAAATTTTGAATTACAGCGCCATCTGGTGATAAATTGAAAAAAGTTTTAAATAAAAGTTATTTATTTTTTTATGTACTACCAAACTCTGTGAAAAAAATCGGGTCATTCCATTTGACTTTCCAAAGTTACCCCCCGTTTCACCCTTAAGGAGGGGTAGGGGGTGGCTAGCGGTAGCACCAAATAATGTCCCCTTTAGTCACATTAACCTTTTATTTAAGACATTTTTCCGTGAAATGCGTATTTCTCGAGATATTGAGCTGTCTCAAGTTAAAAGAAACACCCTGTATAGCATAAAGAACTCATGTCATAAGACCTTTTGTCGCACTACTCCTACCTATAGGTACTTAATAATTAAAAAAAAAAATAATTTAAAAAAAATTTAATTTTAACTTACTTAAAATTTTAAGCTCTATATAATCGCCGCTACTGATTCAATAAAATTTTACAGAATCAAAACTTAATATATGAACTTAGTCTTAAAAGTTCATGATGATTTTTTAAAGATTTTAATAAAATTAAATTTTTAACTTATGTTAGTAAAATTAAAATTTTTACAGGATCAATATATATTATAATAAAAATATGGTGTTAAAATTTCATAATGATATCTTTTCAAATTTTTTTAATGTATTTTGGACACTTTTTTGCAATTCCAGTCCACTGTGCCACGTCTGGTTTTCTTTAATGAAAGAGTAGCAAAAACCCTGCCTACCAGTACACTTTCCAGTTATAATTTGTGGTTTCGGCAACATTATTGTTTTTTGTCAAAATTAATGAAAACCTTTCCCATTAATGAAACAATAAAAAAGATATTTCATTGTCGATCATCAATCATCTCTAGATTACCGAAGAAATTGCAGAAAGGACCTTAACGAACAAACTAGATACAGATCACAAACTACACGAAAAACTCACCGACATAAAATTCGTCGGTGATGAAATAAGAATACAACGAAAAGAGGTTGTCATGGAAGTGGACGCTTTGTTGGTGTACATGGAAAGAATCAAACATTCCTTGGACAACCTTAAACAAAATGCGGAAGTTATTTGCAAGAAATGCCTGATTTGCAGGGAGGGGCGGCTGGGAATAGATCTGGTAAATATCTTTGAGGATCTTTTCCAGATTTAATCAATTTGCAGATGTTTGATTTCTAGTGTCATGATGAGATAGAAGACGACCTGAA